ACACACACACACACATACACACACACACGATCCATTGTATGCCCAGGAGATTCTGAGAGTGTCTATAAGTCCTGTTAACAGCAAATGCCATCATAAGGAAACACTTGTTCCTGTCTGTCTCACACCATATACTGTGATTTTGCCAAGATGAACGAAAGAGTTAGTGTACTACTAATCTTATTTTGACTGTAGGATATAGAAACTACTCTAGCTAGTTTAAGTAAAAATGAGCTTAAGATAGGGAAGTGAGTGTGCAGAAAATCTTTGGAAGGGCTGAGGAGAGCTGTGCTCAGGCTGGCCTGCAGAAGCACCTCTGCAAAGAGCTGCTTTGCTGTACTCCAAGGAGCTGCAGTCTATCTCAGGAATAAACTGGGAACCACTCCTGGGTTGCAGGGATCAGGAAAAACTTGGTTTATCAGAAAAGCAGAAGTAAGGTTACCAAGAGAGAGATCGGGAGCAGTCCCACCAAAAATTCCCTCTATCTCCAGGACTGCACACAGTGCCCACAGCCAGCACTGCCACCTCACTTCTGCCTGCCAGGCTTCAGCCTTCATCCTCCCTGCACCCCTAGCCTGCACAGCAGCAGAGAAAACCCTTGGTGTTTTTTTGAGTGAATGAGCACCTTTGACCTCAGGAAGTCACAATTCTGGGGCATAGATGGAGAGTAGAAACTGGGGATAACAGAATTTCAGAGAGTGGGGCACATTTGAAACAATTGAAGAAGAGAGTTTGGTAGTCCACAATAGGTTGTGAAGAGGAATTCTTAGCAGTATTGGGGCTTGCAATGGAATAAGTAGGCAGTAGGGCCATCTCATCCCAGGCTGTGGCAGTGCCAGGCAGTCTGGAAGAAAGGCTGCAGACTAAATACAGAAGTACGGCAGCACAGCAAAGGGAAGGTCAGGGGCCTCACATGCTGCAGGAGCAACACTGGTAGGCTTGGGCTGCATGAGATGGCCAGGGGTGTGGCCAGGCTGGAGGAGGTTCAGCCTCACAAGGTAGCAAAGCTTGGTTCTCCCTCGGTCTCTTATAGATGATGAGATGTATAAAAATTTGCACAGGAGCTCCTGAGAAAGTCTCCCAACCCTGAAGGGGTAAACTGAACTTCTCCATCTACACTGTAACTTGGTTTTTCAGAAAAGCAGAAGTAAGAGTTTATGAACTATTTGGCTCTAGTGTGACAGTGCTACCTAAAAACTTTAGCTGAAAGCAGTTTATTTCTTAGAAGATTGATTTAAAAGTGTTGCTTTCTTGCATAAAGTTAATGTCTACCTTTTTACAAGCTGATGTTGCCCTCATTTTTAAAAAGGTAAAAGTGTATTAGTTCAGAGCAACCAAAATTTCTAGCTATATTAGCTATGTAGTTATTAAATGGTTACTGTCTTAATTTTTTCTAAATAAAACAAATGGTTTGTAGACAATCCATGAACTCAAGCTAAAACAATTCCCACGACCTTACTGTGTGCTCTCTTGCTACATGAAAATATTGATATGTAGAAAGATAGATTGCCACTTGAACCTTTATCATTAAGTCCTGGCCTTGGATTCAAGTCTGAAGAAGAGGAAGGTCAGGAGTGCTTTGGTACCCAACTCAGAAATATAGATCTGAAAATTATATATGGCTAGTCAAAACTTGCCCATCTTACTTAGCTGTACTATTTAATAAGAATAGATACAAGTTTTGAGACCCTGCACTTATCGAGATTGTTAGGTGGCTGCTAGGTCAAAGATCCCAAAAGCACTGGCTTCCATCAGAGAAAGTTTACCACAATGTCGTATAAAAGAGGGCTAGCTCAATCAGTTCAAGCGGTTGGTTCCTCTTTCTCATGGCTTTGCTCAGTGAGGCATCTCTTCACTTTCCCTAGAGTCCTGGATGACCTCTAGACCTCTAGCCTGAGCCATTAGCATTTTCGGCTGGAAGTATTCTGTGAGAACTAAAAGATGCAAGGACTAGAAGTAGCTGAAGTGGCACAGTGCTTGGCTGGAATGCAAAGCCATGAGGACCTTAGTCTTTTTGCTAATGTGGCAAATACTAAATGAGGTTTACCTGTCTGTGCGAAATCATACTGGGGCTTCAGTGTGAAGCACTGGGTTGTAGGGATCTTACCCGAGACAGCCCGGGGTCTGTCACAGCTGCTGGGTTCTTAGTCTGTGTTTCAGTTTCAACCTATATGAGAACATCCTTCAAATTTAGCATGTTTCTCAGAAACTAGCTCAAATCTTATCTCTTTCAAGAGCACATAGCCATTTTGGATCAGCACTGTCCAGAAGAAATTTAAATGAAGGAGCTGAGCCTGCAGCTCAGTGGTAGAGTGCATGCTTAGTGGTCAGTGCATCCTTCTGGATTTGCTCCTCAGCACTGCAAGAAAAAAATTACAGCTAGCCAGGCATGGTGATATTTGCCTATAGTTTCAGCTACTCAGGATCACTTGTGCCCAGAAGTTTAAGGCCAACCTGGGCAACATATCGTACACCTGCTAAAAATATAAAATAACAGACAAAATGCAAGCCACAAATATGAGCCAGGTAAACTCATTCAAAGCCAGGTAAGTTAGTAGCACCATTTAATAAAGCAACGAGTAAAGTTATTTTTCATGTAATTTTGTTTCTTCTTTGTTTATTTTGAGAGTCTCACTGTGTAGCACAGGCTGGCCTGGAACTCAAAATCTTCCTGCCCCAAGTGCTAGAACTGTAGGTATATTCCTCCACGTTTGGCTTCAGTAGCATAGAGAAGATGCTAAAAGCCTCCTTATGAGTGGTTGCCCACTCATGACAGCCATCCTAGGATGGGGAATGAGAGCCAAGAATTGCAATCCATTTGCATGCAGGGACAGTGGAGCAGGAATCCCTGAAGGGCACAGGAAGGGTGTGGGCAGCCCCTCCAGCAAGTCTGACATAGAGTGGGTCTTTTATGCTTGGAGCTCACTACCAGGTGGAGGAAAGTGCCTGGGTTCCAGGAAGATCAATTTCTCTGAGTTGGTGTGCCCCTTCCTGTGCTCAGCTTAATGAAAAGCACCGCCTTGCTGTTTCATCCTGCAGTGATGAAGAAGAACCTCACAATTGCAGAGGGGATATGCAGCTGTTTATTTACTTACTTATTTATAACCGTTTGTGTTTATTTTTAAAATAAAACAACACCCATGCAAGACTTCGGGATACATTACTGGGATTTTGCTTCTAGAAGATTTGTACATCTGGTAGTCTGATAGTACAAGTAGTTTCTACTTCCTATACAGTATCCAGGAAATGTATCCTGAACAGGCAGGATAGTAAATATTTTAGATTTTTCAAGCCATATTCAGTCTCTGTCATAAAGTCTTTTCAGGTTTTGTTTCCTCCATCCTTTAAGAAGTGTTCTTAATTCACCTGCTGGCCCCTTCCTACTCAGATTAATTACTATAGGGTGAAAGGAAAGACTGATTTAAAATACTTTTGACTCTTAAAATGATATAAGATACTTATAATGTGCATTGCAGGTAACACAGGATAACTGAATATTCTGCGTTCGTGTATCTTAGACTCTGGTGACTATCATAAAAAAAGTAACTGATTTTTAACATGTAATTACTATTTGCTTATTTCTTCATTAGTGTAGTATGAATTCCCTTTCCTCTGACAGGTTTTACAAAAAGTAGCCCTGAATTTGCCCTTGGATCTTTTCAAGAGATAGCAGCAGTGCAGTGGAAGAGCGCAGGGCTGGCGGTCAGAGACATGGCATCTGGTCCTGACGCATCTGTGTTCTGGCTCAGCCCTCTTGGCTATTGGGATCTGTGTGGGGAGGGTACGCTAGATGATTTTGAGGTTCAGTCAACATGAATTCTTTGCTTCTGAGTCCTTGGTGAATTGTTTCCTTTCATGGGTTTTCTTTACTTGTGGTTATTTATTTACTTATTTAGAGACAGGGTCTTCACTCTATAGCCCAGGCTGGCCTCCAGTTCACCACCCTTCTGCCTCCAGCTCTGGAGTTCTGGGATTACAGGCCAGTGTGGGGGTTACGAGCTTGTTTGCACCACCATGTCCTGCACTTCTGGTTTTATAAAGCAAGATAGCATGTGGAATTATCTTGGATTTGATAGTAATTGTCAGTTATTTACAGAAGAGAAGCTGTGTTTTCATGGGAAGGGTGCAGCTCCCTAATAGTTCTCTTTCTCAATTCTCTCCTTCCTTTTCCTCCTCCTCTTCTGCTGCTTCCTTTGAATTTTGTAGTAAATCCCTGGGAAACTGAAAGACTCAAAGTGAGGCAAGAAAGTTACTGAGTATTGGGGACATGTCAATTTTCAAGTGCCTGTGAGACATTTATATAGCAGAGTCCAAGAGCCATCTGGGCCTCAGAGCTTAGCCACATAAATGAAGATCAGATGTCTCAGAAAGAGTAACAAGTAGAAAAAAGGGTCAGTGATAAAGAAGAGGAAGCTGCCAAGGAAGCAGGGAAGAGTAGGAAGACAGAATGCAAGAGTGGCTGGGTACCAATGGCTTAAATTTGTAATCCCAGCTACTCAGGAGGCAGAGATCAGGAGGATCAAGGTTCGAAGCCAGCTGTAGCAATCATTCTCAAGACCCTATCTCTAAAAATCCAACACAAAACAGGGCTGGTAAAGTGCATTCCTAGCAAGCATGAGGCACTGAGTTCAGACCCCAGTACTGCCCAAAAAAATGCAAGAGTGGTCCTCACTAGTGGTCTTTGGGTCTGAAGATTGAGGAATCAGAAAATAAAGATGAGATTGTGACATTAGATTTTAGCATCAGGAACAGTGCAGTTTCCACAGAGGGCTACATAAAGGGGGGTGGCTAGTGAGGAAGCAGGAAGAGGCAGCTTACATCACCTCTCTTGGGAGCTTGACAGTAGCAGAGGAGGTCTCAAACCTGAACTCTAGATTTCAGTACAGTTTTGTTCCCAATGCACTGCTCTGGCATTTTTTCTTAGGACTTCCGTTTTGTTTGTGTTGGATTTTAAGGAGATGTTACTTAAAGCTTTGTGTTGTTTTTCCTTCTGTTCTTTTCAGTGCCAGAACCTACTAAGACCTGTTCAAGCCAGCCCCAACCTACCGGTACCAGTACCAGTACTTCCACCAGCACTATCTCCAGCAGCAGCAATGGCAAACGTGCATCCACCAGTGGCCAGCAGCCAGCTGCATCCCGTTACCTGCCTCGAGAGGTGCCACCACGCTTCCGCCAGCAAGAACAGAAGCAGCTGTTAAAGAGAGGCCAGCCGCTGCCCACGGGGACTCTGACCAGTGTGAGCCCAGCACAGAGTGCTGGACCTGCAGGGGCAAGCCCTCCTTCCCTTCCTGGACCTGGGCTACAGCATCCCAACAAGCTCCAACCAGGTAAAAACTAAAAAGAATCAGACTTTTATTTATTTATTTATTTATTTATTTATTTAGGCAGTGGTGGGTGTGGGACCCAGGACCTCATTCTGCTAGACAAGCGCTCTTTTTTTTGTTTGTTTGTTTTATTATTCATATGTGCATACAGGGCTTGGGTCATTTCTCCCCCCTGTCCCCACCCCCTCCCTTACCACCCACTCTGCCCCCTCCCTCTCCCCCCCAACCCCCTCAATACCCAGCAGAAACTATTTTGCCCTTATCTCTAATTTTGTTGGAGAGTATAAGCAATAATAGGAAGGAACAAGGGTTTTTGCTGGTTGAGATAAGGATAGCTATACAGGGAGTTGACTCACATTAATTTCCTGTGCATGTGTGTTACCTTCTAGATTAATTCTTTTTTATCTAAACTTTTCTCTAGTTCCTGGTCCCCTTCTCCTATTGGCCTCAGTTGCTTTTAAGGTATCTGCTTTAGTTTCTCTGCATTAAGGGCAGCAAATGCTATCTAGTTTTTTAGGTGTCTTACTTATCCTCATATCTCCCTTGTGTGCTCTCGCTTTTATCATGTGCTCAAAGTCCAATCCCCTTGTTGTGTTTGCCCTTGATCTAATGTCCACATATGAGGGAGAACATACGATTTTTGGTCTTTTGGGCCAGGCTAACCTCACTCACAATGATGTTCTCCAATTCCATCCATTTACCAGTGAATGATAACATTTCGTTCTTCTTCATGGCTGCATAAAATTCCATTGTGTATAGATACCACATTTTCTTAATCCATTCGTCAGTGGTGGGGCATCTTGGCTGTTTCCATAACTTGGCTATTGTGAACAGTGCTGCAATAAACATGGGTGTGCAGGTGCCTCTGGAGTAACCTGTGTCACAGTCTTTGGGGTATATCCCCAAGAGTGGTATTGCTGGATCAAATGGTAGATCAATGTCTAGCTTCTTAAGTAGCCTCCAAATTTTTTTCCAGAATGGTTGTACTAGTTTACATTCCCACCAACAGTGTAAGAGGGTTCCTTTTTCCCACATCCTCACCAACACCTGTTGTTAGACAAGCGCTCTTATCATTGAGTTGCACTCATGGCCTGAGAATTATACTGTTGAGAAACAAAAATAGATCCATTTCAGTTCATATTCACTGTATACATAATACAGAGACAGACAAATTGAGTCATGTTGATGGGTTTGAAAGTTCAGGGTTTCCCCCTATTTATTTATGTTATTTCTTACCTATCTATAGGTGACATTAACTCAGTTTGTCTCTCATCAGACGCTTAAGGACTATAAGTTGGTCCACATGACTGCCTGTCAATGCAGATGCCTTAGGACCACACAGTGAAAACCTTTCCCTCAGTGGCTAGACTGTCTCCTGCACGCACACATCCTTTACTGGAGGTAGTAGAGTGGGTTTCCAACCTATAACCTACACTCTTAGCATACAGCCTGTCTAATATCCACTTGCCCCAGCACTTTTGAAATCTGGGGCTTCACTGTGCCTGTGTCTTCTTGTTTCCTTGCCCACAGTTAGGTAGTAGCTTTCTCTTGGCTCCCAAGAAAAACCAATACTTGTGCATTTGCTTTCCAGCTGCCAAGATGTAGGCATCCTTCGTCTCATCTCCGGTCAGCTCCTTCTCCAGTTTCCTTGATGTTTTTGGTATTTTCAGACAGGGTCTTGCTACATAGCCCAGGCTGGCCTCAAACTTGTGATCCTCCCGTCTTACCTTCCCAAGTGCTAGGGTTCCAGGTATGTGCCACCATGACTGGTTCTCTTTAACTCTTGGTTTTAGGGAACTCTTGGAAGAAGCCAAAGTATTTGTCTTCAGCTATTGTGTTTCTCTATTATTTTCTTAAAATTTCCTTTTCAAGTAATTTAACTGCTAATTGGTGCTGGTTCTAGACTAGATAATTATGAAATTAAGGTCTATAACTGAACAAGAAGGCTTCTGAGATTGGAATTCAAAAGAAGCAAATCACAGTCATATTTGTATTTATTTTCTTCCATGTGCTGCCTTTCGACATGATCTAGAAGTGCATACGGCAGTGTTTTTCAAAACTGCGACTTAGTCTTATATTTGAAACTAGTATCTTTAGACAACTTTGTCATGTGTCTTCAAGTAACCTTGACTTTTATCTGCTAAACCTGGTTAGAGGGGCTGCAGGTCAGTGATTACCACCAAAAAGCAAAACAAAAAAAGAGAAAAATACATTCAGCGACCAAGAATATATTCCCATGTCTTTAGCTGAAAGCACCTTATAATCAAACATACTAGTTACCTTCTGCACTGAAATATAGTCCTCAGGATAATCTTAACAAAGAGTAAAAAAATAAAAAAAATACTGTAGTTATATCTCAGCAGTTTAGCATGTTAATTTAAGATGTTTATTTTTGAAAAGTGGACAAGAACCAGAACAGGCCTCTTTTTCTGGGCATACATATCTTACCAGGATGCAGCCATTGGCAGTTTTGTACCATTGTCCTTCCAGTGGCTGTTGGACTTGCTTAGATAAGGAGAGCATAAGCAAGGACCTAATTCAGTAAAGTTCTGGGATAAAAATGTCCCCTGAAAAGTACCTTCCAGGGCTGGGATGTAGCTCAGGGTAAGAGCACTTGCTTGGTGTCCAGGGCCTGGATTACATCCCCAGCACTGCAAAAAAACAAGAAACATAAAACTGTCTTTCTATAAACAATAACCTTCTCCAAGAAAGTCTTCCTAGCTTATAGTCCTTTTATAATGCATATGCTGAGATCTGGTGCAAAGACGGGCAGAAAAGCATGCTAACTATCACTGGAAGGGACCTCTACAAAGTCGCCCAGTGCACGTCTATGGAGACAGCAGGCACCCTCACCTCTGCACGTCTGCCCGCTTGCCATTCTTTTCTGTGCGGAGGTCTGTGCTCCTGTCCTTACAGTGTTACTGGGAAACGTAGATGTCTGTTCTGGTAAACAAAGGATTTAAGGTAAAATTAAACAGTATAGGCATAGAAGTGGGAAATTTTTAAGAGTTGAAATTTGAACTGGTGGGTATAAATAGATCTTGTAAGTATAGATAAAAGTTATAGCCCATTGTAGTACAAGACAGTGATGAAATTAGAAGGGGGGCCTAGCCTGACAGTTGTTTATTTTATTTTGTTTATTTTTTCATCGTTTATACATTTACTCACATGCGTAGACATTGTTTGGGTCACCTCCCCTCTCCAACCCCCACAGTTGTTTATTCAGTCTTTTTTTTTTCTTTTTGTACCACATGTTCCGTAACAGAATGATGTCAGTACACCTCTCTGGCTCTTAGAGTTTTTCTGTGATTCACCTTGGTTTTATATGAATCTGTCTAAAGTGTTCACATGGGAAAATTGCAGCCCTGAGTTTTGCCATTTCTTAGACACAGCAGTGCAGTAGCTAAATATTCATATAGAATGCTCAGGCAACAGTACCCTGCAGAAGATTCTATCCTTTCAGAGCTTTGGTTTTTCAGGTTCTTAATTTCCTCAGCAAAAGTTTGTTGGAATCTGTAAGAGGCTCTGCATTGAGACTGTACGAATCATGAGTAAAGTGTGTGGGGTGTTGTAACAGAGATAAGCATGGGGTGCATACTCAGAGAAGGCAACAAACCCAGACTGTGAAAGGGGACCTGCCAAGGAAGGATTTCCAGTGGAGGTGACATGAGCTGACTTTTGGATTAGCTGTGCTGTGGGGACCAGGTAGACCTGCCTGGGGCAATCATCAGCCCCACTGTAGCTACGTGGCCCAGGAGCAGAATGTGAGGGGACCATGGCAGTCTCTCAAACTGGAAAACTTGGTCATCACTACTTTCAATAGTAGTGAAAGATCAGCATAAAAGCTTACTAATGGCCATTGAACCAAATCAAATTTATATTCAAAGCTGTTCCAACACATTGCTTCTGGAACTTGACAGGCTAATTCTGACATTCATCTAGAAGAGCAAGTGTGCACGAACAGAATATTGAGGAAATTAAAACACACGCACACATACATACATGGTTACCAGACAGAGCTATGAGGCTGTTAATTTTAATAATGTGTTAGTGGGGCAGGAGTAAACAAACAGATTAATAAAATACAACAGGCAGACCGGAGGGGACACATGTATACAGGGATATTTAGGTAGTCCTAAATGTACTGTAACAAATCACTGAGAAAATGAGTCAGATCACTCTTGAGTGCTAGAAAGCTATGTGCAGCACAGTAGAGTATTGAAAGATGACAGAGCAGGAGCTTTTCCAAATCTTGGGGTGAAGTCCTCTCTTTAACCATAAGCCATGGAAAGCGGGCTAGTGGAGTGGTGCAAGTTGTAGAGCTCCTGCCTAGCAACCCTAAGGCTCTGGGTTCGAACCTCAGCACCACCAGAAATAATAGGGGAGGAGGAAAGAAAGAAAGGAGGGGAAAAAGAAAGGGAAGGAAGAAAGAAGAAAAGGCAAATTTGAATGTATAAAAAATTTTCACTTTTGTACAAGACCCTAAATAACACCTGAGAGGAAATGTTTACAGTGTACATAGTAAAGGGTAAATCTCTCAGAAATACCGAAGAGTCCTACAAATCAACAAGAAAAGAAAAAACAGTCCCATAGAAAAATGGGCAAAGTGGGACCTAAACGTATTGAAAGTGTTACTTGTGATCAGGGGGAAAAAAATAAATGAAAACAGCAGTGATGTGCCACTTTTCACTTACCAGATCGTCAACACTTTAAAATCTGTTCCTACTCCTCTGTTAGGACGACAGCAGTAGTATTGTTGACTGGGTGCTTTTTACCATTTGCTGGTCCAAGTGCTTATCACACACTACCTCTTGAGGCCTCACCACCACGGCTACTTTAGCATGTGGGACAGGACAGCTCTGACTTTGTGCTGGTTGGACTGTAAATAGCACAACCTCTGTGGAAGCCATTTGGCAGGATTATGTCTTGACCCAGCTGGTGCAGGTGTAAGAATGTACAGCAGCTGTTCTCTGCCCCGAAGGCATGAAGAGCGTCAGGTGAACCGGGTCCTGGCAAGAGGCAGGAAGGACTCTTTGGAGCAATCACAAGCGCAAATGGCTTTGGTCTTCTAGTGCCAAGCATCCTGCTCCCTCATGTGATGCATGACGATCAGTAACAACCTGTGTGCAGTTTTGTGGTGCTGGGGTTGAACCCAGGGCCTCATGCACCATAGGTAGACACTTTTATCATGGATCAACCTGGGTTTGAGGACCAGTTGAACCCTTGCTAGGCCATGGGTCTGCAGAGAACAGTAATTTAAATTTTCCTCCCATTTTCTACATAATCTCAGATCAGTCGTCTCCCTATGTGCTGCTTAGTGTAGATATTGTGCTGTCACCATTTTAGCCCTTAGGTATCATGGAGAGGCTTCATGGGTTTTGTAGCATCATTGAAGTCAACATTTACCCCATTTTGTAAGATAAATCAATATTTCTAATGCTTGCATGCAAAAATAAGGTTCAACTATGCTGGCGTTGCAGTGAAACTCAGCCAAGTTTAAAGTAAAAAGAGACTTTCTGTAATGGGTTACCAATTCAGAGTTAAGCTTTCCCATTAGCAGTTGATACTGTGACTGCAATTTACATATATCCTATGGGTGATTTCCCTTTTGGAGAAAAGGCTCTCAAATAAGCATGCCCAGAGCAGCTAGGGTGACAGGGACCCGGGAAGGTCCTCAAAGTGCTGAGAAACCACTAGATGAGGAGTAGGCTGGCCTGTGAGCACTGAGGACCCGAGCCCGCTGCCTTAGGCAGCTGGAGCAGAGGCAGGACTAGGGGTGGTGCAAGCTCTGGTGGAGGACAGGGTACAGCTTGTGAGGAAACTTGTGTTCCTTCTCCATCATCGGCAGCAGCCAGGGACACAAGCAGGGGTGGAAGGGCTTCTGCCCAGTAGATAGGCCAGAGCCTCTCCCAGCTCTGGTCGAGTAAAGGCTGTTTCTGGTGAAGGAGACGTTGGCCTTCTCACAAAGTAATCTGGGGGAAAGTGGATTTTTAAGTCCATTGGTATTGGTTGGGAGGGGAGCTGGCTTAGCCAATTGGTGGAAAACCTGACCTGGTCAGAGAATAGTCATGTGTAATAGGGACTTACCCTGTTAAGAGTCCAAGGAATGCTACAGTTTTATCACGTCAGTTTGCATGGTTTTGCAAGTCTGTAGAAAAACTCCAGCTTGAAATGCTTGAGAGTTTTTGTCTCTTAAAACAAAATGAAACAAAAAAAACAACCTTTCTTTCCTTATGCCTTTAGGCAGAACAATGTATTGTTTTGGTGGCTGCTTTGTACATTTACGAACCGAAGCTTTGATTAATATGTGGTAGTGTTTGCTACTTGGATTTTTTTTAGATAGAAGTAGGAAAGTAATTAAGAAGTTGGACACATGCCAGTTTACATATGGGGCTCATTTAGACTATTGCAGCCAAATGTTTAAGGGCTGTTTCCGAAAGGCAAGAAAGGCGGAGCATAAAACAAAGGCGGTTTGCAGGGCAGCACTTTATTTGCATGCAGCCAGTGGGCAACACACCCTTATTCTGTTGGCTGGCTTTCAGAAAACCAGAAAAGTGGTTGTGATGTTAATTGTCAGAGTCCTGAAGTGAAAATGTTTGTGACATTTGAGAGAATTTAAAGAGGAAGGAAGATCAGTTTAGTGTCAGCTGAAATTAGATAATCAAATCTTTAAGATCCCATCTGTGGTTGCCTCCACCTCTGCTGGAAGTGGATAGACAGGCCACTGCCTGCGGTAGAAAGGGCATTGCCCAGTCCTGCCCGGCTGGCGGCAGTGGGCGCCTACAGTGGCCTAGGCCAGGCTGACCTAGTAGTGTCCTGGCAACTCTACAGGAGGTGGCCTGTGCTGGACTCGGCCGACATGTTGGAGCCAGAGTCTGGGCAAGCCTAGATGCTACAGAGGCAGCTCTGCGCGGGCAGTGCCTTCCTAGGAGGTGGGCAGCACCTTCTGCAGGTGTTTCCCTGCCTGTCTGCCCTCCTAGAGCAGGAGACAAAGCAAACCCTGAGTAAGTAGTGTCATCTGCTCCAGAATCAGCTTGTGACGTGACATTCCAGCAAGTAAGCCTGAGCTCCTTGTCCCTAAGCTCTTGGCTGCAGTTCAGATTGAATAAAATGGCTTCTTGGAAACGAGCTGCTTGCTGGGTTCTGCTGCGGAGAGAGGCATGGCTGTAGCATTGCCCCCTGTGTTTTCTGCTGCTCAGTTAGCTCAGCCGGCCCTCCCAAGCTCGGAAACAAGCTTATTTCCCTCTTGTTTTTTAATCTGTTCTTAATCTTGACGAAACAATCTCTTTTCTCTGCCCTGTTGAAGAAATATGCAAGGCATTCTTTTGGACACTTTCATTATTGTTTCCAGCAAACCTTTTACTCTGTTCTGCATTCATAATTCCTTACACTTACAAGTTGTCAGATGAGATGTTTGGGACTCTGTTAAGTGATGGAATTTTGAATGCAAAGTATTTTCTTCTTGAGATTTTCACACACAGTAAATGCAGTGGAGGGCATTTCCATTCTGGATGTATCTGTAAAGCAGAGAAGTGACCAGGTGGAATTGGGGAGCAGTACCCATAATATTTCAGACCCCTAAAGCACATATGACGTATCTTATATTAAATCTGTGTTGTGGCCACAGTTACATTTCTGTACATCTTCTATTATCAAAATATTTTGAAGGTGTAAAAAAGTAATGCTTAAATGTGATATACGTGAGATACTACATTAGCATAATGGAATCCCAATGTTCTTATATAATTAGAAGCAAATCCTGTTAGAAAAGTATTGTGATAATTTGAAGAGAGCACAGATTCAGTGTGATTAAAAATTAGACTGATCCAGGCACAGTGGCTCATATCTGTAATCCTAGCTACTCAGGAGACAATGATCAGGAAGATCATGGCCTAAGGCCAGCTCGGGCAAGAAGTTAGAGATACCCCATGTCATCAAAACATTCCGGGTGTGGTGACTCCTCTTCCTGTCTACACAGGAGACCAGAGGTAGGAGGACTGGGTCAGAGGTGGCCCCAGGCAAAAACCCAGATTCTTATCTAAAAAATAACCTACAGCAGAAGGGCTAGAGGCATGGCTCAAGCAAGGCTCTGAGCTCAAACCCCCAACACACACACACCACACACCATGCACACACACAAACCCAACACACACCACACAATACCATGCATGCACACACCACACACACACAGACACCATGCCCCACACACACACCCTCCCAACACACACCACACACACACAACACAAACACCACACATCAAGCTGATCACTGAGTTAAGAGTCTTAATTTCTCAAGTTAAACTCCTTGAGAACCTGAATGGTGTTAGGAACCACTGTGTTTCCTACATAAACTAGTATAAGTGTATAATAGAAGGCCAGAATCTGAGCTCTTCGTAAAGTTACCGATGAGTCATTTTTTGTTGCCATCGAACAGCGCCGTGTTTATAGAGTGAGTATGTAGCATAGAAATGTGGCATGCACCAAATGCTGGAGAAACAGAAGTTAATTGTCTACGAATGTAGGCAAGGGACTGTCTGGGCCTCCCTACAAGTCTTTGTAGTTTGCAGCACTGGGTATTGGACCCAGGGTTTGGCACATACTAGGCAAGTGCTTGGCCACTTGAGCCACGCCCCCACCCCGCATTGGAAGTCTTGAAAGGAGATATAAGCTGTACTCTGAAGTTCACGAGAACTTGGTGTCTTCACCAGTGCTTCCCAGAGAGTCCACGTGTTTATAGAAATTGCTCGGCCTTGAATTCCAGAGCTGCCACCTTCATATTCAGTGGCTTTCTTTCCCACAGGTGCTCTCAGAGATGCTTATGTGCATTGTACCTCTTTCCAAGGGGACAGCAGTGTGGTGTGGTGGTAGTGAGGATTAATGTGAGTTTTCACATGGGAGCTGTTAAGACCTACAACTTTTTTCTTCATCTTTTTTTTTTTTTCTTTTTCAGTGCAGGGGATAGCCAGAGCCTCATGCATGGTCGGCAAGTGCTCTATCACTGATCCACAGTACCACCACCACCCCCAGCCCATTTAAGTCATTTTTTTAGTGTTTGTCATTCAGATTTGAAAACTTGAAATGGCTTCCCCCAAAGACTAGGTAACAGTTGATTGATTGACAAATCGGAAGAATATCTTAATTTCAAGTTTGTTTCATCTTTTTTCAGATCTTGGACTGGCAGAGCATTATGATAATTCTCACTGGGGACAGCAGCCCTCTTACAGAAGTGAAGCCAACTGCAGCTGGGATAAAGTGATAATAGACAGGACTGACCAGGAGGCGTGGCCATCCATCCCAGGAACAGAGACCGAATCTGCCTCAGAATGTCCTGCAGACACTGACTCTGCCTCCAACTGTGGCTCAGAGAACAGTAGCATGGCTACAGGGAGTGCCCAGGGCAACTTCACGGGACATACCAAGAAGACGAATGGCAATAATGGCACCAACGGCGCGCTCATCCAAAGCCCTTCTAATCAGAGTGCCCTTGGGGCAGTGGGAGCAAACGGGAATGGAGCAGCAGCCAGAGCGTGGGGTGTAGCCACGGGCTCCAGCTCTGGCCTGGCTCACTGCTCTGTTGGTGGTGGGGATGGAAAAATGGACAGCATGACTGGAGATGGGAGAAGTCAGAACTGCTGGGGTACCTCCACCTCCAATACTGGCATTAATCTTAACCTTAATCCTAATGCCAACCCAGCTGCCTGGCCTGTACTTGGGCATGAAGGAACTGTGGCAACAGGCAACCCTTCCAGTATTTGCAGTCCAGTCAGTGCCATAGGTCAGAATATGGGCAGCCAGAACGGGAATCCAGCAGGCACTCTGGGTGCCTGGGGAAACTTGCTGCCACAAGAGAGCACAGAGCCACAAACGTCCACTGCTCAGAATGTGTCTTTCAGTGTGCAACCTCAGAACCTTAACACTGATGGACCAAACAACACTAACCCCATGAACTCTTCACCAAACCCTATCAATGCAATGCAGACGAATGGACTGCCAAACTGGGGCATGGCTGTGGGGATGGGGACCATCATCCCACCCCACCTGCAAGGCCTTCCTGGTGCTAACGGATCATCAGTCTCTCAAAGCAGTGAGGGTGGTGGGGAAGGAATAAGCAGTTCTGTGTGGGGACTGTCCCCCAGTAACCCCACAGGAAACAGCAGTTCTGGGTTCAGTCAGGGGAATGGAGACACTGTGAACTCAGCATTAAGTGCTAAACAAAATGGATCCAGCAGTGCTGTGCAAAAGGAAGGAAGTGGGGGGAATGCATGGGACTCAGGGCCTCCTGCGGGTCCTGGGATCCTCACCTGGGGAAGGGGCAGTGGCAGCAATAGTGTTGGTAATATCCATTCAGGAGCCTGGGGTCACTCCAGCCGGAGCTCTTCTAATGGTGTGAATGGGGAGTGGGGAAAGCCCCCAAACCAGCATTCCAATAGCAACGTCAGTGGGAAAGGATCCACAGGGTGGGATAGCCCAAGTGCTGCCAGCCAGACTCCTGCCTTGCAGCCAGTCAGTGAACACATGAACTCATGGGCCAAAGCTGCGTCTTCCGGAACTACAGCAAGTGAAGGAAGTAGTGATGGATCTGGCAATCACAATGAAGGAGGCACTGGGAGGGAAGGAGCAGGAGAGGGCCGGAGGCGGGATAAAGGGGTTATAGACCAAGGGCACATCCAGTTGCCAAGGAACGATCTTGACCCAAGAGTTCTATCTAATACTGGTTGGGGACAGACTCCTGTAAAGCAAAACACTGCCTGGGAATTTGAAGAATCCCCTAGGTCTGAGAGAAAAAATGACAATGGGACAGAGGCCTGGGGTTGTGCAGCTACTCAGCCTTCAAACTCAGGGGGGAAGAACGATGGGTCCATGATGAACAGTACAAATACCTCTTCAGTATCGGGGTGGGTCAGCTCACCACCTGCTGCTGTGCCAGCAAACACAGGTTGGGGAGACAATAATAACAAAGCGCCCAGTGGCCCAGGGGTGTGGGGGGACTCAATGAACTCTACTGCTGTTACTAATGCTGCTGCCGCCAAGAGTGGCCATGCTTGGAGTGGGACCGGAAATCAGGAGGACAAGACACCTGCCTGGGGTGAGCCTCAGAAACCGAAATCCCAAAACTGGGGAGATGGACAAAGATCGAATCCAGCCTGGAGTGCAGGAGGGGGAGACTGGGCAGATTCGTCGTCTGTCCTTGGACACCTAGGGGATGGGAAAAAAAGTGGATCTGGATGGGATGCTGAGAATAACAGGTCAGGGTCTGGTTGGAATGATGCCACCAGGTCTGGGACCAGTGGCTGGGGCAATGGCACAAATGCAAAGGTGAATCCAGGTACAAACTGGGGGGAGTCTCTCAAACCCAGTCCCCAGCAGAACTGGACACACAAGCCCCAAGACAGCAGCATGAGTAACTGGGGAGGGGCTGCTTCTGTTAAGCAGACAGGGACAGGGTGGACTGGGGGGCCAGTGCCAGGCAAGCAGAAGGACAGTAGTGAGGCAACTGGCTGGGAAGAGCCCTCGCCACCGTCCATCCGACGAAAAATGGAAATTGATGATGGTACCTCAGCTTGGGGGGACCCGAGCAACTACAACAATAAGGCTGTAAACATGTGGGACAGGAACAACCCGGTTATCCAGAGCAGCACCACGACCACCCCCACCCCCACCACTCCCACCTCGAGCAGCACCACACACCCGGCCGAGACGCCGCCTCCGCACCAGGCCGCCACTCAGCTGAACCGGTCGCCATTGCTTGGGCCAGGTATGGAAGCAGCATGCGTCATACTGCTTTATGAGTGAGAGTAACTTATTCTCATTACACATACGTAAGTAATCTGGCGAGTGGTTTCATAGCAAATGACACTAACAAGTGCCCTTTGGCCTTGTGGTATGACTAAATGTTATCCAAAGACAATAAATAAAGCAGGGTTCTTGAGTAGCTTTCTATCCAAGAAAAAAATTGCTGAGTACTCTCTGTAGAGCAAGGTTTTCTAGTCTTTTTTTGTTCAGATTTCCAGAGGATAATTTATTTTGAAGTTGTATTCTTTTTAATTTGTCTTCATTCCTTATTAGATGTCTGTTGGATAGTTAATACCTTTTTATAGAAACAATTTTGAGTCCCTTTTTCATTTTAGCATCATTCACAGTATTTTTCAGTATTACTTTATACCTTCATAAACATAATTTTAGAGATTAAGGCAGGCTTACTCATTACTTCATGCCCAATTAATGAAGATTTAACTAATCATAGTCCCCAGTTGTGAATTTTTCAGTACAACCACATTCTGTAACTCCGTATTGTGCAGATAGTCCACGTGTGCCCCACTCGCCACACTCAGCCCTAATGACAGTGCAAACATGTGATCCTCAGATGCAGAAGGAAAGAGGGAAAATTTGGGACCCATCGTGTTCACATGTGTTAATTTGCAAAATGCATTCATCAACAGATAAAACTCTGGTTCTCACCCCTAGCTTTCCCTAAGAATTACCTTAGGGCTAGGAGTAGGAAGGAAGGTGGGAGGGGATATGGATCCCAGAGAGCCTAATTGAATTGGTGTGGGGTGATGCCCAATTGTGGGTGCTTCTGTCGTTGATTTGCCCTGAAATAAAATACTTTTTGTGAAATGTGAAGGGCTTTATACAAGTCACATTTCAATTTTAATGGGAAATAGAACCCCAACTGAAATCAGACTACGACTTGGCTTTGAGTTCCTGCTTTAAGCAGTGGAAAAGACAATGTTGAGATGATTGAGACAGAGCCTGCAGGGAGCTTGAGCTGTAATCAAGAATAACTTGAGTTGACCACTAGTGACCCAGAGAGAATGCACTTGGTGTGCCAGCAGCAGCCCCAAATTTCTAACTAGAATATTGGTCCACGGTACAAAGTATGACTGTACTCTAGGCATGGCGTTGGCTGAAGTGAGAACTCATCAAATTGCTGTGTTCTGTCTCTGTCAGGGGCCTAGAAAGAGAATATGATCCAGCTCCAGGCATAGCTGCATTCTAAAACCTCTTCTTTATGCTTAGCGAGGAGCTAGAAGCCTCCATGCCAATGCCCACGGGGTACACGGTCCATGTGGGACACCCTGCCCCACCTGGAGCACGTTATGCCCTGGCCACTGCTGTTCTTCCTGAGCCTGTGCCAGCCGGCTTCTTAATTCTCTGATTATACTTGTAGTTCTAGCCTCTGAAACAGAAAACGAGAAATTTTCTTCCCACACTGCAGAATTTCAGTAATTGAATGAAGTCACCACATCCATCTCCCTATTCTGCAGAAGATAATCCTAGTTTCTCACAGCCCTCTCCTCAGTTGTGGTTTTCAGTCCTTTTTGTGATCCTCTGGAATACCCTCACCCAGAAGGGTCCCTGTGCCCAGAACTGATACTGTGGGCTTCAACCAGTGCAGCACTTAGCAGAGACTTCGAGGGGAGAGCATAACTCAACCCAAAATCATACTCCTAGAAGTGCATTCTAAGTTTCTATCAGCCTTTTGAGCCATGTTACAAAATTGAACTCAAAATCTGATGCTTTTTCTTTTTAAGGTTGTGATTAAGCTACCCCTCCCACAGACTACACTTCCAATGTGTTGCCCTGCTCCAAGCATAGAACTCTGTCACTGGCCAGCTGTTAGGATCAGGGCCTCCAGCCTGTTGAGAAATTTTTGAACCTGATTCTGTAGTCAGCATGTTAGTACTTTCTAATTTTATGTGCCCCTAAATTTTATAAACATGCCATAAAGATAAAACTAAGGAGCAAGCCCCTCTCCGAGGCCACTCAGTCATCTTAGGTGACAGACACCTCGTTGACACCCAGAGAGCCCAGGCTGATGAGGGACTCTGTGCAGGGTCCTTTCCACCCTTGGCCTCCACCATTCCAGAATGCTTGCATAGGGAAGCGAAGTGGGTGCTGAGTGCCAGTTCACTGCCACGTGCAGAGATGTTGGCTTACAATACTGATGTAGACAGATAACTGAGCAGACCCAGGTGGAAATTCTGTGGCACCATGGCTGCCTGCTCTCTTCTGCTGGCAGAAACCCTGTTAGGCTGGCTCCTTCCATGCTGTTCCCTGTTTCAGCTCCCACGAAATGGCACAGGGAGCAAATGGAGCAAGCAAATAGGAGTTTGGAGTAGTTAGATCTCGTGATGGTGGGAAGGCCTTGCAGAGAGAAGTGGCCTGAGAGAGGGCCAAGGCAAAGTCTTTTAGGCGTCTAGACTGTGTTCTGAGGTCCACAGAAGCAGGGAACACTTCTAAAGCAGAACTTGAAGGCCCAGCCTTACTTTTTGTAGAATCAGTTGTGGCTATAACTGAAGAATGGACCAGTGGGAAGCCATGCTGGAGAAGATGGAGAGAAGCTGGGCAGGGAACAGCCTGGAGTGCACAGTGGCAGGGTGGAGATGGAGGTGGGAGCAGAAAAGGAAGGTGGGAAGAAGGCAGCTCAGGTTGGATGAAGGGAAAGGTAATTGTGTTTGCTGACTAATCTCGGAGCACAGCAGGAGACATGGAATTCACACAACTCCATGGTGAATGAGGAACACCACATCTCAGCATAGCTGGCTGAAGGTGCAGGTATGGAAGAGAGACTGTGAACAGAGGGGAAAGGTTAGCAATAAAAATAATGAGGGTAGGAGATGGAGATGTAAAGCACTTGCCTGACATGCTCAAGGCCCTGGATTCCATCCCATTCTTACCTCTGCAATATATAAATACATTTATATATATGGAGAGTTTTGAGCACATTTAAAAGCCAATAGAAAAGAGCAAGTGTAAAGGAGTTGATATAAAGGGAGGAGAGGTTTTCTTTTTTCATCCTGTAAAGAAGGGCAAAGGCAGGTACACATGTAGGCCACTTGGTGGTGGCCACAGGCTCAAGAGCACCAATGCCAGCCCAGAGAAGAGCAGGGAGTGGGTAGCAGAAAGGAAGTGTGTGTCACCTCCATGTGGAGAATGGAACAGATGGCTGACCAGGGCCCATACATACAGCACACAGTGGATAAGTGGTCATTTGTTCAGCACACACATGTCAGGACTGACTGTACTGGAGGCACAGCAGGGATCGAAACAGTGAAGACCCTTGCCTTGTGAAGCTTGCAAGCGAGGGAGGGAAGGAGGCAGAGAGAGGTGAATAGTAAGGGTGATAATGCTAGGGTGGGCAGCAAGCTCTGGGAGGCCAATGCCACAGTCAGGTAGGCAGCCTGGGCATTGAGCATTCAGCAGCTGGAGCAAAAGAAGAGCTGTTCTTTCTGCCTCCATTCAAATGTCACTGCTTCGTAGAATGCCCCTGGTCCACCTTCTGCCTGTGGTCTCTCCAGGCTCCTCACAGCTCCTTGGCAATTCACTTTTACCTCCTGAGGCCACTTGCCACACCAGGAATCTTGTGTACATCAATCTGGCTCTGTCTGTACACCAGAGGTCCAAATCATTGGCTGCACCTTTCTGCAAAAGTGCCCTTTTGGACCACATTTTCTGTGAGTCAGAACTTGAATGAAAATGTTTCATATAAAATTCCAGAATTCTGGCTTCTTTTGGAAACCTGGAAGGTCTGACTTGTTGGACTCATGTGTTGGCACACAACTGTAGTGACACCTCTTGCCCTGCACCCTGTTTGCCAGCACTGGCTTTTTGAGCATGTGCTATGTCCTTCTGTATAGCAACTGGCAATTGAATGTGTGATTCCTATTTTTTATTAGTATATGAGTGACTAAGCGCTAAATTCTCTTCTTTGTGGGGGGTGTTGAGTGTAACTGAGGCTTGAACTCAGGGCTTCACACTTGCTAAGCAGGCATTTTACCACTTGAGCTACTCCACCAGCTATTTTTTGTGATGGGTTCTTCTGAGACAGGGTCTTGCTTTTGCGAGCTATTTGCCAGTGCTGGCTTTGAACTGCGATCTCCTGACCTCTACCTGCCAAGTAGCTAGGATTACAGACCTGAGTGACTGGTGCCTAGCCTCTTAAGCACTAAATTCTAAGAAGTACTTGAGACAATGAGGAAAAGAAGAAAGATAAAATGAAGGTATTTGAAAATTAAGACATGGTAGAGTGCCAAATTCCATACATTTTAATAAGCATTGTAGTACAGATCTGTAGAAAGTATTCTGCCAAGAGTTAGCACTTAAAAATGGAACCTTGTTCCCTCTGCTCACAATCAGTGGTCCCACAGATTCTCCCAGGTGGTCTGGAGCCCTGACAAGGCACCTCAGCCGCAGGGCCTATGCCTAGCAGTGGAGTTTTGGGACAAGCATGGCCTGCCAATACAGCGTGATGCTGCCACGTGCAGCTTATCTTTGTACTTCACGTCTTTCACAGAGTGGCTTCCCACAGCACCTGTGTAGGAGGAGGTGGTAAAGTCCTATGTGTAGTCTGCACCTCGGCCTGAAGCCCTTTCTAAAGCAGCACACCTGTGACACTCTACAGCGGAGCCTTGCTGCACTTGCTGTTAACGTTTCCCTTTTAATACGTCATCCTTAGGAACTTTTTTTTTTTCTTAGAAACTATTTTTAACTGCTTTTTGTTGGGGTTTTTTGCAGAGCTGGGAATTGAACCCAGGACATTGTGTTTTAAGCAAGTGTTCTACCACTAAGCTACATCCCCAATCCTTAACTGTTTTCTGTTACCCTGATATGGTCATGCTTGTTAAATTAGAAGAGCCAAAATAATTCTCTTTTATGTAAAAATATTTATACATCTGTTTTTTAAACAAATTACATATCACACAGTGACTCTTTGATCCTAACCCACAGCTGCTTCCCTCTCCCTCTTCCCCCTCCAGATCTTGGGCCCTATGAAAGTTTTGGTAATTGTGGCAATATTATAGAAGCTGTTGTGAATTTAGTTTTATACTTAACAAACACAAACTCACACAAGGGTTTTCCATGCAGTAAACCCATGTGCAGAAACACTTAAGAAGTTTAGTATATTGCACAACACGTGATACAATTTTCTCACAATATTAAAGTCTCTTTCTACCACTGGAAGCATCAGTGATGCTCTGCATCACCTATGATATCAAGTCTCAGACCTTGAACCAATGAGAGCTAAGGAATTAGAAGTGATGGAAGCCTTCAACTGTGCAAGCTTGTTAGGCCAAGCTGTTGTTTGAGTCTATAGAAGTAACACACAGCGCACCCTGCTGTCTGGCAGTGGTAACAGCGGCCAAGCTGTGTGTTGGCCAGTGGCTAGAGCACCTGCACAGGATTTCCTAACTCCAGACAAAAACCTTCCACTTGTGAGAGCCTGGTGAGGTTTTAACTGCTTGTAAACTTGGTGTTTTATGGGGATTCTGAACTTTTGCTATTGACCTGTGCTCGTTTTGAATCATGAGTTTGGGTTTTAAGTTGCTGTTTAACTTGTTGGTTATTAACGCTTAAGGATATTGATCTCGCCTATCTTACAGACTCTGACTTCTCAATGACATATTTTTGGTGTGTCCAATTTTATAGGGGCAAATGCTACAAGACAACCAACTTTGTACCACTCTTTAACTTGGTATTAATTAGTTCTCTGTGAGCCTAAGGAAAACTGATGTCATGTTAGATAGCGCGTTGTAGCTTAAATAAGTGATTGTTTGGACCTGACTCCACCCCATCTGGAGGTAGAACAACAGAAGTAATCAACAAAATATTCCTGTGCCTGTGTCTATCAGAGACTGGCAGACTCGGAGACTGTTGGCACAGGGAGTCAGGCGTCATCCGCTGCTTGGCATAGCACCTCCTCCCTCTACTGACATTGCCCCGTGTTTAATTGGACATGGGCCAGACACAGAGCCTGAAGATGTTATGGAATCATAGAACTAGGCTGTCCTTTTGATTACTGATAGGAAGTGGCTGAGAGCAACAAAGTGCAAACATTTCTAAGTAAATAAAAACAGGTCCTAAAATGTGTGGCAGCCTGATTACCCAGTACACTTAGAAATCAGTATTCTGGAGCACTCAGTGAACTTAGAGATATGCAGAAGACAGTATTAAGATAACTGTTCAGTGAGTACAGGTCCTTACAGTTGACTGTGATCAACAGTACAATTGAGGGAGAGCCTCCAGGGTCTGTTCTTCTTCCCTGAGCACAGTCAGGTTTTACCAAAAGATAGACCATGGCTAAAGGGATTGGTGGGGGAGAGATCACTGCACAGTTCGTGTAAAGGAACGTAGGAAGGCTAGCACAGACTTGATAAACTAAATGAGTAACACAGTGGGGTCCTGGAGTCTTACTTACCTTTCAACACTGAATAGGAGCAAGATATTAGTTCCCAGTGTCCATCAGAAAGCCAGGGGGAATATGCTACTAGTGTTGAGCCTACTCCAGGGTATTTTTTGCTCATTGACCTGCAGCAGGCGGGTGACTATTGGTGATGGTAGTGATCACTATGGCTGACTCATGCAGATTGGAAAAGGCACGAGCCAGGGACAGACTTGATTTTGTATTTGAGCAGTCCAGGAATATTTGCTCCAAAACCTTAAAATATTATAAAGTTATAAGGTATAAAGGTAAAGATCAGGTGAATTAATTATGGAAGAGGCGTGTCTCCCATTTGTTAAACTAAAACTTGAGGAAATTGGATTCAGGAAGCTTCTTCCTAGGTAGATGGAACTTGTATGTACATTGTTCTTTACATCTCATCAGTAGCAGAAGCCAGAGAGTGTTGTCCATGCTTTAAGATCCCCCGTCCTAGAAAGTTTCTTTATCCTTCTTTGGTGTATAAATAGAGTCACCTGCAGATGGAGTGAATCAGCAAGATGTTCTTACAGCTCAACTGTTTTTACACCATGAATCCAAAAATAGCTTCCAGTGACTTCTCTGGGCAGAAGTAACTCCATGTTAAGCAACATGTAGCAGTTATTAAAAGAGGAATGATCTGGGTGATTTGTGCTTGTGGCTTTGGGATGGGAGTGGGGTGGTGGTTTTGCTTTCCTGTGTTTTGAGGGGCTTGGTGAGTGAGGCTAGAGTTGAGCAAGGTCAAAGAGTTGGCAGTCCTGCTACAGAACGGGAATGGTACTTGCCAGTGCAAACCACTCATGTGCAGTGCTGAGCCATACACAGGCTCCAGCTGTGGGGACCTTCAACTCAAAATATATTAACACCAATAAGAAAGAATTAGCACATTGCAAAAACAAGACTCAGAGGTTTTCTTATCCCAGTGCCTGCTCTGTGTGGTGTGCCAGTGAGGCTGGCTCTAGGAACTTTTGTTTTTTTTCCTGCCATGCTGGGGGTGAGACCAGGCCCACATGCATGCTAGACAAGCATCACCCCAGCCTTCGGCGATAAGAGAAGCCACTGTCCGGTCCCAGGCCAGGGCCCCTGTCATTCAAATATGTCCCTCAAACAGCCTCGTCTCATGTGGAGCAGAGGGTCAGGCGCCCACAAGGGGGCGTTGCCAAGAGCGGGGTTTTCTGTCTGACTGAGCCCTGTGCACAGGTGCACTGGCAGTGCTCTTCCTGTAACCCCATCCTGCTTTCAGGTGTGAAGCTGCGTTGCTGCTGCAGCTGCCAGCTCTGCCGAGCATTCCAGCACATTTACACTATGGTTAGTGAGGAAAATACCCTCTGGTACCCAGGTCACTACCTAAAAATGCTATCACATAGCAAGCCTAAGTGACTGACTTTTTTCTTCTCTTTTCTTTCACTTAGTTGTGATTGGTCACTGTTGAACTAAACGTTCCTTCCCAGAAAGAAATACCTGTGACACATAGGGAACTATATAAGTTGTGGCCACAGAACAAGCTAGAACTGATTTCTGCTTCTGCAGAAGATAGTCGTGTCTGCTGACCTAGCTGTGGGGGCCTTACATCAGGAAACCACTGCTTTCTCAGCCTTGGTCAGTTCTGTGATCACTTCCATGCCCAGCGCCTGGTAAACACCACCTAAGCGCTGTGTTTTCTATACTCTGGTAGAAAGTTGGAGAAGTTTATTTTGGGATGGTGTGCAGCTTGGTGGTAGTGCATGTGCCTACCCCGTGAAGGGTCCCGGGTTCAGTCCCCAGCCTCTAGACTTCAGATGGTGCCCACATCTGAGGTTTATGTGAGTTCAACTTTGTACATCTTTTAGTCTTGCCAGAGGTCAACTTAAAATGGAAAAAATATTTTCTTGATTTTTGAGTAAGAAGTATTCTTCCATTTATTTCTAGGATCTTGAAATATGAAGACGCAAGTCATTTAGGTGAATTCACTATTTAGCTACCTACAATCAATCAGTATTTTTATTGCTGATCAGTCTTTAGTAACACCTACATTTTAAGCTTCACAAAGTATCCATCATTTTTGTCAGCAGTGTTAATTTTCCTGATTTAGTTTTGTTCCTTCAATTTGTAAGACTACTTTTCCCAGTATTCATTACCTGTTTTCTATGTAATTGTAGATGATAGTATAGCTACAGTTGCTGGCAGTAACTAATTAGGGATAAACTCCCCTTTTATGGGTAACAGTTTGCATGATCTTTTACACAGCATAGACCTTGCAACTTAAGATGATTCATACCTTGCTTTTGACATTAATCAACGTTATTGCATATTATTAGAATAAAGAGCATCAAGGGAACTGATTCTATGCCATATTTAATAAGAAAATAAATTTCAAAATTGTACTTATAATATGTTGAGACCAAGTAGTTTAAAATTGGCATAAACCATTTTCATTTTATATCATCAGTTTTTTGTTGCATGCAAAGCCATGTGCTTTCTAGTCTTTGCTACTCGAAATGTTCACATTCCTGTCTCTGAGATAAATATCTGTGAAAATCACACCTGATGTGAGCTCTGGGTACTCCAGGTACTGCATGGTGTCAGGTGAGCTTGCGGCAAGCACAGGATGATTAGCATTTGAGCTGATTTTGAAAATTAAATTAGTTTTACTTTTTCCTTCTGTTTGACTTTTATTTTCTCTCTCCCTGGGCACTCTTTTCAGTTTCATCAGGCTGGGGAGAAATGCCTAATGTTCACTCAAAGGCTGAAAACTCATGGGGAGAGCCATCCTCCCCTTCTACCCTGGTCGATAATGGTACAGCTGCATGGGGGAAGCCACCAAACAGTGGCAGCGGATGGGGAGATCACCCTGCTGAGCCACCGGTGACTTTTGGAAGAGTTGCTGCTCCCGCCACCACCCCAGCCCTTTGCAAACCAGGTAAGCCAAGCATTCTGCATGCCCTGATCTGACAACTTAGAAATGGTTCGAAGTCGGCTAGGGGCAGGGATCAAGTGGCAGCAGCCTGCCTACCAAAGCACAAGGCCCTGAGTTCAAACGTCAACCACCAAAACAAACAAAAAATAGGTACACTAAAAAATATTGTATAAAATTACCTTCGGACTGTGCATAAGTTGTATGTGAAACACAAATGAGTTTCATGCTTAAACATGAGTCCTGTCTGCAATATACATCATTATGTAGATGTAAATATTCCAAAAATATCTGAAACACTTCGGTCCCAAGCATGTCAGTAAGGACACTCCCCAGTAGCGACTCTCACGCCTTTGCTATGTTTCAGACCTGCCAACTTAAACCTACTTCATCAAGCAAGATGGAAAAAAGCATGTCATTTTTCTCTTCTTGGGATTAGTTTTTGAAAATACATATTTACATCAGTCTGACACTCCCTGCCTTGCTCTCATCTCTAAACAGAATTTCACTTTGGGTGCCCCATGCTAGTGCTTAAAACTTGAGAGAAGATGGGCTTGGGGATATGTAGGTCAGAGGTAGGTACTCACCTAGCACTAAAGAGACCCTGGGTTTCATCCTCAGCAGTAAAACAAAATGCCCTCTCATTTTCTGGAAGTGTAGTGAGCATATCTGTCATCTGCGTTCTCACAAATGTCCAGGTCATGTGCGCTGTGTGGAGTGCTGGTGATGTGTGGGTGTCTTGTAGTGTGTGATGCACCTTGATGTAAGTATCAAGGTTGGTTTATTTAAGGCTGATGTTAATGTTAATTGCTCACACAGCTGCAGAATAATTGTGTTTTCATTGACTGTCGTTAGGTGTCCTAGATCTTAAAATACAACTTTGTGGATGTTGTATTTTCTTACTTTGCTAAAGCAGATATCCTGTTTGAGACAGTCACAGTTCTGCTGCAAGTATTTGTCATTCCTACCACTTTTCTTCCATTACAAAGCTAAAGGATAAGGAAACTTCTGGTGTTTAGATTGATGCCATTTTGAAGATACATATTCTGTTCTTGGAATTTGTCCTTGAAGTGTGATCATGTGCCTATCTGTGTTGTAAAAAGCATCATAGTTTGTCATCTTAAAGACTTCAGCTACCTACTGTGACCTAGTCTGGCCGCCTTCTAGTTCTTCCAAGAAGGAAACCTTTGGGATACCTTTGACACCAAAAATTACTTTGTATTTTAAAAAAAGGAGGGAAAACTAACATCCTGAAATGGAAAGTAAGCATCTCAGTCTGTCCTCTCTTCACTCATGCTTCTAACCTGGAGTCTCTGGTCTCTTGGGAACCTATGAGAGAAATGCAGACAACTGGGCCTACCCCAGACCACCTGGGTCTCTCATGATCCCCACCATCTCCCACCTGTGGCTGCCCGCAGGTTTAGCTGAAGACAAGACCCACACAGAGGACATGGTGTCTCTCAGAATCTACATTTGAGTAGTTTTTTCATGCCATGCAGCTACTTCTGCCCTGTCAGGAGCCCCTCAGGATTATTTTTAGAATGTGCTTAAAAATGATGTGTAGTTGGTTCAGAAAGTGTGGAACAGCATAGGCTGCAAACAACTGGAGTTTGAGGGGAAAAACAGATACACATCCACATTTGCATATCTGGAAGGAGAAAGCTGGTTCTTAAGTCTGGGGGAACATAAAGTACCGTGCCTGTTTTCCTGTCTCCCCACGTGTGCCTTCCGAGTCTGAGGAGTTCCATTTGCTCTCTTTTCAGCTTCCAAGTCTGTGCAGGAAGGCTGGGGCAGTGGAGGGGACGACGTGAGCCTGGGCGCCAGCCGGTGGGAGGATGAGGAAGGGGACATGTGGAGCAATGCTGCCTCCCAGGAGAGTGCGTCTTCCTGTGGCTCCTGGGGCAACGCCCCCAGGAAAGGACTTCAGAAGGTAGGTGGCTCCCACGGGAGAGTGCCTCCTGGAGGGGGCAGTTTCAAGGTACCGCCTCCACTTGAGTAGTCAGGGCGGCATGTTAGTTAGCTAGCTTCCCGTCATGAAAACAAGTACCTGGGATCCTCACCTTACCAAGAGAAAAGGTTTGCTTTGCTCACAGTTCTGGAGGTCCCATTCTGTGGTAAGTTGTGCCTGTGACAAGGCAGCCCCTCCTGGCTAGAGTACCAGGGGAGCAAGGCTGGGAAGTGTGGCAGAGGAAAGAATCTGGGATGCCAGTGCCATCCCTGAAGGCACATCCGAGTGACCCAAAGACCCCCCCAGCCTCCCACACCTCCAGCGCTCCATAGCATCCGTAGTGCCAGCCTGGGGGACAGTATTCAACTCAGAGGCCTTGGAAGGACACTTACATCCAACCCATAGCAGGTGGCACTGCCAGAGACACACTGACACACTGTCACCCGAGTATGTGTGCATGTATATGTGAGAATCCACCTGCTGTTTAAGCCAGATTGATGCAGGTGCACAATAACAGGATCCCATCTCCTCTCTAAAAATGCACTTTAGAATATATTTTTATCTCAGAATGTTTTAAGTAAAATTATTTCTCGGTTTTATATTTAAATACAGTAAATATTTATAGATAATAACTCATAAATTCTTTGGCATCATTAATTTTTTTTCTTTTAGAGGTCCTGGGGTTTGAGCTCATGTCTGCTAGGCAAATGCTCTACCACTTGAGTCATACCCCCAAGCCTTTCTTACTTTAGTTTTATTTTTCAAACAGGGTCTTAACACTTTTGCCTGGGCTGGTCTCCGACACCAATCCTCCTACCTCCACATTATAGATGTGTACTACCAGGTCCACCTTGTTTTTTGAGATAGGGTCTCACTAACTTCTTATGACCAGGCTGGCCTCAAACCATAATCCTTGTATGTCTGCCTCCCAAGTAGCTGGGGGTCCTTAATCTTTAAGAGAGTGTAATGAGGTCCCAAGATGAAAAAGTTTGTGAAATGCTGCGGTAGACCATTAGGTAATTTTGAAACAGATGGGCAGCTGTCTGAAGAGATGGCAACCCACAGCTTCTATACATTGAGATAAGCTCCAAGTCAATCACAAGCTTAGACATGAGAAATAAGACATTAAAACATGAAAGAGCTACAGATTAGCTCCCAGTCTAACTATGATCAAAATCTGAAGCCATAAATAAAAGATTTTTATATTTCAACAATAAATGTAAAAACTGTACATGACAGGAACTACCCTAATTGAAGTCAAAGGACAAATAGACTGGAAAACAATATTTATAATTTCTATCATAGCGCATAGCAAGGGCTCATCTCTCAGATACAGAAGTGTCCTAGAAACTGACTTTTTAAATCAGCCAGTGAGCAAAGGCAGCAAATGGTGGATGACCCACAGGAAAGGAACACAAGTGGCTCACAAGCTTGGAAAAGGAGTCAGGCTGACTTAGGAAGAGAGCTCAGCCTAACACCAAGATCTCCCAGATCAGCAGAAACCCTAACACTTAGCAAACACACTGTGGGACTTGGGGTGCCCACTCAGTGACCCTGGGCTCAATCCCCAGCCCCCAAAATAAACTGCAGATAAAAGCAGGCACAATCTGTTCTGAAAGCTGTAGGGATGCCAGTTTTCACGTGTTGCTGACAGGAAGTAAACTGTCATGTGATGTCACCTGGAGGGCCACGTGACACCACGTGTCAAATCAGCGCATTGGCACTTGTCCTGTGCAGAGCCAGTGACATTTGTAGTTTTCCATCGCAGCATTTTTGTGGTAAGAAAATGAGAACACATGTGCACCAATGCAGTAGGCAGCTAAAGTGTGTGTGTCCACACGTGGGAATCTGAAGATTGATCGTAAAAGATCAACAAAATACGCTGTCCAATGGGAAGGCAAAGTATAGCATGTGTGCTGCACACCACCAATGAGGGGAGGCGTGTGCGTGTGTGCTGGCCTCTCTGTGTTCTAAATCCTGACAAGAACCTGCTCAGAGGGACTTCCCCTTGAAGAGCACAGGAACTAAGCAGAAGAGGGGCATAGAAACTCTTTCTTTATACCTCCTGTGCCCTTATGAATCATGACTCTATTACTAGTCACAGACAGTTTTGAAGACATCCAGTAAACCACAGGCAGAATCCAGAAACTGAAATCAGGCTCACTATTCATGAGGTGTAGAAGTGATTGAGCAGGAAAAGGAAGTGTCTTTACAGCTGGGCCAGCAGGTAATCCAATTTCAGTAGAATTAGAAATAGCATGTTGGTAAATTTAAATGATGTAACCTTGGCCAAGCTGCTTCCTTGAGGACAGAAAACCTGGGCTCTGACACCTGGTTACATAGGTTGATTGTGAAAAGCACATTGAATCACATTCTTAAAGGAGGATTATTCTTATTCTTAGTTTTTTTGAGATGAAGATCTCATTGTGTTGCCCAGGCTGGCCTCAAACTCTTGGGCTCAAGCAGTTCCCCTGCTCCAACCTCCCAAGTAGCTGGGACTATAGAAGGGAACCACTCTACCTAGCTCTGGGGAGATTTTTTTTAATATGTATCAGCATGGCAGTAGAGCCTTTGTCACTGCATTATCAGGAGGAAGTTACTTAGAAAAGGTTCCATCTAGTGTACCTGGCTTTCATGGCGCCTTTGAGCCCCTGCCACTGGGCTGTTCTTTTTCCCCTACTCGCATCTCAACATTTTCCTTCTAATTCCTTTCCTCTCACCTGATGGTTGTAGTGATGAATAGTTAAACCAACAGGCTTGTTGTTTCTGTCTTATGTTGCCCTTTAATTCATTGGCACAAAACCTTCTGTATTTTGGCATCGTTTAGAATAAAGATAGAAAAGGGCAAAAAATATACAATCTTTCACATAGCACCAAATTCAGGAGCACATTCCTTGTGATTATTCGATATTAGAAGTAGTACATATTTGTGATTAATTCTCTGGAAAAGACAGTTACCTTACTTTTAGTAAGTCCATAAATTACACACATTAACCAGCCTGTAAATGTACCCTACAGTTTTCCACAGTACTAGCCAGAAAATACTTCAGGCTTCATGGAGTAAGCACAATTCAATTTTAATGCAAAGGATTCTGTTACTTTTAAATTACCATGAATTTCAGCTGTCTCTCATTTCTAGAAAAAATGTGTTCAAATGTACCTCGAAGGCCAGCGATGTAGCTCAGTGGTGGAGTGCTTGCCTAGTATGCACAAGGCTCTAGGTTCAGTCTCCAACACCACAAAAAATAAGAAGAAATAAAAATAATGAAATGGAACTCATGGCCTTCTCCTCCCTGATGCTTCATTCTAGGGCATGAAGACACCTAGCAAGCAGGACGAAGCCTGGATCATGAGCCGGCTGACCAAACAACTCACGGACATGGGCTTCCCGGTGACTGCTGTCTTGTTACTACTGCCCCGTGTTTCCCGAAGCCAACAGCCCTAATTGTTTCCTATCAGTGTCTGTTGTGTACAACGAGGCGGGAAGACCTTTTGAGGGATGAGGTTATTGACCATTTAGCTCTTAAGTCCCCTTTGGCCTGGGCAGTTTGGACTAAGGGTCACTGCTTTGAATATGATAGCAAAGACTCACTCAATTTCCATCAAAAAGGCATGAAAGGGCTGGTAAAGAGTCAGGCGCTAGAGCGCCTGCCTAGCAATTGTGAGGTCCTGAGTTCAAACCCCAGTACCACCAAAAAACAGCATGAGATCCCTTTCCTTAAGAGCAAAAACTGTGTGATTTATAATTTCTATGGATTTGTACAGTTTTATATTTTCTTGTAACTTATTCACATCTGTAATCCTAGCTACTGATTGGGAGAATCAAGGTTTGAGGCCCAGGCTGGGCAAAAAGTTTACAAGACCCCATCTCAACCAATAAAAAGCTGTGGTGGCACACACCTGACATCCCAGCTATGCAGGAGACATAAATGGAAGGATCTCAGTCCAGGCTGTCCCAGGCAAAAACATAAGACCCTATTTGAAAAATAAGTAAAGCAAGTGAGGTGTGGTGGCTCACGCTGTAATCTAGCTACTTAGAAGGATGAGATCAGGGTGATTACAGTTTGAGGCCATCCTGGGCAAAAAGTTTACAAAATCCCATCTGGGCATGGTGGGGCACACCTGTCATCCCAGCTAGAAGCATTTTAGAAGGATCATGGCCCAGGCCAGCCTGGACATAAATGTGAGACTCTGCTCAAAGAACACCTAAAGCACAAAGGGCTGGGGGAGTGGCTCAGCTTGTAGAGGGAAGCTTGAATGATAGAGCCTGGAGTTCATGACGAAGACAACGGTGACTCCAGCACAGTTGCTGGCACCAGAGCGAGGCAGCTGGGATGGAGCCTGTGCCTGTCAGAGTCCATGGCTCTGCTGACCTGGCCTCAGCCACATCCCTGCTGAAGGATTACTGCTCATGCTATAAAACGATGGTGGGAGTGCTTATACAGTTTTTCTGAAGTCCTGCATTTTGTTTCCTAAGATATGCTAAAATCAGTTCAATCACTTTTAACCACAAGTAATTTTTATCTAAAGACATCTCTAACCCCAACAGTTCCAAAGCCTACTGACAGTAGCTGTTTCTCTAAGTTAGTGGTGATCAAACTGTTTACAAGCGCTTCCTTTTGTCAGTGTGCACTGCTAATGAGACCTCTGCTTTGCCCCCCAGAGAGAGCCAGCCGAAGAGGCCTTGAAGAGTAACAGCATGAACCTGGACCAGGCCATGAGTGAGTGGCAGGGCTTTTCCTACCAGGTGCCCCTGTGGTGTTTGCTTTCCAGAGTGTGTGATTGCAGTCATAGGTCAGTGGTTGAACTCACACTGGGCAGATGAGACCAGGCCTCAGGGAGGAACAACGGCAGAGCACGCAGCCATCACGCAGCAGGTCTCTCGAGATGAATGGTCAGTGCCATACTTGAACATGTTTGCTTTTTCATCTTTTCAGGAACTTAAGCAGGTAAATTGTATCTGTATCAGCTACTTTTCCTTGCTGCCATGACATAACACCTGACAGAACAACTTAAAGGAAGGAAAGATTCATTTTGACTCACAGTTTCCAAGGGTTGAGTCCACAGTCACTTGGCCTCATGCACTGGATAGAACATTATGGTGGTGGAAGCCTGTAGCAGAGGGGCTTCTTCACCTCACAGCGGTCACGAAACAGAGGAGAATGCAGCAATGGGCCAGGACAAAGTAAAGACTTCAAGGACTTGCCCACAGAGACCTGTGTTCTCCAACTAGGTCCCACTTCCTACTTCTCACCACTTCCTGGTAATGTCAACATATTATGAATCCATCAAGGGATTAATTCATCCATCAGGTCAGAGTCCTCAGGATCTAATTGTCTCTGTAAACGCCCTCGCATGCACAACCCACAGGTGTGCTTCGTCAATCTAGGCGTTTCTCACACCAATCAAGTTGACAGTCAAGATTAGCTGTCATACTCGGGTGCCTGTGGCTCACGCTTGTAATCCTGCCTACTTAAGGGGCAGACATCTGGAGGACTGCAGTTTGAAACCAGCCCAGGTAAGACCCTATCCTGGAAAAAAAACCATCACACAAACAAAAAAAAAAGACTGGCAGAGTGGCTCAAGGTATATGCCCTGAGTTCAACCTCCAGTACCACAAAAAAAAAAAAAAAAAAATTAGCCATCACAGTGGTCATCTATTTTTTTTATTTTTTTTTATTTTTTTATTTTTTTGGCAGTAGTGGGGTTGAACTCGGGGCCCTGCACCTTGAGCCACTCTGCCAGCCCGTTTTTTATAATGGGTTTTATCGAGATATGGTCTCACAAACTATTTGCCTAGGTCAGCTTTAAACAGCAGTCCTCTTGATCTCTGCCTCCTGAGTAACTAGGATTACAGGTGTGAGCCACTAGCAACTTTGAGGGGAGGTAGTAATGACAGTCTTGGTGAGAAATGGTAGGACCACAGATTGGACTTCATTTGGTCCCAGTGAGCATGCCTCTCCTTCCTCGCCATGTAGCAGTCCAGCCAGGGGGCCCACAGGCCCACAGGAGAAACAGTTACTTTTGTTAGGCTTTTTTGAGAGGGAACAAGTAACCTAGTCCTGGAGCTGCTTTCAAAATAGTAATTAGAGGGCATGGCTCCAGTGGTAGAGCGCCTGCCTAGCAAGCACAAGGTGTGAGCTCAAGCCCACTACCACAAAGTAAATAAAAACACATATTTTAAAAATAAATACATATAATAATTAGGGCTGGAGGCATGGCTCAGGGCAGAGCACCTGCCTAGCGAGCATGAAGTCCTGAGTTCATACCCCAGTACAGCCAAAAAAATCAGTAATAAGATGAAAACAAAAATTATTATGTCAAATATCTGTAAAATATAATCCATTCGTGATACTCTTGGCAGTTATGTTCCACAAAGCCACTGCATATGCTGAGTTAACAAGCACTGAACCCCACTCCTAGGGAAATACAGAGGATTCCTGCAAGCCTCTGGACACCACATTTTCATCTGCTGCCCATATGTACCTTTGTTTGATGTGTGTTTCTGTTTCCACACACCTTATTTAATGTATATTTCTCACAAGTAATGATATGACATACTTCTTTTAATAAAATGTGAGCCAAGAAGCATTTAACATTTTCCTGACCCTAGATAATGTGTCCATAGTATTTTTTGCTTTCAGACTCATATGAACAATGGCGTCCACTATGCTTTTTAAATCAGTCATCTCAGGAACACACAAGTCTAGCTGCTTTTGTATCCTTTCCTTAGCTCTTGCACTTCTGAGAGGCCTCACATGCACATTGGTGAGTTTCCTCTTCTTCCTTCTGGATGTACTCTGTTGGGAGTCATTAACATTGAACTCATAACCCACAGCGTTGCAACTCACACCTGAAGGAAACTTACCTTCTAGTGTTATGAATACTGCACAGCACTACACTGGGGGACATTTTAAACACCAAATCACCAACAAACATGAAAAAACATTTAGCAACGTCAAGTTCAACTAGAAAGGCAGAGTTTGACTTAAAGCTGGACACATGAGCATCAGGCAAATCAAGTTTTTTACCAATCTGCACATGTCCACAGTGAGCAGAGAAGTACTGCCATTGTTGATTTGAGGGTTACAAATAAATTATGATGAGCAAATTTTCAAGTACAGAAACCATGAATAACAGGAATAGGTGGTGTAATCACATGGAGTGTCAAAATGTATGATGTAGGCTGCCAGGGTGGGAAACCAGGGAGCACTTCAACTTCCTAGACTACTGAAATAGTGCAAAGTCAAAGTGGCCCAAGCGAATACTGGCCACTCCGCCAAGAGCTCCACCAGGATAGACGCTGTTGTTATAGGATGGTTCAACAGAGAGATGGGGCACCAAGGCTTTCGGGAAGCAAGTTTATTAAGCAGGCTGGCAGCGGCTCAGCAAATTCACATCCGAGAACAAAGGGGGCTCACCTTATGTACCCTTGCAAGCAGGTTACAGAAGCAAAAAGCAAGGTTTAACCCATTTATGGCTGCATGTAACTCAGTTGGCCACTTTATTCCCACCCAGTGCTACATGACCTTCACATTTGGATTCTTTTAAGTTTTATCCCCCTGCTATGCCATCCCCTCCCCCTGCTACATTATCAGAACACAGACTTGCTACATTATCCCCTCTTGGATGCTCAGATCTACCTATGGTCAAAGAGCGTCATCTTGATTCAGGGGTTTGTATTTTCATAGCATCATTACACGGGTGGCTGTTTTTCTCCATAGTGCCCTCTATCATGGTCCTGATGGACTACAATACCAAGGCAGGGTAACATCAAACATGCTCCAAGACGACTCATCGCCCTGCTTTCCATGACAAATGTAGTCTGCATTGTTTTCTTTACTCTGGGACTTTTAGTATGGCTTACTGGCAACCCCGCAAACCTGGGGAGTATATGAGCCCGATGTAACACCTGACCTATTGGTGGGTGTATGATACAAATATGGCTGTGCAGAGGTCCCAACAATGACTCTCTTATAACATTCAGTACATGGGGGAAACCTTGCAAGGGCCAACCCACTCCAAATGTCTAGAGGAGAGCAGGGGTGCGTCTATGTTTGAACTTCCGCCCTGTGTAGACTAGTCAGCTTCAGGAGTGACTAGAGCAGGGCTGTAGTCCCGTTGTTCATGGTCCCCTGTTGTTTTCCGGGAAGCAGGGTACTACCGAGGAGGGTGCAGGCGCCGGAGGGTGATCTTGCAGGGTGAGGCTGGGTCAGGGACACACTCCCACTCTGGAGAGGCTGGCTTTACTCGGCTCTGGTAGATCAGGGAGCAGTTTCTGCTACTGTAACTGCAGTGGGGATAGACAAGATAACAAAAAAGGGCCCTTCCAATGGGGTTTTAATGGTTGAACATTTTATTCTTTTACCCAGATAGTATCTCTTAGTTTGTTTGTTTTGTTTTTTCCTGAGTTAGAATTACCATGGCAACGATATATTATCAATATATATGTCCAAGAAAATGTATTACTTAAAAAAAAGTTAAAACCACCATCTTTAAGTATCAAAGGACATGTTTAGAGCCAGTAAAAATAGTTATTTTGTCTATGTTTAAGTAGAAGACATTGTCTGAAAAATGTGAGTTTGTGTCTGGAAGGGCTTTAATTCCACGTAGCCACACATGTATAAGAACCATTTCCTCAGTCCTCTCAGCCTTGGTTATTTTTGAGAGATTAGACAGGAGTGACTCCATTTGAACTTTGATGGCATTCCCCCCTTGTCTTCAAACTGCTTGTCCTGAGCAGTCTCCTCTGAAGATCTTCCTCCTATCCAAGTACTAACCAGGCCCGACCCTGCTTAGCTTCTGAGATCAGACAACATTTGATGCGTTCAGGGTGGTATGAAGATCTTTTTTGATTGGGTTTGTTTGTTTGTGTGTTTTGTTTTGTTTTCTTCTCATCATGAGAATTTGTATTTTCCTGGATTTTTGTTTGGTTGGTTTTGGTCCCACATGGGGCAGGGGGAAGTAACAAGCAGATCAGGTGGGAGTCAGTGCCAACTAGACCCTTTTGGCCAAGTTTAAGCAACAAAGAGGCTTAGAAGGAGTGGCTCCTAGGCAGTGGGCTTTTAGACAAGGACAATACATAACAAAATCCAACAAAAGCAGACATCTAAAAAGCTAACCTGGGTGACACATAAGCGGTTATTAGAGTCATATTTATGGACTTGATTGTAAGTGCCCCAAAAGGATCAGAACTGTAATGACAAAAAGTTAAAAGAGTGATAGTTAAAATTTTGATGGACAATTTAGCAATTAACAGAATGGTATATCAGTACCATTAACTTTTTGCTACTATGTTTATCTAAATTTTGTATTTTAAAAGGCTTGATATACTTGAGAAACATAAATATAGTTAATATACAGGACCAGCAACAGTATCACAGCTCTATAGAGGTTATATATACATATTTATTTAGTTGTTGCTTTTGAAGTAAAACTTTAGATTTTCTCATCAGTTGTGGGGGGACAACAGTGTCAGTGACCCCAAATAGCTCAGTCACAGACACATATAAGGTACCTTCTAAGGTGTCTTAGAATCACCCAAGGCAATAGTTGTTTAACCATAGTTATGAGGTCATCTAGCAAATTTTACATAAACCAACTTTTAAATGAACTTTTATTAGTTATGACTCAGTTACCTCAGTCGTCAAAACCCTGACAAGAATCACCAGAAAACACAGGTAAATATTTATGGAGATTAAGTGTGGAGTTAAGAAACCTAACGTCCAAGAATCATGGCTCAGATGTTGATAAGGGATCACATCCTAGATTGTTGACATCAACACATGGCACCGTGACATACAGCAGGATCCCACCAACCTGTAGTCAGTGGAGCTCCCCTAAAATAACAAGCCCAATCTGGCCATACCAGGCCAAAAATTCCCTCTGCCTGACATGTGGAAGGAGTAGAACTAACATCTCCACTCTTAACTCCAATAAAAGCTGGAGGTCTTGACCTCCAGTGTAGTGTTCCTTTTTGAGGTTTTGTTTTGTTTTTTACTTTGCTTTACATAAGTAAATCCATCTCAGCCTTCCTATCAGTGCAGCAGCACTCCCTGTGCTCAGCTGCCTCTTGCCTCTCTGTGTTTTAATAAACTCTTTGTTGTCTTTGTTGTCTTGATAAATTTTTGAATTAACCTATAGCACCCAAAATTTCTGATAGTTATCTTGATAAAACAAAAACCTTTTTTAAGACAGTTTTTTGTAAATGTTATCAAGAACAATATAATATTTTTAAGATAGCCTTGTTATGAGGTTAGAGAATTAAGTTTTAGTTTAAAACCAGTACTTTAAATTTTGATCTTACAAAACCTTTAATGTAATTTTTAGATTTTAGTCAACTTGATCACTAACATAAGCATTTATAAGCTCCATCTTTTTATGACAACTTACTCTGTACCTTTATGACAACTTAGTTTGTATCCCCTGGGGGAGTTTGTCTTTATCCTTTTTTTTTTATTTAAAATATTTTTTTAACCTTTTATTTTCAAAAACCATATCCTTAATACCTTTTATATGTTTTTTGTTACTTGTAAAAAATAAATCATAAAATCTTTTAACTTAGAGCCTTAAATTTGCATGAAAAAAAACAGAAAGCAACCTTAAAATTATTTTTTGTATAAAAACAATTTATAGAAAGCCCATTTATTAATAGACCTATGTATTATAGAGAGAGTTGAATCCCAGATTTTATTTATGACAGAATGAAACAGGCTAAGGTCATTTTTAGCTACCCAAATGTCAAGATTCCTGCTGCAGGGTGTAGCCCTTTCCTATGCCTGCATCCTGGTGAGACCTGATTGAAATAAGTTTGAAAACTGGTTTTCTTAAATGTAGCAGTAGAGCAGAACAAAAGTAGCAGTTTTTATATTGACTCTATAATAAGAACCATCCTCAAGATGTTTACATATTCATATGTAAAAAGCTTAAGTTTGTAACAAAGATTTTTGACACACTGATTTTTTGTTACCTTGAATATATTAACCTTATAACAGCAGTTTAAGAACCATTTTGAAGATGTTTACACACACACACACACACACACACACACACACACAAGTTTTATAAATTAATCATGCCAGAAAAAATTTCAACTTAAGCATGCATAAGATGAGTTGGAATTCCAGGAGCAAATTAAATTTTTCCCAATGCTTTAAACAAATTCACACACACACACACAAAATTAGAGTGCACTTTCAAAAAAAACCAAACATTTTTAAACCATACCCAGAGGGCTGTCTGGTGGAATGGTGGATGATACATCTGTTCTCTTGTGAGTCTCCCTCTTTGAAACTGAATTTTTGTTACCTATCCTTCAACCTCAGTTACAGCTATTTCCCGGGAAAAGCTCAACACCCTCCCCGCCTAGTACTGGAGATTTCTTACATTTTACCCAAAAATGCTTTCTTTTTACTTGTGGTGTTTCTCATCCTGGTCTATCTTGCTAGTGAGAAAACCCCGGAGGTGTCTCACACACTTTTGCCCTGCTCCCTAAACCTGAGAAACCCAGTTTTACTCCAGACAGGGTTACTCAGGGGTCTTTGAGAGGTGATCAGGCTCCCCTTCTGCCAAAGGCAGACCTATTATTTGAATCGGGGTTCTTAACCAGCCTGACAGGCGGGACTCCCAATTGGTTCCCGAGCCTTCTCCAGGTTCCTTTGTGCAACTGAGACTTGCTTTCCAGCATGCCAGAAGAGGCAAGTCCCTCCATTGGATCAACAGGCCCACTGGTGCCTGGTGGATACGCTCCCAACAAGCTGGGGGTGCCAAGTCCTGGTGACAAGGAGGTGAAGACACCAACTCCAAATCCTGCACATGAGCCCCCAGAAATATTATAGGATGGCTCAGACAGAGGGCACCAAGGCTTTCGGAAAACAAGTTTATTAAGCAGGTCAGCGGTGGCTCAGTGGATTCACATCCAAAGGCTGAGCCCCGAGAACAAAGGGGACTCACCTTATTTACCCTTGCACGCAGGTTACAGAAGCAAAAAGCAAGGTTTAACCCATATATGGTTTCATGCAACTCTGTTGACTACTTTACCCCCAGTGCTATGTGACCTTCTTCATGTTTAGATTCTTTAAGTTTTCTCTCTCTGCTATGCCGTCCTGTCCCCTCTGCTACTTTATCATAACAGAGACTTGCTATACTGTCACAGGAGCTCAGTAAGGGGCAAGTGATAGCTGTGAGGAGCTGTTTCAGGTGGCAGAGTTAGGAAGACTTGCAGACAGTGGGTTGGAGGGAGGAAGTGTGTGAAGACCTGGGGAAGGAAGAGGAGTAGGTTCACCCCAGGGGAGAGGCCAGCCCAGCTCTCTAGGGGCTGGCAGAGGTCAGTATGACCAGAGTGAAGAGCAGGAGCAAGGACAGAGAGCAGAGGGCAGGCAGGGCATCAATCACAAGTATGCAGACCAGGAAGACACAGTGCAGGGCAACAAGCCAGGTTCCGCTCCTTCCTCCTCCTCTCAGGCTGTAGCGAGCGCCTGTGTGTGTGTGTGTGTGTGTGTGTGTGTGTGTCTGTCTGTCTGTCTGTCGTGTGTGTGTGTGTGTGTGTCTGTCGTGTGTGTGTGTGTGTGTGTGTGTGTCTGTCTGTCGTGTGTGTGTGTGTGTGTGTGTGTGTGTGTGTGTGTGTTTTCATTGTTGCTCTATATGTTGTGCCTCAGGTGCTCTGCTGGAAAAGAAGGTGGACATGGACAAGCGTGGACTGGGAGTGACTGACTACAATGGAATGGTCACCAAACCCCTAAGCTGCCGCCCACCAATCTCCAAAGAGTCTTCCATAGACCGCCCCACCTATCTTGACAAGGTACAGATTTAAACTGCTTCAGCAGTCTCTCCTTTTATTTTTTTAACAAGGGATGTTTTCATTTTAACTGTCCTTAGTGTAAGGGAGATTAAAACCTTGCTGGATGCCAGGCATAGGTGGCCCATGCCTGTAATCCTAGCTACTCAGGAGGCAGAGATCAGGAGGATTTCAGTTAAAAGCCAGCTCAGGCAAATAGTTCACAAGACCCTATCTCAAAAAACTCCATCACAAAAAAGGGCTGGTGGAGTGGCTCAAAGTGTAGGCCCTGAGTTCAATCCCTACTACTGAAAGAAAGAAAGAAACCTTGCTGGACTGTAATAACTGACTTTTACCCTGTTTTTTCTAATGTACATGGATGTTTAACTCACAGAGGTAATGTTGCATTTCACACAATATTACTAGGAATAAAAATGCTGGAATTAAAAAATGATTTTCATTTTTATTGTACAAGCTTGTCTGATTATCTACTTCAATTTGCCCAACAGATAAGGGTCATCAAGTCTGTTTTACTGACTCATTTTAAATACTCAGTCCTTCTGTCTGGAAATGGTATGTTACTTGGTCAACCTTAAGGAGCACCTGGGTCTGGCTGGCCTCAGAGAGCATGTAGTTGCTGTAGGAAGCTCCTAGACGTTTAAGTCCAGTCACAGCTACATTTACACTAAACTTGTATCAGTTGTTTCTCTGAAATTCCAGATTAACTCGCCATCTTGTATTCTTTATTTGCTGAATCGGCAACCTTAACTAGACTTAAGAGGACTTTGCCAGCACTTCTGTTTCTTCCTGCCTACTCTACCCAAGTTAAGGGCAGTAGTATCTAAGAGGGAGTACTAGAAGCTAATGTATGTGTTTGTAAAACACTTTTTAAATGAAAACAGCGTCTTAATCCTATTTTTCTCTCTCTTTTCCCCTTCCTTTTGTCCATGTTCTCCATTCTCTCGTTATCTACACTTTTTTGATCTTTTAACTCTTTATTCATCCATACCCCTCTCTATTTCCTTGGGACACTGTTTGGTGCTTTGTCTGCTGGTGGACACTGCACACAGCTCACCCTTTCTTTTTCCAATCAGGATGGCGGCCTTGTGGAAGAGCCCACGACTTCACCGTTTTTGCCTTCCCCAAGCCTGAAGCTCCCCCTTTCCAACAGTGCACTCCCCAATCAGGCCCTGGGTGGGATTGCCTCAGGGCTGGGCATGCAAAACTTGAACTCTTCTAGACAGGTAAGGCTGTTGGGAAAGAGATGACCATTGTCTGTGTGCGCCTGGCTCTTAAAGAAATGTGCTTGAGAAGTAAACAGTCTTATTTTCTGTTAATACCTCTATTTTAATACATAATCGAACATGTAAGCATAGTTGAAAAGTGCTCCTAAGGATTTCCCTTCCTGTGACTCACGAGAGCCAGGAATCGATAACAGTGTTTGAAAAAAAAATTGTTTTTTAGCTTAAATATTTGCAACTAAGCTTGTTAACAGTATATAATGAAAGCGTACAAAGACTAATGTTGCCGTTTTTGGTTAGATGTAAGTCAGAGACATTCTTTAGTAAAGAACCTTCGAATGTAAATATTCCAGAAATTTCTCCAAGCCATCTGATCAGAACAAGTGTCTCTGAGTATGACATTACTTTAGAAGGTATTGGCATACATTTGAATGAAACTCAAGAATTTTTCAAAAGAAGCCATAATTAAAAAAAAAAAAAACTGTATTCAAACTAAAACAATTTTAATAGAACTTTCCTTTCCAAAAACAATAGTAAAGGAAACAAGGCATTTTATAAAATGTGCTTTTGAACATACCATAGTGAAAAAAATCAATGTGTACTTAACTTCCACCTCCTCAAAACAGAAGCTACTTTGTGTTGGAAACAAGGCGAAGAACAGCCTAAAAGCAGCTTCAGGCAAGGTCCCAGTGCCTAGAATTTAACCATGTGTCAAGGCTGCAACATTGCCGTCTTTATACTTAACTGAGACATGTTTGAGCTCTTCTCAGCACTCTTGGTGCTAACTTCCTGTTAGGGAAAGGCTGCCATGTTGCTGAGCAGTCTTTAGTCAGAAGAAAATGCCACAGGAGCTTCTTTCCCCTGAAGCAGGGCTGACCTCTCCTGTGAGGTTTCCAGAGACCCCACTGGATTGTTTCTCCCACAGTCTCTGATACAAAATGATGTTCAGCTGGGCATCGTGCCTCATGCCTGTAATCCCAGCTGTTCAGGAGGCAGAGATCAGGAGGATGTGAGGTTCGAAGCCAGCCTGGGCAAATAGTTCACGAAACCCTATCTTGAAAAACCCATCACAAAAAAAGTTCTGGTGGCGTGGCTCAAGGTATAGGCCCTGAGTTCAAACCCCAGCACCGCAAAAAAAGAAGAAAAGAAATGGTGTTCAAACAGACAACAAGCTTCCCAGCACAGAGCAGCCCTGCACAGTGGTTTCTCAGGGGTGAGGCCCACGGGCCCCTTTGTGCTTCCTTTGAAGGAGACCCTGGCATCTGGTGGGGCTGAGTGACCTGTGTGCCTGTAGTCCCTGTGGGATTGTCAGCAGGGCCTATCCACTCTCAGCAGCTCTCTGCTGACTCCAGGCATGATCCCAGTGCCTTTCCCTTTGCTAACCTGGAGGAGTTTAGCTGAAAATCTGCATTTCAGACAGTCCTGTGGATGTCCATAGCCCAGCAGGGATTCTGGGCACAGCAATGTCTATTGCTCTGTGACCCTCGGACAGCTTTCCCAAGAGAATCAGTGTGTCTAGCTTTATCTGTTGGTTGTAACTCCTGCCACAGAGTGAAAAATACATCCAGAATACATTTACTGTGTTCAATACTAGGTTAACCACATGAATTTGCCCATCGGTTCAATGCCAGGATTTTTTAAATAATAGCTATATTTCCCATTTGAAAGTGTTGCTCTTCTCTTGGGTCAGTGGTGATCACCACTCATTCATTCTTCTTTTGTGACTGACTGTAGACAGTTTTCTGTGTATCAACTAAACAGTCATGTCCGTGCTGCTAGTGCCTGAAACGTGCTCATGGTTTCTTTAACCTTGTTTGTAGACACTTTAAAACATACTGTTTTGCAGCTCCTGTGGTTTAAAGCCATAGGCAGCTTCGTAGGCTGGTTTTCCGTCTTCTGTAACCCGTGTGGACAGCACTCACCCAAGTGCGGTTGGGGGCAGGTTGGCAGTGGTGGGAAGCAGAGAAGTCTGCATTCATAGCAGGAAACACAGCACTTCACCTCAGCCTGCCTCCCTCCCACCTCCCTAATGGCCCACTCTTTCTCCCCGCAGATCCCAAGTGGCAATCTGGGTGTGTTTGGCAATAGCGGAGCAGCACAAGCCAGGACCATGCAGCAGCCGCCAGTGCAGCCTCTTAACTCCTCCCAGCCCAGCCTCCGCGCTCAAGTGCCTCAGTTTCTATCCCCTCAGGTCAGACTCGTACCCAGGTGGGAAGCACAGGAGGGGTGCCACACGGAAGCCATTTCTAAAGTGAGGGCTGAGTCAATCTGTACCTAAGCAGAGGCCTTTACTTTTTCAAGTGGTGAACTCACTCTTCTGCCCCTCAGCAGCTCCACCCGTATGAACCTGTGTCACACATCCGCTGGCCAGAGCAATACTTTCTTTTATTTTTTGGGGGACAGTACTAGGAATGGAATCCAGGGCTTTGCTAGGCAAGTACTCTACCACTGAGCTATACCCCAGAGCAATTCTAAGACAGGGAAGCCGAGCCCCACACACCACTGTTGCTGTAATTCCATGCTGGTTTTTCTTGAAAACGTTAATCCAGTGACCCTGATGATGGTTCTGGGTCTCTGAGAAAGGAAAAGGCTACACTGTTTCCTGGGACCTCAGAGAGCTGCTCAAAACAACCCAGGATTGAGTGATGCTTTAGTGAAAAGCTGAATGTGATCACATGTAAGAGCACATGGGTATTATATGTGTCTAGTTAACCTTCAGTGCTTAGTATTGTATCATTTTTGCCAAGAGATTCTTAAGAAAAAAAGTCAAGTGAAATGAAGGGAAAACCAGTTGCAGTCTCACATAATTCTTAAGACCTAGGCATCATGTTGACCTTGTTTAATTCACAATTTTCCATAAGTTTTTAGTCTTTGCTTTGTTTGGTTTGGTTTGATGGGACTGGGGTTTGAACTCAGGGCTTTATGTTTGCAAATCGGAGGCTCTACCACTTGAGCCACACTTCCAATCCATTTTGCTCTGGTATTTCGAAGGTGGGGGTCTCGCTAACTCTCTGCTGGTATTGACCTTGAACCAAGATCCCCTCCCCATCTCAGCCTGCCAAGTAGCTAGGATAACAGGTGTGAGCCACCAGTGCCAGGCTGCTATTAGTTTTTAATTACAGTGTGACAATCCTTAACCCTTGTGAGAATATTCAGTAATCAGTTACTTCATATTGATAACATCTTCGAGCCTTGGGTAACTTAGAGCTTTACTCAGTATGTAACTGGGGCAGAGGAAGACTGAGGTCCTGCCTGGAAAGAGCAAACCCATCCTGAAGTCCCCACCACCAGCTGGTGTTCTTCTGGCAGAGGAAAGAACTACCTTCTCTCCTAAGAGATTTCTGTTAGCAGGAAGATATTTGGGGTTTCTGAGGGATCTTATTTTCATCCTTTTCCAAAATATAACATTCTAATCAATATTCTATAATTCATAAAATTTGATTTGTTGGAATATGGTATCTTAGTCCCTTTGGGCTGCTATAACAAAACACCTTGGCCTGAGTAATTTATAAACAGCCTGGACTTATTGCTAATAATGTTGAGGCTGCAAATCCATGGTCAAGGTGACAGAGGGTTTGGTGTCCAGTGAGGGCCCATTCATCCTGGATGGCCAATTCTGTGCATCCTCATTGACAGAAGAAATGAACAGCTTTCCTGGGCCTCTTTGATACGGACACTGGACCATTCGTAAGCACAGAGCCCTGGTGACCTAATCACCTCCCAAGGCCCCACTTTGTGCTGCCACACTGAGTATCAGGTTTCAGCATAGAAATTCTGACCGCAGTGAATGGGGGACACTGTTTGCATGCAGAAGAGAACAGGATGCACCAGGGAATTTCTTGAGAATAATTGTCACTCTAGTGGTTTGAACCCAGGTTTGTATACTGAGTGGAGATGGCTAGGACTTGGTAGATGACAGTTAAGTGTATGTCAGGATGCAGGGTGTGTCTGCTCTTCCCCATAGCAGCAGTAACAACTTGCTGAGTTGGCGAGGGAGGGAGGACTTGTAGAGCTGGCCTGAGGGGCAGGCTCCTGCAGGGTCCCTGCCTCCAGTCCTTAAAGTTTTTGCTTTGGCAAGACATGAACTCAGTCGCCTGTAAGAATGACCCAGAGCCACGGAAAGTCACGTGAGTAACTGAAGTATTTGAAGGAAGAAATCTCTCGGAAGAGTTTCTTCCTTTCTTCTTTCCTGTCTGCTTCCTTTCTCCCTTATTCTGAAACATGTGAACTGCTCACATTAAAATGTCCATAAATGTTCTAATGGCCTTTGGAATTCAACAAATACAATTATCAATTAGTTTGAGTCTCAAAAAAAAAAGTAAATGTTACAGTAGAGATACAGTGGCTGATGATGTGTTTTGTATTAAACAGGTTCAAGCACAGCTTTTGCAGTTTGCAGCAAAAAACATTGGTCTCAACCCTGCACTATTAACCTCGCCAATTAATCCTCAGCATATGACGATGTTGAACCAGCTCTATCAACTGCAGCTGGTAAGCGGGAAGATGGCTGGCGTTCCAGGGCAGGGAAGAGCTCCCCTGACCTTGTGTAGCTATGCCAGCACAGCCACACCCCATAGTCCTAGCTGCTGACATTTTTTTTCACATCGGGGTATGTCATCGTGACTACTTATGAATTAGGGAGGTTTTCACTCAAGGGTGTTTTTACCTAGTTTGTGAACTTTTAGTTCCTTCTTGTTCAGAGAACCTTCCAGACTGGCCTGTCTTTTCCTTTGAGCTCTCAGCCAGAGTTTTCTCGTTTGAGCCACAGAACACACATACAGGAATGTCACTTCAGTGGTTCATTCAGTGTGACTGTTCACTTCTGCCAGGGGTGGTGTGCACAAACATCGTTTTAAAAACACAGGGGTGAAGTTACTGCATCACCTGTAGTAGATACTGTGGCGCATTCAGACTTAATTCTTTCACAGAACCCCACTTGAGAACAGCTGATGTGACCCATTCATTCTTTAAAGTTTTATAATTTAACATACTGAATTTTTAATTTTCAGACATTCTTACTGCTTTTACCTAGAATGTCATGCCATTGTATTCCTATATACATACTGAAATGTATGTACACTAAAGGGCCAAGTATATTATTTCATTCTTTAATATCCAGCACCTGATTTATTTAGAAGTCTTATCTATATAAGTCTTATCTAGTATCATCTTTGCTTAGAAAATAACGAGGAGTCATGAAGGAAGTAGAAACAAACACACACACACACACACACACACACACACACACTCTCTCTCTCTCTCTCTCTCTCTCTCTCAGAAAGGAGGCCAGAAAGGGGAGCTCCAGTGAACAAAACCATTGATAAGTAAAACCTTTGCTTTTAAATTTCCTCAGGCCCCCCTTTGCTGGTTTTAGGCATACATCTGTCAAGTTTGAGTATCTGGTTTTGAAATAAATAGCAAGAGAGGATGGAAGGAGGGAGGGATATCCTTGCTGCCTGAAGAGCACAGAGTTCTAGACGTGGGCAGAACTTGGACTTGGCGTTGCCCTGAGACAATTTCTTGACCCATAACAAAGGAGATGCACTGAGGTGGGACAACACACATGTGCACAGCAGCTGGAGATCCCTGCCCCATAGGAGAAGAGGGACACCGTGAGCCAGGCACACAATGGGTGGCACTGCAGGCGTTGCTGCATCCTCATGGACGCAGCTGACTGCTAGAGTCTTTGAGTTAACTAACAGATTCTTACTGGCCCCTAAATGTTAAATTATGTGTAGTATATTCTGTTCCTAAATCTTTTCCCTAAGGTTAAATCCTGGGGCCTCTAGGGATTCATATAAGTGAGGTATTTCATTCCTCCATAATTAATGAGGCGTTTCTAGTAGTGTAAGCACTGCTTCTACTTGGATTCTATTTTAATTAAGTCCTTTTGCCAAAAACATCCCCAGAAATCCAAATCGTAAGAGAAAAGTCTGGAATACGCAGCCAGCATTTTGAAACGAGCAACCACTGTGCCTCAGTGTCGAGGACACTGCAGTGGGCCAGGCAGGGAGAGGCTACGTACCCTGCTTCAGGCCCTGTCTTTGCTGTAGTTCCCGTGCTACTGGCCGAGGTGGCCATGTGGCCTTTGAGGCCATAGGAGCTTTTGACACATTGATTAGGACAGCCTGTCACACTGTTCAGCCACATCATCTAACCAATCTGGACTGGAGTCTATCTAGATTGTTACAGGAATGTTTTTCTGTTTCATAAGGCAGGAAGTGGAAGCGTTTGTCGATGGCTTTTTCTTCTGACGCTGTCATTTTTCTGTGACTAGGCATACCAACGTTTACAGATCCAGCAGCAGATGTTACAGGCCCAGCGCAATGTTTCCGGACCCATGAGACAACAGGAGCAGCAAGTAGGTGTCATTTTGTGATTTTCCATGAGAGAGGAGACCCTAATTGATAAACTGTTATATTGCCATTGTTTTTTCCCCAGCTGAGCCTCCCCTTCAGAAGTCCTAGAACCATCGAGGTGTGGGTGGAGGCTTGCGTGTGAGCACAGTTGGTCTGTAAATTAGCTGTGCAGATCACCTCACCCCTACCTAAAGAGTGCATGTCTTTCCACCTGCCAGGTTGCGCGCACAATCACTAATCTGCAGCAGCAGATCCAGCAGCACCAGCGCCAGCTGGCCCAGGCCCTGCTTGTGAAGCAGCCGCCACCACCACCACCCCCGCCGCACCTGTCTCTGCACCCTTCTGCAGGCAAATCGGCCATGGACAGCTTCCCCCCACACCCCCAGACTCCCGGCCTACCTGACCTGCAGACCAAAGAGCAGCAATCTTCACCCAACACCTTTGCTCCTTACCCTCTCGGTAAGTCTCCTATGGACTTAAAGGCCACACCAGGTAGAGGGGCTGCCTGGAGTCCACCCATGATGACCAGGGCTGCACCACATCGGGCACAATGGCTGGTTGGTGCTAAAACAGCACATCAGAAGTACAGCCGCAGACAAATCAGAGAGCAGTTCTCTGGAAACCTCTTCATAAGGGAGTAGCCCCAACTGCCATCTGTGGATACTGAGTTTCAGTACATCCAAAAGTACTCTGAGTACAAAGTCTTTGAAAGTAGTAGGCCATGAAGCCAGCCTGGTGATACACATTTGTAATCCAAGCACTTGGGAAGCAGAGGCAGGAGGATCGAGAATTCAATGCCAGCTTGGGCATAAACATAGTGAGTTTAAGGCCAGCCTGAGTTATGTAACAAGACCCTGACTTTAAAAGGGGGCTGGGGATGTAGTTCATTGGTAGAGTGCTTGCCTAGCATGCACAGGCTCAATTCTCAGCATCTCAAAAAAAAAAAAAAGTAGCACCTTGAAAACCCCTCCAGTGTTCCCATTTCCATGGTTGGGTCTGCAGAGTTTACTCATTCCTGGCTTATTTTTTTCTCTTCTGTTTTTGCCAGCCTCTGTCTTCCAGCTTTATCTGCAGAGAAGAGATTGTCTTGTTCTGCCAGTAAAGTGTTCAGACTTTCTAACGCAGGCTTACTTCAGGGCATCAGCTATAGCTACTGTAGTACAGAAAGAGACTTGAGTAACTGGCCAAGTAACATGCAGCACAGAGCCTGACCTGTCCAAGCAGACTGGGCCAGGAGAGCCACAGGTCTTAGGAGGCAGGGTGCCCACACTACAGGTCATGAAGGCTAGTCAGGAGAGAGACAGGTTATAACAACCACAGACAGCAGAGCAGCTAGGGGAAGCACCTCAGGCTTGTTTGTTGATTGCTGTCAGAGTCCATAGACCCAGGACAGAGGGAATCGGTAGCTTAGAATACATATCTCTAAAGTGGTGAAGGCTAGCTAAGCAGCAACAAATTTGCCACCAGCTGATAACTTCCCTCTCCAGAATGCTAATACGTGTGTAAAAAGAGTGGTGCATTCCAGCCCTATGAATTCCTGCTTGGCATGTAATAAACATGGTATGTCTAAAGTAAAACTGATAAAAGGGCTGGTGGAGTGGCTCAAGTGATAGAGCACCTGCCTAGCAAGTGTGAGGCCCTGAGTTCAAATCCCACTACCACAAAAAAAAAAAATTCCCATTTAACATAAAACTGACAAACCCATTATTGTCCCTGTGTTGAAGAAGCAGAAGTATCCCATCGTCAAGACCTGACTGAGGGTCGGAGTTAGGCTGCCTGGGTTTGAGTCCCAGCCCACACTAACTAGCCCACTGCTAACTTGGGCAACTTGCCTGACTCTTCTTTGCCTCAGTTTCCCCATCTATATCACCACATAGGTTTCTTTTAAAAGATTAAATGAGTTGTGTAAGGTTCTTAGACGGTGTACAAAGTGGTGAACACGTTGTTAGCTGCTTATGTAAGTTCCTCTGTTCTGGAATCATTTCAGGAACACATTTCTTCATCCACTATCCTGAAATGCTTGAGATTCCGCTCCTACCTCATTCCTGTTAACTGTGTTGGAAAGTAACATGCTTGGACCTTTATTCTTCAGGTTTTCTTCTTAGAATAATGTAAGAGTTCAATGCAAAGAATCTTCAGAATCAGATTAAAATAATTTTCATAAAATTCAATAGTATTCACATTGAAGTTATAAATGTATTGAGCATAAACCGCTAATAAGGTATAAGAAACAATCACCAGTAAAACCATCTATCTTGCTGCCTCTTTTTCTGTAGCAGCACAGATGCTAAAGAGCCTCTTAGAAACTAAACAATTTGCATGTCAGGAAGCCAGTAGTCCATGTTGTCATGGACTTCCGTCCTCCACCCTTCTTGCACTTTGAGCCTCTCCAGGCTCTTCTGTCTGTTGCCTCCTGGAATTGGCCATCTGGATGAGGTCAGGCATTATCGGTAGGATGAAAGAATCACACACCCAGTGACTTCCAACGCTATGGGGAAGGAAGTTCACTTTCACCTTGAGTAGCGAAAGAAACATCAATGAATAGGATGTAAGCTTGAGCCTCAGACCAAAAGCTAGAATTTCAGTGAATAAAGCTTTTGGTGCACTTGAGGCTGACACAGGAGGATCACAAGTTCAAGGGCACCCTGGGCTACGTGGCAAGAGCCTGTCTCAAAAAAAAAACTAAAAAGAAGAAAAAAAGAGGAGGGCTCTGCAAATAAAGGAGCAGAAAGCCTCAGAGAGAGCCCTGACATTTTCCAGGGCCATCCATGTTGGCAGGCACCAGGTCAGTCTAACTGTAGCTGACTTACAGAAGGAGGAGCTGAGAGGGCTAAACTGTGAGGCTTGGAGTGCTCTGACCTTCTAGCCACCTTGTACGATAGCTCTAGACAGATGAAAATGAGGACTGGGAAGCAGAGGTTGCAGGTAGGATACCCCTTGACAGTATCAGACTGCCAGGCCTGAAGAGTGTGTGACTGCAATGCATTAGTTACCAACATTTAAAAATGGGAAACGGTCGACTAACACTGGTTCCTGACCTCTCTTACAGCTGGCTGCATGGGGTCTGCATGCCATATGGCGGTACCTGGTGGGCCCGGTCACACCACTTACCGTGCTCCAGTCCCTCATGCCCACCTCACCTTCAGTGGTACTGCCTACCCGGCTCCTCTAGGCATTGGAATTTCTAGTCCTTGATTGAAAGTTGAGAACCAAAATGTTCCACTTTGCCTAGGAGTCTCCTCTGCTGTGTCACATAATACACATGGATGTGTGGGTGGACGTGTGGTATGGGAACTGTTGCCCTCAAGAGTGTGATCTGAAGTATTGGGCCACCCTGGTGTTCCTTGCTCCTCCCACCCAAGCAGTCTGCCACTCCTAACTGGTGTCCCTCTCAGGACCTCTCCTTTAGCCTCTGGTCATGGTCCTCATCATCATCTTTCTTGGCAAATCCGCCTGGAGCGTCAGCTCAGCATGCCAGCTGGAGGCCTGGCAGCACCCACACTCCTGTAACATAATTTCACCAAACATAGAATTGACTTATCCCAACCAGCTTGTTCTGTTGAGTGGTATGTCAGGATGCTGAGAAAGTTTGCTTTTTTGTGGGTAGTTCCCACAAGGTGATGTGAAATCCAAAAGGGTCTCCTCATTGTCTGCACTTACTCTGTTCTGTGGATGCTGCTTGGGAAGCCTCAGGAGTATGTTTATGTAGCAGGGAACAAAATGGAGAGAATTGTGGGGAGCGGAGAATGTGAAGCTTGTGAGAACTTGACATAAGCACAGCTATGCCCAATAATCTACAGGCCAAGTTGGCACGGCTCCGGCCACAGACGGGGGAAGGGCAAAATGCAACATGACTGCATTTCCTAAATTGTTTACGTTCAGAGGGTAGCAATCACAGTTTTCTCCTGTTACAGTGTCACACCCACCTCCTTGTTTGCCACTGTATATAAAAGACTGCTGGCAAGGGGTGGCTGCTGTGGAGGCTGCAGTGGGGGGCGGGGTGGGGGGGAGGGGAACGGCTGCTGTTGTGTGTCTGTGAGTCTAAATGACCGAGACTTTATGCTAGAGATTAGCAGAAAACATGAGACAGTGGGAGTACCGAGACTTTAAAGAATAGAAAAGGAGTAAGGTTTTAAAGAATAGAGAAAAGACGCAAAGTAAACGAAGAAAAGAGAAATTTTTAAAAAGTAACGAGGCTGTTGTGCGTCTCCATCTGAGCGCCCAACACACCTGAACCCAGCTTTCTGCATGTTTGTCTTCTATCTTTTGTTCTTTCTGCATCTCCAGTGGCCCCCAGTTAGGTTCATAGGACAGAGCCTGGTGCGGGTTGCAAGAAGAATCATGAGTCATGCTTAGTGGAAGACTATTTTCATTTTCACCTTAATTAGAGAATAGTATTCCTTATTATCCTATATTATATTAATACATATCATAATACACATATTCAAATATTAAATATATGTATATATTAAATACATGACATATTTAAGTTTTAGAGTGAGTGAGTGAGTGTGAGTGTGTGTGTGTGTGTGTGTGTGTGTGTGTGTATGTTAAAGAGAGTAAAAGTATTTTTCACCAGCATTAAAAGTTATGGTTGAAGTGTGTGGCTGCGACTAAAGGCTGAGGTTGACTCTCCAGGAAGGCTTTCAGAATCAGAGAAGGAGCAAGCCAACCCTAACAGTGTTTCTGTTTTCAGCTGGACTAAATCCAAACGTGAATGTCAACAGCATGGACATGACCAGTGGCTTGCCTGTGAAGGACCCATCTCAGTCCCAGTCACGCCTCCCCCAGTGGACACACCCAAACTCAATAGATAACCTGTCCAGCGCTGCTTCTCCCCTGGATCAGAATCCTAGCAAGCATGGTATGTCCTGTCCTGTCCTGTCTGCAACACCACACAGCAAAGGGGTAACTGCTGGTTTATTCATTGGTTATCCTGAAGTATAGATTACTTACTCCATGCATTTCTATGAATTCAACACCGAACCACTCCATGCCCTTGCAGAGTATGTAAGATCTCAACTAATCACAGAGTAAACTTCTTGAACCTCACCCATCAGATCTTAGCTCAAACCCAGAAATCACTGAAAATGCCCCAGAGCAGCAAAGACTATAGGTCATAAGCTGTATGCTTTTTATTTATATCTGTATTCAACAAAAATAAGTTTACTAGAAATTTTTTTTCAAAAAAAAAAAAAATACAGGAAAGCAAATGCTGAGAAAGGAGAAAGAAGCAAAACTGATAACCGTAAGAGACAATTTCACTATTGAGCATCACATTTAGTTCTGAACTTCCTGGTGGCATAAATAACAAAGGAAATTTTAATAGAGCATATAGTTCTTTCTCCCCCCCCCCCCCCGGTACTGGGGCTTGAACTCAGGGCCTTCGCCTTGAGCCACTCCACCAGCCATTTTTTTGTGAAGGGGTTTTTCGAGATAGGGGCTCTTGAACTATTTTGCCTGGGCTGGTTTCAAACTGCAGTCTTCCTGATGTCTACCTCTTGAGTAGCTAGGATTACAGATGTGAACCACCAGCACCTGGCTATATAGTTATTTCTTGATCTAAAGCAATCTAAAAGGAAAAAGAAAATTCTTCCTAATGGTTGATTCTATGAGAAAATCTCCCTTGTAGCACGTGGACCCTTTTCTTGGTACAAGAGAGCACTGGCCCCAAGATTGGTCTACAGATCTAAAACCTAGTTTATTCTTCCATAGTAAGGAAAGGACGCAATAAGTAAAACCAGAAAGGTTTCTTATGGGCAACTTCCAATAGTATATAAAGGTTTCCAGCCAGGCGCTGTGGGTCATGCCTATAATCCTTAGCCCTCAGGAAGCAAAGACCAGAAGAATCTTGGTTCCAAGCCAGCACAGGCAAATAGTTCAAGAGACCGTATCTCAAAAAAACCCATCACAGGAAAGGACTGGCAGAGTGGCTCAAGTGGTAGAGCACTACCTAGCAAGCAAGAGGCCCTGAGTTCAAACCCCAGTGCAGCCAAAAACAAAAGATTTCCAATTTGGCAAGGAGTATGTCTCAGTTGGTAGAGCAAGGCCCTGACTTTGATCCCTAGCACTTCAAGAAAACAGTGTTTGTGGAGCACAGTGGTGTGCCCATAGTCCCAGCTACTTAGGCTGAGGCAGGAGGATTGCTTGCTCCCAGCAATTGGAGACTACCATGAGCTTCATGGAGAGACCCTGTCACTAAAAAAAAAAAAAAAAAAAAAAAGTTCCCAATTTGACAAAGTAGAATAATTCTTCAAGACTTTTGGCAGAGAGCATGCATGAGGCCCTGAGTTTGATTCCCAAGCACTGGAAAGAAAATTCTGGAGTGTGATTATCACTACTTGGCCTAGACTAGCGGTTATAGCTCAGTAGCAGGGTGCTTGCCTGGCATGCACTAGGCCCTGGGTTCCATCCCCAGCACCACCTCTCCCCAAAAAAAGTTTTGGTCCTCCAAGGAAAGTCCTCAGCAGACCAAGTCTGACAATTCCTGTAACTCTGAAAGGGGCAAGTCCTTGGAGCTGGAAGAGAAGGCTCTGTGGCATCCCCTGGAAGCTCCAACAGAAAGTATTCATGCAGTTCCTGTCCTGTTGTCCTGTAGGTGCTATCCCTGGAGGTCTAAGCATTGGGCCTCCAGGTAAGTCCTCCATTGAAGACTCCTATGGCCGGTACGATTTAATCCAAAACAGTGAGTCACCAGCCAGTCCTCCTGTAGCTGTTCCCCATAGCTGGTCACGTGCCAAGTCTGACAGTGATAAAATCTCAAATGGCTCCAGCATCAACTGGCCCCCAGGTAAGACCACACAAAACTTCTGAGCAACGGCAGATCAGACCTACCCCTGAACCTGGGAGAGAGTAGGCAGAAGACCCAGGATCTGCATTCTGGGCTCTGGAACCATTGAGTCCATGGCTTTGGCATTCCCATCAGGAATCCATTTGATCAGTTTGGGCTGTGGTTGGTATCAAGCATTATTTTGCAGCCCTTCAGTTCACATAGGGGTAGGGGTGGCAGAGGAAGTAGGCAAGGGGTGCTGGATCCTGTCTGCTAACAACATTCAGATCATCATGTGGTAGTTGTTGTGCCTGGTTCTAGTTTGTTCTAAAGGAGTGATTAATGTAATGAAAGAGCATCTAGAGTGTGCCTCTGAATTTGATTATCAGAGTTTTTTAATTTCCAGAAACAGTAAAAAAAAAAAATATTTTTTTTAAATGTCATGAAGCAGTGTGAAGGTGTTTTAGTATGCAGCCTTGTTTCCGTAAACAGAATTCCATCCTGGAGTTCCATGGAAAGGACTTCAGAACATCGATCCCGAGAATGACCCTGACGTCACTCCTGGCAGTGTCCCTACGGGGCCTACCATCAACACCACCATCCAGGATGTCAACCGCTACCTCCTCAAGAGTGGAGGTGAGGGGCTGCTCCACCTGCCTTGTGGGAGGGTTTTCTAGGCTCCTGCTGAGGCACTGGCTGGCAGTGGGGCTGGTGAGATGGTGTGTCAGGCACAGTTGGTGGGCACCTTCTTGTCACATGACTGCTGCAGCATCAGGAGATAACAGGCAGTGCCTGTAGGGAGGTGGGGCATGGTTGGGGCACGTACTTCTGCTTGACTTATTAACACCACAGGGTCAGTGTCCCTCAACCAAAATGCTGGGGACAGACCAAAAGTATTTCAGATTTTGAAGATTTTTCAGCTTTGGATATTTGCATGAATTTTTCTGGCTGCACATCCAAAATGTTCCACCATAAACTCAAAGACTCTTTGGATTTCAGATCATTGGATGAGGGATATACAACCTGAATGTCATGTTACATCATTGCTTTAAACATTGTGTTATAAAAAATCATGATGTTAAACAGTAGCTTTTTAATGAAAAGGGTTCCACTTGAAATCTTGTAACAGTGAAAAGGAATTGATCCTTTCTCCATCCAATCCATTTTTCCTTTCCACAAAAACTCTGGTAAAAAGACTGAAAATGTATCCTGAGGACTTTCGGTGCTAATCTTGGGTTTCAGGATGCAGAAGAGGAAGTGTGGTTAGGAAGCACAGTGTGGAGCTCAGGTGCAGCAGCTCCCCTGTCATACGGCAGGCACATGCAGAGGCAGGTGCTAAAGAGCTGTCTCCCATAGTGTCAGCCAGGTTTCTAGACATGCCTGTCACTCTTACAGCCTATTTACAGTTCCCAGAGCATACATTTAGGTCCCACTTAACACCCATCCTGCTGGACCTTAGTGTTGGATCTTTAAAGCGCCCAGCTTCTGAGACATGCCTGGTCCTCATGGAAGCCACACGAGTACAGACCACCCATGTGCTGCGCTTCTTGGACTTTGCAAGTGTCCCCGATGTTAGGAACAGAGGCATGGTACCCAGAAATAGGAGCCTGCATGAGATGGCAGGGACACTAAAAGTAAGAAAATGATCCCGTGTATTCTGACACCTGTGGAGAAGTGTGATGTGGGTTGTGCTAATCCAGGTATTTGGAGAGGGCGGAAATGACTGAGGCTGTTCGGTACTCAGAGCTTCCTGAACGAAGCTTTGATGGGTAACTGGTGATTCCTCCTCCCCTGGGTGGCACCAGGAGCATTGCAGATGGCCTCCACCATCTGCCCAAGTGTCCTGGGGCAGCTGTCTTTGGTTGTATACCTGCCGATAAAAGAGATAGCCCGAGCAGAGTGGAATCTAAGCCTAAGAATGTATTGGCCATCAAGACAAGAAAACAGAATGCAATCCAGCATTACAGAAATCGACTAGCCTCTGCACCTGAGTGACTGGAAGCCCCACTCGCGCATGGTGCATCCCTGGTGTGCCCTGTGTCTCTGGAGGTCTCAAGCCTGCTGTGACACAGTGCTCAGCATCAGTCAGCCCAGGCTACAAGCACAGGCTATGATAGGCCCAGGCACTGAGAAATCATGATTCCTGGATGCTAGCACTCCTCAAGGCTGTGTGTAGCATCCTGTCAGGCTTTGTCTCTCAGAGAAAGGGGAGTACAGCAAGCGAATCTCTGAGTAGACGTTGTTGGCCACAGAGCACCACCACAGCGCAGTGGGAGTGACTGCCTCCCTGCTAGCACATGGCACTGCAGCCAGCCAGCTCCCCTGCAGACCAGAACCTAGCTACAGAAGGCTGTCATGTTGTCGAGTGACCTGCTTGACGTGAAGTACAGAGAAAGGAAGAAAAAAGAAATGCTCACAGTCCTCTTTACGTGCGCTCATCATGGGTTTTCTTTAGTGTATTAGGTATGAGCATTTTCACTAGATTGTCATTGGCAGTGAGTTCTGATTTATATTAAAAACTCACATCAGCCTCATCTTTGTTGAATACCATTCAGTTTGAACCCTTGAGAAGTAAATACCAACCAGAATGATGAAGTGCTTCATCTAGAAAGGAAAACTACGTCTATGGGACAAATTTGAAAACCAGGACATTGTTAAATTCTAGGCACTCTGTTAATTATAAGAAAAACACCACAAGGGTTAACAGTCTGTCACCCTGGGGTCTCAGGCTAATGACATGCTGGTGGTAGAGCTGAAGCTTTTGAACCAAAGACCACAGATGGGACACCAAAAAGTACACAAGTGTCAGCTCCCAACAGCTCTGCAGAGATCAAGTACTGCTGTTCACTGTGCACAGCACACCAATGGTACCACACTCCTGGTGGGCCCCTGAGTTGAGGGACTGTGACTTTTATATACTAAGTATTAATATGTATTTGTTGTACGGGGAGTTTCATTGTGACAAGGACTGTGGCTTTTGAGAAGCTATCAGGTTCTGTGCTCCTGTCCTGAAGCCGAAAGAGTACCCTGCTTGGACCAACCCACCACACATTGTTATTCCACAGCTTCTTGATTTCTTTACAGGCTTGTGAGGGAGAGTGACAGTTAAAAACAAACAAAGCCACATGGAGCTGAGCATGGCCATGAGGAACCCAGGTGCCGTGAGGGCCATGCCCATATGCCCCTTGTCCCCTGCAGGAGAGAAGGCTGAATTCATTTTCCAATTTTGTGGCTGTCGTTTGAATTGTGAAAGAATGAGTGTTGCCCTGTATTTAAATTTTTATCCTTTTTGAAAGGGTAAATCACTGTGGTACTTTAAAACTCTGGCGTGGTATTTTGAAGAACATGGAGGGGATTCTCTTCCCCCGTGACTAACCCCCAACCTCAGAGATTCATGCTGTTCCTAGAACTTTTTGGAATGTCCCAGGGGCTACAGGACTTAGAACAGGAGGCATCCCTTAACTTCCTCCCCACACCACACTTTTACATTTGGGGTTTTCTACGAATAGCAGCTTCTTAGAAAAAAACTCCTTAATGAGCTCAGCTCTTCATACCCCTGTCAGAGCTGCTCAGCACACACTTGCTGCCCCTCTCTCAGTGCCGTGTTTGGTTCTGCAGGGTCCTTCCCACCATCCTCTCAGAATGCCACACTGCCTTCCTTGAGTGCCTGGCCACTCAGTGCCTCTGGCTACAGTGGCTCTTTCAGCAGCATTGCTTCTGCGCCTAGTGCTGCAGGTATGAACTGGCCTCTCAACTTGCAGGTTGCATTTTCTTTCTTTCCCCAAACAGCTGTGAGATGCCACAGCTTTTCCTGTTGGTCCATTTGCTCCCTCCTGAGCTGGGAGGCCACGTGGTGATGGCTGCTGTCAAATAGAGGCAACACTGTCTCTTCCTGGGGTCTTGGAGATCACATGATGTGTAAGATGCAAGTGCGGACTTGGCCCATAGCTTCTGCCTGAATAGTCTGCTCCCCTCTTGCCTCTGCCCCTTGGCTCCATGACAAGGCAGCAGGTTAGAACGCACTGTTACTTTGAGTTTGCCATAGGGGTGGAGACTCAGGTAGGCCCTGTTGCTAGCTCCCAGCACCCATAAACACTCGTGTCCCACTGCTTATCTCAGTGTAATATCTGATGCACTCCCATATTCCTGTAGACCACAGCAGTCCTCCAAATAAGTCTTTTCTTTTAGGTTAGGGATCTTGGAGAATTGTTCATAAAAACTCCAGAGGAGCTGGGTGCCAGTGGCTCACAGCTGTAATCCTAAATACTCTGGAACAGAGATCAGGTTGATCTCAGTTGGAGGCCAGCTGGGGAAAATAGTTCTCAAAGCCCTATCTTGAAAATACCCAACACAAAAATAGAGCTGATAGAGTTGCTCAAGTGGTAGAGCTCCTGCCTATCAAGCATGAGGCTCTGAGTTCAAACCCTAGTGCCACTAACTAAATAAATAAAATCTCCAGAGGAGCCTGAAGTGGCCACACTTGTGATCCCAGGCTAAGGCAGGAAGATCATGAGTTCAGGGCCATTCTGGGCTACATATCAAGGCCCTGTCTCAAGGGCATAGATGTAACCCAGTAGTAGAGTGCTTGCCTAGTATGCACAAGGCCCTGGGGTCGGTCCCTAGGACCAAAAAAAAAGAGAAGAAAAGAAACTCAGAGGGATTTGAATCTGAATTTTTTTTTTCTTTTTGGCAGTACTGTTTGGGGTTTGAACTCAAGGTCTTAGCCACGCCCTCTGAACCTGAAATTCTTAGACATAAATCTGGTACACATTGTGAGGCAGATTTTTTAATAGATGTATTGTTTGTGAATTTCTTCACATATATCTCTATATTCTATTAAACCTTCTCACCCTCATTTTTTAAACCAGTGTGCTATACTGTCTACCGCATGAGGGCCACATTCAGGCATCAGTTTCCTCCTTAGGCAGTCTTGTGATACCAGTACCTAGGGGAGAAAGCAGTTTTGGTGTAATCTAGCATCTTATTTAAAAAGAAAAACAAAGCAAGAGCTTCTGTATTCTTTATTCTTTCTAATGTTGATTGAACGGCGGGTTTAGACCTTTAATCTTTCCACAATCATATAGTTAAAGAGCAAGGGTAAAATAAAATCACCTTCCCTATAGCCGAGTCAGTTCTTAACATCTTTTTTGGTTGTTGTTGTGGGTGGCATGGGGTTTGAACTCAGGACCTCATGCTTACTAGGTAAGCACTCTACCACTTGAGCCACACCCAAGGCCGACCAAGTCAGTTCCTCATGGCATTTTCCAAATCTAGCATTTGTTTACTGAGTCACAGTCCTCAGTAGCCAGGCTTGGGCACCACAGCTGTGCCATCTGTGGATACTGTTTGCTGCAATGCTGTTCCACAGGGAGCAGTGAGCACCCTGCTACCTTTGTGCTGCCTCCCCTGTCTGCACAGAAGCAAGTGTCCAAGGCTAGTAGTCATTACTGATTTTAGTTTTTCTCCCAAAGAGCTATAACACAGTGCATTTCCTCCCCACCACACACACCCCCCCACACACATCCTGCCCAGGCCGGTACCATGCAGGTGCTGCACTTCAGCCTGAGGGCAGCAGGGCTGCAACTGTGTCTACAGCATGTCAAACAAGGTGGTCTCTGGAGCCTTTGGGAAATTACACTGGCTGGTGGGGAGGGTGGTATGTCAGAAGGAGCACTGCTCTGACAGAGGATGGATGCTTCAGAAATAGCATAAAGAAGGATATGTACATAGCATGGTTCTGACCTTGATTGAGGGCTAATGTCATGAAGACATGCCCTGAAAGAATATGTTAGTAAATTAACTTTACGCTTGAACCTCAAATGCTCTTTTCTTGATGACAAATGTTAGCAGATCAGAAATACTGGCAAGGTTTGAACTGGATGCAGACTGTGTCTTTAAGCAGAAATTACAGAAAGCATGGCTGGGCACACTGGCACACACACCTGTGGTAACAGCTACTCTGTGGACTAAAGTAAGAGGATTGATTGAGCTCAAGTTCGAGGCCAACCTGTGTAAGCAATGGAGTGAGATTCTAGCAAAAAAAAAAAAAATCAGAAAAAATGGAGCGTACAGTGGCCTTGCTTCGAGGCACTTCATTGGTGTTTCTTTTTCCTCCCGTCTTGCTGGTATGAGAGAACACTGCTGGCTCCCTCCCTAAACCCAGCAGTCACTTTTCCTCTTCACCTGCAGAATACATATGCTGTGTTTCTTTGCCTTCTAGGTAAACTGTCAGACATTAAATCAACATGGTCCTCTGGCCCAGTCTCCCACACGCAAGCCTCGCTGTCCCATGAGCTGTGGAAGGTGCCCAGAAACACTACTGCACCCACCAGGCCCCCACCAGGGTTAGCCAATCCCAAACCTTCCTCCACCTGGGGCGCCAGCCCCCTCGGCTGGACCAGCTCCTACTCTTCCGGTAAGTGCTTTCTCCTCATGTTGAGATGGGCTTAGGGCACTTCAAACTGCTTGGCTCATTCCTTAGGGAATGTATCTATTGCTTTGTCCCCACAACTCCCTTGTCAAGACTCCTGCCTGCCTCCCTGGAGGCTGGGAGGGGTTAGGTTGCTGAGGCCACCTGGACTGGCACAGTATTAGCCAGCCAAACCCAGTGTTTGAGCATCAGCCCTGCAGGTGTAGCTACAGTGGCTTTGCTCTGGGCCAGGAGGTTCCAGCAGTCCCAGTGCCCATCCTGCTCTGAGCCGCGTGTGCTGTGTCCTTGAGAGACCCATTCAGCCTCCATCAGCCAGCACTAGTATTTCTCCTTCTTGTATTTGCTTCTCCATGAGATTTCATTGGAATGTAAGGGCTTTCTAGGCCAGAAACTAGACAGACCAGCCATTTAAAAGCCACACTGTTGTGCTGTTGCAGCTCTGTAGGCTCTGGGGTTCACGCTAAACCGGGGGAGGAAAGAAAGGTTCTGGGCATTTAGGTGACTGAAGGTGTAGGTCAGCTGCAGAGAGCTTGAGAGAGCATTCCAGCCTTTCAGTAGTGGCCCCTGTGAGTTCCCTTCATCTCATTAACAAGCAGCATTTTACTGTGTTGATTCTAAGTGGGGGGTTGGATTAGGCCAAGGTAGGACACCAGAACTTCTCAGGTTACTCATCTGTCCCATCTCACCTGTCCCTTGAGGCACAGATAGGAAGGCACAGGCCTCCTGGGCTGGAGGGCATTCCATGAAGTCAGGTTTTCCCAGGCTGTAGGCACGGTCTGCAAGCATTGTGAAGTTTGGTTTATCAGAAGGCACCTTAGCTTCTACAAGGCTGAAAAGCTTAAAGCCTGCCATGAATTTTAGCTAAGATTAGAAACTTGGAAGGGGGCGGCCACCTGACTCCTGTGTGGCCTGTCAACTGAGTTCTTGTCCCCTGGACTTGTCACACAGGTTCTGCTTGGAGTACTGACACCTCAGGAAGAACAAGCAGCTGGCTCGTTCTTCGCAACCTCACGCCCCAGGTACAGGCACCGGTGCGGTAGGAGGAGAGCCCTGCGGTGCCCACAGGGTCACTGAGCAAACCACTGACTGTCTGTGGCGGGTGTCCTTGCTCAGGGTTCAGGGATGACAAGGACAAGTGCAAGGAGATTGTGAGTGCTGGAATAGGGCTCAGGTGGCACAAAACAGACACAGCTAGGGGGCTGCTTCTAACCTGCTCCCAATTATTATTTACCCTTTAGGGCTGAGAAAGTATGCCTTAACAGAATTGCTTATCTTACAACTGCCCTTCAAGAGTGACTTGGCTGCTGTCTTACACAGTGGTCACCATTCTCAGGCCTGGAGCACATTACCTGCAAGGGACTGGTACCAGGCTCTGTGGGGTATGCTCTGTGAGAGAGCAGCAGAGCACAAAATGGCATTTTGGTTCTTCCTCTGATTGCTTTAACTCATGAAAGACAACGGAAGTATCCAGCATTTCAGGTTTGTGCCTGGCCACAGAGGCATCTGTCAGTGTCAGAAAGCTATATATACATCACTAAGCCTTTCAAAGGAAAACCATTTTCCTAATGTTTAGTGCATCCAGTTTCAATGCCGTGTATGCTTAATGACGTGAGAGATGTCAGAGGAAGCCGCCTGGGTGCCCTATGCTTCCTCCTCAGATCGATGGTTCCACACTGCGGACGCTGTGCTTGCAGCATGGGCCTCTCATCACATTCCACCTGAACCTGACGCAAGGCAATGCCGTGGTCCGCTACAGCTCCAAGGAGGAAGCTGCCAAGGCCCAGAAGTCTCTGCACATGTATGTTTCTTCTCAGCTGCCCAAAGAGCTACAAGTACCCATGAGTGTGGGGAGGGGAGGGGGAATCCTGGAGCTGCCCTCTCACACTACCCCAAGCTGGGCACCTCAACTATTGTTTCATGGTTCTGGATGCTGGAAGTCCAAGAGCAAGGTGTGGGCAGACTGGATTCCCTTGAGGCCTCTCTTCTCAGCTTGTAGAGAGCCATCCTCCCTATGTTCTCATGTGGCTGTCCCGTGTGCATCTGTGTCCTGATCTTGTTTAAGGGTACCAGTCTTTGGATTAGGGCCGCCCATGTGACTTCAGTTAATTACGTCTGTGAAGACCCTGTCTCGAAACAGTCACCTTTGGAAACACCAGGGCTTAGGATGTCAGGGTATTAATTTGGGGAGAAACAGTGGAGTTTATTGTCAGTGTGTCATGATGAGCTGGCTTCTGTTGCCACTGAGTTGCTGTGCTACTCCTCCATAAGGAAAGGCTCCCAAGGGCACCTGGGAGGATCCAGTGATAGAAAGCATGCACCTTCCTCAGAAATGTCCAGATAGTGACACTTCTCACAAGGGCATGGGTGGGGCTCACCACAGCCCTGCTGCCTCAGTAGGAGGCTGCTTCCCATATAGTGAAGTAGACCAGCTCAGAAGCATCACTTGAGCAACCATGAGGCCTAGAAATGAGTCCTGGTGTTAGCCAGGCTGCAGATTGTGCTGATGCTAATTGACCTCCTAGTTTGACGGTGCATTTAACATGGGCTCCACACACCAACACACTATCGCTGCCAGAAGTTTGCTAAAATGACCAATGGCAGCACAGCCAGAGGACTGTGTTGGGTAGCCTATGACCTGAGGCCTTCAGCTGTGCCTTTTCTGGTGGCACAGCCTCAAGACTTGGAGTGGTGCACTCACCTGACCTCCTGTTTTCTAGGTGTGTGCTGGGAAACACTACCATCTTGGCGGAGTTCGCCAGCGAAGAAGAAGTGAACCGGTTCCTAGCCCAAGGCCAAGCCCTGCCGCCCACCTCCAGCTGGCAGTCCAGCAGTGGGAGCAGCCAGCCACGGCTGGGCACCTCGGGCAGCACCCACTGGAATGCCCCGTGTCTTGGTGGCAAAGGGAGCAGCGAGCTGCTGTGGGGCGGAGTGCCCCAGTACTCTAGCAGCCTGTGGGGCCCACCCAGCACTGACGATGGCAGGGTGATTGGCAGCCCTACCCCACTGAACACGCTGCTGCCCGGGGACCTGCTTAGTGGGGAGTCCATCTAGGCACCGCCGTCATCAACGAGGAAGAGAGCTGACCTTTCCAGGCCCGGTGCTGTGGCCCTGCTGAAGGCCGAGCCACACTGCCCCTTCAAGTACCTCTGTCCAGTTCTGAAGATGAACCGTGGCCGCGGCCCTTGTGAACTGTTCCTAGACAGTGCGGGCTGCGTTTGGTCAGTGTCACATGCTAACGACAGGATGTCCCTTGTAGCTCTTTATTTTGTGTCGTCTTACGTTCGTATGGAGTGTTGTCATTTTGAGTTTTAAGTATAAAAGCTGCTTAGAATAGTTCTATCATGAAGGGCACTTTTCAGATTGTGGGCTGGAAAGGGTTATTTTGTCATGGGGGGAGGGAGGGGGATGCGAAGCCTATTTAAAGTGAGCCTGTGACGGTTATGCACATTGCCAGAGGCGGCGGGGCAGGGGCAGGGAGGCTGGTGGTGGTGTGCATCGAAGGCACAGAGCTGAGCGGGCGCCGTCTGCCATCTGCTCTCTGTCCCCCCTGGATCCGCCTATGCACATTACCCTTGTTTCATTACTTTTTCATGTCATTTTTTTATCCCAAAAAATATTTTTTAAAAGTTTAAAAAAAAAAAAAAAGACATATCAAACATGCAAATACTTGAATCCAGCAGGCCAATAATGAAATGTGAACACTTTCTAATTCTACACTTCCAGGTTGACATCAGTACACAGAAACAGGCTCTAGGAAAAATTTCTAAGTTCATAGCCTATGTGTGCGAGCATGGGTGTGTTGCGTGTGTGCGTGTGTGTGAGAAACTGTGCATGTGTGTGCGTGCTCCTGCACGGTACGCGTTTCTGGTATGCACGTTTGAGGTGTGTGAGGGATTTAACCGTGGGTTCTCCCTTTTATTCAGTGTATGCTTTTCTTGGCGCATTGGTCGAAACGTTTGTTGTTACTGTTAGCTTCTAACTTTGCACTGAGGCGTCCCTGCCCTTTCTTTAGCTAATCCTAAACATGAAGAGAATTCACAGGACAGGGCCGGCGACAATTCACGTGTAAATGTTTACTCAAGGACTCTGATATTGCGTTTAAATTACAGTGTATATCTCTGGAGAAGTAATATGTGTATCTACCTTTAGCAGCTTTTTATCATGGACTAATGCAAGAAAATTATTACCAGAGTATTGCACCATTTTCCATTTGGAATATAAAGCTAGAACTGTTGCTGAACTGTGGCCATAGATACTGGTGGAGAGTGGGTGTTCCGCCCACCGAGCGGAAGCCAGCACTTGGATGTGGTTGGGACTGCTTTTGGAGGAGCCCGTGGTTTGGGCTCCCACCTGTTTACAGACCTTTTTTTCTCCTTCAGACTTTTAAAATTAAAAAAAAAAAATTTAAAAAGGAATTAAAAAAAAAAAAAAGAAAAAGACTTCTGTCCTAAAGAAACCTATTTTCAGAATGCAGATGCGTTACTTCAGAGCTCTGGGATTGGACAGTGCTGTCCCCCTGCGGCCATCATCGTGGACTCTGTTGATTGTTCTCGTCCCTTTGTCAAGGTGACAAGGCGCTGTGGTCACTGTCTTGCACATGCGGACACGCTCTCAGGAAAGCCAGGGCTCCCGAGGGCAGCTCCACACCATTTCATGTATTTTTAAACCCAACTCCTAGCACTGAAGATGTTATTAAAAAAAAAGAAAGAAAGAAAGAAAAATTTAAAAAAATAATAAAAGAAGAAAAGAGGAAAAAAAAACAGAAGAAAAATACCTAATCTCTAATGTGTAGCAGTTACATATTTACCAAATAATGGACTCAAAAGAAATAGATGTTTGAAGAGTGCTTTATATATTAAAAATTGCTTTATGTTTTAAAAATGATTGATGTTTTGATTGTTTTGCAAGGAAGAAAGACAATGGAACAACATACCCTCAAGTATGTTTAAAAATAACCGAACATTGTGCTCCCTGCCTGCCTGATCAGGAAACTTGTGCATTACATTTTTTTAATTAGCTTTTTAATGGTTTTATCAAAACAAAACAAGAAAAGAAAAAAAAAAAAGAGTCCTGCAAGTTTGCAGATCAACAAAAGCTGGTTTTATAGAGGATCATGAGCTATGCACAAACTGGGTTCAAGACTTTTTCTCAAGAGTAGTAGTGTGTTCAGCTGAGCAGACCCTCCTCAGCTCAGAGTGACTGCATCTCACCAACCTTGCGTGCATTCTGTGTTGACAGATGCATCCTGCACATGCAGATCAGATGTGCATGCATGCACACCCAGACATGCAGTTAGCTGTGCTGCCACTCAGCACTGAGTTACAGAAGAACTCCTGATGTTTTAAAATTCAGGATGGAAGTAAAGGATCTGTTTTGGTTCTGGGGTTTTGTTGATTTGTTTGTTTTTTGGGTTTTGTTGTTTGTTTTGGTTTTTTTTTTTTTTTTTTGACCTTTTATTTTGAATTTAAGGTGTCTGTGACTCTGAGATAAAAACAAGTTTGTGGCTCTTACTGTCTCTCCTCATAGAATGTGATCGTTGAAGAACACACACCGAAAGTTGCTTTCAGAACTACAACGCTTTGTTGAATCTTAATAAATTGCAATTTTTTTCTTGGCTATTCAACTTAATGTGTTTTTCATTTTTCAAAGACAGACATCATCAGTTTTTACTCTATATGCTGAGATTAGGAGAGTCTTCCCGCTGTGGCCAATTTCCTATCTCTTTTTTTACGATGTCCTCAGAATTTAATGTAGACTTAGTTAAGTTCAGAATCTTCATAACTCAGCTTGTAGTTTTATCATTTGCTTTGCTGTTAACATTTAAATCTTATTAGTAACCTAGAAGGCACAACAGAGCTTCCAAGCTCCATGACCACCACCACGCCCAGCCCCACTGCCCCCACCATGGCTGTCTGAACCTGGTTCATTTGGGAACCAGTGTTGTCAGGGCTGGGCCAGGGGCTACTAGAGATGCACTGAGGACCACCACAACCTAGGCCCGAGTGTGGACATCAAAAACGATCAGCTGGGGATGTAGCTCAGTCAGTGCTCAGAGACCCAGCCACCTATGGTCCTACCATTCGATCAGGAGGCTGAGGTGAGAGGACAGATGGAGCTTAGAAGTTGGAGACCAGCTTGGGCAGCACAGCAAGACCTGACTCAAAAGAAAAACATGGGATATGAGTAAGGAAGGTTTTTGCGACTCCTAGATGTTTTTTTCATCTCTTTCTATAAAGCCATCTTAGCTAGTAGCTAACCTCTGTGGGGCAGCACAGTGGGACCTCAGCTTTTTCACTGCAGAGTTACAGGTGGCAGCTGGAAATGGAAATGGTCTGTTTACCTCAGGTCCACCCCTAGGACTCTTGGCATGACCTTGAGTGTGTCTTGTGCCAACACTTCCACTCCATCGGTATTGTAATGTGTCTGGACAGCAGAGCAAATGCCACTGTTGTCCTAACCGACTGTCTCCCTGCCATGTGCATCAGTTCCACCTCAGATGGAGAGGTCCACCTGCCAGCCAGAGACAACTGCATCACACAGAGAAGATGGTGAATTGCTGGAAGTTGAGGGCACAGAGGAGCCGAATCCAAGAGAAAACTAAGGACCAGAGAAAGAGTGGAACTCGGGCACAGGAACCACCATGGGCACTCAGCACTCTGAGCAGCAGCCTGGGGTCTGCTCGGCCCTCTAGCAGGGGTTCAGTACCTGCCTGGAGTGCAGTCGCAACAGTGCCTCTTCCCGAGAGGCCGAGTCCAGTGCCGTAAGAACAGCCAGGCCTTAAGGACTCAGGCTTCAAGGAGGATGAGGAGGAGGAGGCAGCGGCAGGCAATACTTTTCACAGCCTGTGTGGCCAGGTTCAACGTTGACATGGGAGTGTGCAGGGAACAGGTGGGGAACAGAACATAAGCCGAGACCCAGAATGCACACCAACTGTGAAAGCCTCATTCATTGAACTAGATGTCCAAAGCCCTGGGCTCCACTCCCAGCACCACACAAAAAAGAGAGCTGGACCCAGTGGTCAGCGCCTGTAGTCCCAGACCTCAGGATGCTGAGGGTGAGGCAGGAGGATCCAAGTGGGTTTCTGGTACTCACAGGTGAAAAGGAGGCCTGATGTGTAGAATCAAGAAAATGGTGGGTTCAGAGCTGCCCTTTTTGTGTCTTCACTGTTGTGGCAACAGCATGGCAGGACGGTAAAGGCCAGCAGCAAGGCGTTTGGTGGAGGCGGCGGGATGGACAGAAGAGGTGATGTCAGGCAAGTCAATTCCAGGGACAGAAAGGATGAGACGAGAGATGCCATGGGGGTGGTCTGTGTGTTCAATAGAGAATTACCAGAGATGGTGGATGTTTCACCATTCTTTGTGGCAGTAGCACCTTTGGATGGACCACGAAAGCCAGTGCACGTCAAAAAGGAGCACGCCTGACCTGGCCTCCAAGGCCAGCTCATTTGTAGACACTCTTAAGTCGACAGGACCACCGCAGGCTTAGGTGATGGTGGTTGTGACCTACGGCCAGAGTTCTGAACCTTGGCCCCCAGTAGAGTCCCACTGCGGGGCACGGCTGTACCAGCTCATTCCAAATCTTACAGGGAGCCCTAGAACATCCCATGGTTGCACCCTGCCACCAAAACATCAAGAAGCAGTGCATAGAGGATTCACGTTCAGCCTGAAATGCCAGTGATGACCTCCCACCCACCGAAGTAGCAGTTTGTAAACTCCAAGCCTTGGGCTGACCTTATTCAGCAACCACAGGTGCCTTTTTCTTTATTTACGCGACACCTCAGGTACAGGAGCTAGGTACGGGGTAGCTCTGAGGTACAGCACATGCTAGGCGTGGTGAGGTCAGGAGGTGAAGAGGTCACAGGGCATGAGTGACTCCGCAGCCCTCCCAGCACCACACATGGGCTGCCATGGAAGAAGCACAGAGAGATGTCCTAGCTGTGCATTCAGAGAATGGAGCCAACAGACGGACAGAGCACTGGCCACCCAGTGTGCAGCTGGTGAGTCTGGAGCATGCAGGGCAGCAGCACGCTGAGGAATTCCTTCTCAGGAAACTTCAGCGCTGCTCTTAAGGCTGCTTATCAAATGAGACCCACCCGCGTGATCACAGATCCTCTCTTCTACTTAAGGTCAGCTAATTTTACATGTTGCCACATCTGCAGCCTCCCTTCACAGCAACACCTGGATTCCAGTTTGCATCCAGGACCTCTGGACACAAGTGACAGCATGCAGCAATTCTGCAAAACCCCAGGGCAAGCTTTTTCTCTTGACTGAGTAGCCTGTCCTGACTTCAAGGAGCTGTGAGGCAGAAATGACTCAGTCAGAACCAGTGGTCATACTGAGTCGAGCAGCAGTGATCTACTTATGTGGTCCATCCAGGACTTCCAGGTCAGCACCTGATGGGTGTGGCCTAGAGACCCCAGGTCAGTCCTGCACTCATGCCAAGATGTAGTCAAAAATGGCCACTCAAGATTGACACCAGCTGCTTTGCAAGGCCCCTAAGCACCACCCAGCTCGGAGGAGCCATGAGGAACACAGCATCAAGGACTATAGCAGGTCCTCATGTGCCACCCAGACGGATGCCAGGTAAACTCCAGGGCTCTCATCAGCCAATGGCACCTACCTCTGGACATCTGCAGAGCACAGAAGTGTCCCATGGGACTGTCCCCAGGAAGGCACAGCACTGAGCGAGCACAAGTCCAGATGGGGGATGGCTAATGGCCAGTGGCTTTGGTTCCACTAGAGGATGATAGGGCCAGGCGGCTTTGCTCTCTGACTCTTTTCCTCCCCAGGTTGGCTTCCTCCCCAGGTTGGCTTCCTGGTCCTGAGTGTAGCTGTAGATTTGGGACACTTGAGGCTGTCAGCGATCAGTGTTCCTTCTTCCCTGTGCCCACTCTTTGGTTCAGAGCACCCCCACAGACTCGTCACACTTAGCCCATCAGATCTGGGTCTCCCACAGCTAGTCACAGAGAGCCAGAAGCAGGCCACACCCCAGGCATCTCACAAGGCGCCCTCACCTCCCCTAGCTTGGTTGCTGGCTGCCCCTTTCCCCACTGCTCGTTGTCTCCTCTGAGTCCTTCCCTAAATCTGCCTCCCTCTCCTGCCCAAGTAAGCATCACCAGCTGTGGACTTAGGGCCCTGGGCACAGCTTAGATCTGTAGTGTCAGGGTAGTGTCAGGCTAGTGGAGTGGCTCTAGTGGCAAACTGCCTGCCTAGTAAGAGTTCAAACCCCAGTGCCACCAAAAAAAAAAAAAAAAAAAAAAAAGTTTAGAAAGGCAGTGTCTCAGATCACCTTCAGGGGGTCAGCCAGGAGAGGGCAACCACCACCCAGTACCCAAGACTGTGGGTCCAGCCTCCTGACAAACAAGCTCATTTTGCAAAACCCATTTAATCAGAATAAATAGTGCCCCACTTGCCCACCCTCTGGCTCCATCTTCAGCTCAGGTGGAGCTTAACGGAAGGTCCACTATCCTGGTGTCCCATGGTGTCTTCAAGGGGCCAGCATGGTCTCAGGTCCATGTCTCTGCCTGCAGAGCCGTGGCATCGGGACAGCTGGGGGTGTTGAGCGGGCCAGCAGAGTTCCACACTATCCGCCTGGGCATCCCCTGTCTGTGAGTAGGGCAGGTGGTGGCGCAGTCCCCTGGGTTCTGCCAGCCCTGCCAGAAAGGAAAGCAAGCGGGGATCTGGCAAACCAACATCCCTGCAGCCTGGCTGGGCAGGGCTTAGCCTCTGGGCAACCACATGCCCTGTGGACAGCCTTTCTCAGGGAACACAGGCCTCCCAGTCTGTGGTCAGGTGAAGCTGGAGACAGCTTTGGGGCTCATGGCTGCCATATTGGCTGGAGGGGGATCACTTCTGGCAAGCTTTCAAATACCAGCAACTTCCTATGGTGTGGTTAACCTCATTTGCACCAGCAGTGGGGCTCCCCTACACGAGAAAACTGAGGCTGGGCTTTGTCAGGTCTCCGTGAGGTCTGAGGTCTTGTGCCTGACCTCGGTGTCCCTGAGGACTCAGTGAATAGCTGAATGAGGGTTTTATTCTGAGATGCTTCCAGGCACAGGGCACCAGTATCACATGGTCAGGACCCAGAGTGTTGCTGGGTATTGCCAGAAACTTCAGCCGCAGCCCATCCTTGCCACAGGTAGCACAGAAAAGGTGGTGGTCCTGGGGGACAAAGCCCAGTAGGGCTGGCACCACATGATTTATGAAGAGAGGCGGAGGGCCCTTGCCAAGCATGTGCAGTTTTCTCCACTTTTTCCTCCCTCTCCAGCCCACCTTGAGGCAGCTTGGCCCCTCCCACATGGCTCACAGAGGCCTCAGTCCATCCTTGGCTTCACCTGGTCTCTCTCTTCTCATACACAGAGTGAAGCTTGTTGATCAAGAAGATTTTGTCCTCCCCCTCCTAGAAAGGCCAGAACACAAAGGGTGAGAGAGAACTGACTTTGTCCATCTTTCCATCTCTCCAGAGCCAGCCTGTTCCAGCTTACTGGAAGTAGTCAAAATCACAAAAAGTGAAAAGAGAACAGAGAGAAACCAAAATAAAAACCCAAAGCCAGAAAGTGGGCATATCCGTGGGTCTGTTTCCTAGTGGCCAAGGCCAAAAGGGGAATATGACCAGCCGCACAGTGAGGCCCCTGAGCCAGTCTGACTCAGTTTCAAACTGGCTCTATGTACTCTGTCTTAGATAAATGCCATCCAAAAAAAGGGATGGAAGTACCAGTCGTGAAGCTTGTGAGTGCCCTGTGGCTGCTGTGTAGCAAACTGCCACAAACTTAGATCTCTAGAGTCTTTCTCACATTCCACCATGACAGGGACCCTCCTGCCCTTTTTCCGTGATGCCCCTGGATCACCAGCTCCTCCCCCAGGTCAGCTGGCGAGCAGCCTCAACTCGCCAGCACTCTGGTCCCCGTGCCACACAGCAGCTTAGCCCAGGCTGCAGCACGTGACCTGGACATCTTTGGGCCACTCTTCCAACAATGCCAAAAGCATGCACAGCGTTCAGCATAAGACCTGGTGCACGTGAAGAGCGAAAGCTTGTCAGCGATCAACACAGGATCAGACAGGAGGAAGTCCTCACTCAGACAAAAGAGCCGTTTCCTCAAGAGCCTGGTGACCTGGCTCACCCTCCTGACACACATCCCTGAGAATGTTTCTTGGGGGGGACCCCAAATTCTAAGCAAACTCCTGTCCCTCCTCTGTTGTTAGCAGGCAGGGGGAGCGGAGGCTGGAGCTAGGCCATCCCACCAGCCCAGGGAAAGCTGGGTCCTGCAGCCCCAAAGACAAAGGTCGGGCAGGGGCCGGGTCTGCCCAGGCAGCAGCAGTTCCAGTCCCAAAAGGCAGGCCAGGATTCTCTTCCAGGTCATTCACCCCCACTGGCCCCCAAGGCTCTGAAGCCACACGATGGGCAGGAGCCACTTTTGATAGCCATGGTCACATGACCACCTTTGGCCAGCACGCAGGCTTTGAGCTCCTCCTGTCACCAAAATCACCTCTGGCAAAATAGGCAAGACACTGGGTCCATGGGGACAACATGGCTGGCTTCCCAGGAAACAACTGCCCAGCAGGGCTTCCCTCCCAGCATCGGCTACAGGAGCCCTTGCTCCTGCCACACACTAACCTGCAACTGGGCCACACTGCTGCTAAGACCACTCTGCTGGCTACACCTGCTGTCCCCACCTGTCCTTGCTGGGACACCAGTTCCTGACCTCCATAGAGGCCTGGAGCAAATGGCCCAGCCTTAGCCCTGGGAACGTGCACCCATGGTGGCCGCATACAGGGTACACAGCACAGGAGGAAGGGACCCCATGATAAGGGCCAGGCTGAGGGCAGTGCTGGGCCTGGTCAGGGCCACAGGGCAACTTGCTAGCACATCCTTCAGGGGCTGCTGGTGCTGGCATGGAACCATCCCATCTCAGCAGACTGCCATGTCTACAGCACACAACTGGGGACAGGCCAAGGCCTACCAGGAGGTCAGGGGTCAGTGGCTCTCAAGAAAAGGCCAATCCAAGTGACCAGCTAGGAAAAGTCCCTGTGTCCAATGGGCAATGAGGCCCTCCTCAGGACACAAGGTCCTGTGGGAAAGGAGAGGGAGTGGAGAAGAGGAGAACAGAGGCTCAGCCACACCTGGGCTTCCAGAACTATTCCCAATACACACTCCTTCAGGACAAACCATCACTGCTTCATAAAAATGCTCCTTTGTCTCCTTAATAAAAAAGGTTTTAAGAGCTGGTGGAGTGGCTCAAGTGGTGGAGTGGCCTGCCTAGCAAGCATGAGGCCAAGTTCAAATCCCAGGAAAAAATAATTTACTGGGCGCCAGTGGCTCAAGCCTGTAATCCCAGCTACTCAGGAGGCAGAGATCAGGAGGATCGTGGTTCAAGCCAGCCCAGGCAAATAGTTCAGAAGACCCTATCTCAAAAATCACTAAAGAGGGCCGGTGGAGAGGCTCAAGGTATAGGCCATGAGTTCAAACTCCAGTACTGCAAAGAAAACTGTTTTAAATCCTGACCCTCTCTCAACTTTACTCCAGCTCTGTCAAATGAGGTTCACGTTCCAACAGGGGTCCCGAGAGCACAATACCTCACAGACAAGCCCCACACCCTAAAACAGACCGCGCTCCCAGCCGGCTCCTGGTTTGGAGTCCAGCAGACCAAACCAGGCTGCTATATGCCTGCATCTTTGTTTAACCCCAACGGCGTGGATGACGTGCACAAGGAAAGGTAGTGAGCAAGTAGGTGACCAGACCGAAGTGTCCCAAGCAGGAGGTTGGGGTGGGGGGGGCGGGAAGCGGAGGACTTACATTCCGGATCTGCTCTTTGAGCAGACAGATGACCTTCCGCTGGCCCTTCACCACTTGGATGTTGAGGTAGATGACAGCCCTGCAGGAGACAGGAGATCAGCTGCTGGCCAATGGATGGCGGGGCCAGGATGGAACACAGCCCAGAGCAGGAGCCCGGGGCAGGGGTTCCCCTGGACACAGGGCCCTGTCCTAGGCTGTCCTCCTCTGGGACATCCCCCATCCACCCCCTGCACTCACAGCAGCAGGCCCGACACCAGGAAGATGAAGAAAGTGTTCTCCACCAGGTGGTGGTACAGCCAGGGCAGCCATGAGGCCCCAGAGCCGGCCCTCTCCAGGTGCCGCACCCACACGGTGCCCGCCTCATACATGGTGTCCAGGGTCCGGAAGGGGCCACAGATGCTTGAGGGCTTCACCCTGGGGGAAGAGGGTGACCAGGAATCTTCAAGGAAATGCCCCCTACCCCCTGCTCACTGCTGGCCTTGGACAAGGCAACATCCACACTGACTCTGGGGAGAGCAGAGAACAGACGGCCTCCCACCCGGCCCACCATGACCATGGTCACTCACTGCCAGATGGCGTAGCAGAGGAAGACAGCTGCACCCAGGAAGGACGGGAAGCAGAGCAGCGTGAGGAAGACAGTGCTCATATGGGAGGCCAGCCAGTGTCTCCGCGGCCCCTGGCAGTTGGCCATCAGGCTTGCCTGGGGACAAAGGCTGCACTCTGCATTCTGCCATGGCCACTGCACCCCCCCAAGACGCCCCCTCCCCAGGCTTAGGGCCTCCAAGAGGGAGGGAGGAATGGGAAAGGCCAGCCAGGCAGTGGTGCTTCCAGACACACCTAGGACACACTCTCAGAGCCTGAGGCCAGGATTGGAAAGGGCCAGCTAGAGCTGGAGCACCTGACTGAGGCACGTGAGGCCCATGCAGAAGGACTGATCCTAATAGCCACCTCCACTGACTGAAGGTGGACACCATACCGTTCTGCACTAATGCAACCCCAAGAGAACACTGTCCCAGAGGGAGCCAGAGCCAGGATGGGGACTGAAGCCCCTGCTTCTCAGTTCCTGATCCCACCCAGCTGAAGATAGAAAGCCAAGGTCACCTCCCAGTTCCTGGCAAGGCACAAAGGGACCTGTGAGACCTGTGAACCCAGCAGGGTATGCCCAGCCTGCCCATGACAGTGTGTAGTAGGACCTGGGCTCAGGTTGGGGAGGGCCTGCCCAGGGACCCACCAGGGGCTTCCAGCCCACATCTGCTGCCCCACACCCCAGCCCAGCCAGGGAACAAGAGCAGAGCGTCACCTTCTTGACTTGGAAGAGGAGCAGCAGCCTGAGGATTTGCACAGCTGGGAGGACAGGTGAGAAGAGGACACCCAGCCTAGGGACCAGAGGCTGGGTCAGTCCCTCTTCCCAGGTGGGAACTGCTGCCCACACCCTCCACTCCTACCCAGGACCAGGCTGCTGCTCCAGGAGGGAGGGCTCAGGCCAGCTGTGGCCCAGGAGGGACAAGTGCAAGGCCCCGAGTGGGCAAGGGGCATTGACCAAGGGACTGCAGGAAGCAAGGGGACGCTTACCAGGTCAGAGTCTGCCCGTAAATCAGATCCAGAACATTCCGCGCGATGTCAAACTCAGGCTTCCGCCTCCTTTTTAGCTTTTTCTCTGAGATGAGCCTGGGCAGAGGAAGATTCCCTGATGGACAGGCAGAGGAGTCCCTGTCCTCCTGGGGACGGCCTGACACCACCCTGAGCAAGTGCCAGCCGTGTCAGGACACACAGTGGCAGACGACACCCTTCAACCTTTTCTCCAAAGTGAAGACTCAACCTGAACGTGCAAAAGCAACATCAAAAGTTGTACTGCCTCTAAAAAAACCTTTTTCCCAACACTTGGTGAGCTCTGGGCTACACAGCAAGACCCCATCTCAAAAACCAAGGGTGAGGAGCGTGGCTCAGTGTAGACTGCTTTCCCTCTATGCAGAAAGGACAGAGGATTCCATCTCCAGGACCACACACACAAAACCGCTCTAACTATCGTTACTAAATTCATATATCCTCAAGAGAAACACAAAAGGAGGAAATAAAAGACACCAAGATGGGAGGTAGGTGTGCCTCAAGTGGTAGAGCGCCTGCCTGGCAAGTGTGAGGCCCTGAGTTCAAACCCCAGTACCAAAAAAAAAAAAACAAAAACTCCTATGAAATGCTAGAACCCGCAGAGGACCTACACCACTTTGAAAATTCTGCTTCCCACGCCCTCCTCATTCTTCCCCATTTCTCTCAATAAAACCTCATTTTCCTTTCCAATCTAAAAAGAGAACACATCCTGTCTCCTACACATCATCCTTGTTCCAGTGACCTTTCACGGGTGGGATGCAGACACACAGACGTGGGAGGCTCAGCCCATCATAGGCCCTGCCAAGGTGGGTACCAGGTGCCCAGAGGGCGAGTGTAGACAGAGCCCGCTCACCTCCACACCAGCTCCCCAAACAGTGTGTCGAGCAGCGTGAAGAGGAAGTCCATCACCATGAACCGGTACAACTCCTGGCCCACAAAGTCCTCCCAGCACTGGCCCTGCAGCACGGCCACCCTGCGGCCCAGCCAGTGGTAACAAAGAACACCAAGGAGCGCCACCTTGAGGAGGAGGTTCCTGCATGGGATGGGAGGCATGGAGGCTGAGGGGAGGGTGCCAGGGACAGCAGACATGTTCAGGGAGCCCCATGCAGCCACGTACCTGCAAATGGCCACATACACCTCCAGCACTGGGGAGTCGTGCCACTCCAGGGTAGCTAGGCCACGGAACAGGTAGGGGGCTCCCAGGTTGAGGAGGCTGACCACCAGGGGCAGGGCCAGCAGCCCCACCTCCTGGCCACCAGCCACAGAGCTCTGCAAGGACAGCAGGAGAGGGCTAGGTCACAGAAGGTGCCCCCCTCGATGGGACCATGTGCACTCTGGCAGCCTTCAGGGATGGGGGGTTGCAGAGAGGGGCCCAGGCAGAACAGGGGGCAGAGCTAGCAGGTAGTAACTCCTCCTGAGACACCCAGCCCTCCCCAGGCTCAGTTCAAACCACACAGGAAGTGGGCAGGGAGCCAAAGCAAAGGCAAGAAAAACAGGGAGGGCTTGAGACAGAGGAAGGAGGGAGCATGAGAACCCAGTGGGAGGCAGCCAGGTTCCCTCCCCAGTCCCTGCCAGCACCTGAATCATGACCTCCGAGAAGGTGAGGACAGCCATTGTGCAGCCCAGTGTGATCCCCAGACACAGCAGCCACACCAGCCCCAGCACGAGCCCCTGTCGCAGCCGGCCACACACACTCCGGGGTTCCCTGCACAGCTGCCACTCAGCCAGCAGCTCCTGCAGGCAACAATATGTCCCCATCACGCACACTGTGACACAAACACATGCAGACCCATACCCAAAACACAGGCAGGGACAAGGGACCGGGCAACTGCCCATGGCTGAACCCCCAGCCAGGGCCACAGCTGCACCTCCTCTTGCAGGGGGGTGGGGGGCCAGAGAGACCGCAGCACCACCTGGAGGCCAGCCTCTCCCCACCCACTCACTTGCTGTGCCTCCAGGAAGTCTGACACTCAGCCTGCCCCTTGCCCTGGGTCCTGTGGATGTGAGTGGCCACTAGCTGACCAGAAGCCCCTGTAGCACAGAGGACACCTGCATCCTAGGAGGTCCCATGAGCCAGGCTGCAATAGCACAATACCCCAGAAGCGCAGAGAATTTACACAAGGCCTAGCTAGCCCCATGATTTTTGGCAAAGGACTTGGCTCGGTGCCTCAGTTTCCTCTCTTATAATCCTTATCCCCAGGATACTATGGTCATCCAGTGACTACTGGACAGTGGGGGGTCGTGTACAGCGGAGCCTGAGGGCCTCAGGACAGGGAGACATAGCCCTCAGCAAGGGCCCTAGGAAATAAACCTCGGTCCTTTCCCTTCAGGCTTGGGCCCTCCAGCCCACCAAAGCAGTTCCCTAATGCTGGTTCCTGTGTGTTCCTCGGGCCATACACTAACGCCTGCTAGCAGACAACAGAGGTCGCCATCTGAGGGACGTGTCCAGGGAACGCTGTGAGTGGTGCACTGACCCAATGCCCTAAGGCCAGCTCACAGCTAAACACCTCCCTCCAGACAACACTGCCATCTGGTCCCAGTAGGAGCCAGGCTGGGTCTTGTGGAGCTGGGCAGCAAGGTGACATTCGGTGCCCAGGTGAGGCAGGTGCGCTGCTCACCTTCAGCTGAGTGCGGATGCTGTCCTGCTGGATGCGGGAGGCCCAATTCTGGGTCACCTTGCAGTCCCAGGAGCAGAAGACAGTGAGGGCGTGAACACCCTTCGTGCTGCCCACCCGGTAGCTGTCCCCGAAAGAGTGGGACATGCTGGGGAAAAAACAGACAGGTAAGAGGTGAACAAGGGTCAAAGGATACCAAAGCCAAGGGAAAAAACACAGATAGGACATCCCCAAAGCCTCCCAACCACATTCCCTGCCCCTGCAGCTCCGTGCTCCCAGCCTCCTGCTGTGGACCGCTGGCCACTCTAGACCAGCCTTGTCCAACGTGTGCCCTCAGGAAGACAGATCAGGGCTTCATTTGCCACAGTGCAGCCACTGCTCCCACTAAGACATGGAAGATGCTGGGTTCACCTCAGGGCCTTGACACTGCCTGCCCAGTGACCACAAAGCATGCTCTCTGCTTCTTCTCGCCCTCTCTCAGTGCTCCCCATCTCGGTGCTCCCCTAACACCTCAGCAAACACCTCCAGGGCCCTGGGTGTCCCAGCCTGTCCACTGAGCAAGCTCCTCTAGGACAGACATCACATTCCAGTACCTTCTTGCCAGAGTTGAACACAACAAATACTTCCAGGGTGGATGGGTGCGTGGGTGGGTGGATGGATGCATACATAGATGGGCAGATGAGTGAGTGGGTGAGTAGATGGATGGATGGATGGATAGACAGATGATGGATGGTGGGTAGGTGGAAGCACTCATGGACGGATGGATGATGCATGGACGCATGGACAGGTGGGTAAGTAGATGGCTGGCTGGCTGGATGGATGGATGGATAGGTGGATGGATGAATGCATGGATGGATGGGTGAACGGGTGAGTGGTTGGATGGGTGGGTAGATGAATGGATGGATGTGTAGATGTGTGGATGGAGGCATTGATAGATGATGGACAGGTGACTGGGTGAAGGGTGGATAGGTGGATGGACAAAGAGATAGATGGAAGGCTCAATGGATGGGGGAACGGTGCTAAAGCCAGGGTCATTACCTGTACACTAGGGTGATGCAAGTGATAAAAAAGGCCGCCCCCACAGTGAAGAGGTAGGCCATGGGCATGTTGTAAGGTAGGCCACCAGCCCCAGGGTCACACTGGCTTCCATCCTGTGGCGGGGGACACGGCTGGTTCAGCGTGGTGTTACTGTAGTACCCATAGTACATGACAGTATGGGTGAAGGAGCCCTGCAAGAACGCCAGGCAAAGTCAGGAGCTCCCCTCTTCCCACCCTAGACCCACTCACAGGGTACCACCCATGGGGGCATCTAGGAACAGCTAAGGGAAAGCAGCTAACTAGAAGGATGGAAGGCCTGGCCAGGGCCACCTGAAGCTACAACAAAGACTTCCCAGAAAAGCTGTGACAAGAGGGGCAGAGGGGACCAAGGCAGGAGCAAAGGTGGCCCAGGGTCCCTCACCCTGCCTGTGAGGAGCTCCAGCCCCGTGAAGGTGGGGGCAGGGCCCAGTGGAGTCGGTGGGAAGGCGGCCTGGACGCCCACGAGGAAGGCCAGCAGTGGCAGCAGCAGCAGCACGTTGAAGGCCAGCAGGGTCTTGAGGAACAGAAAGTAGGAGAGCACACTGGAGCCGAACTGACCTCCGATCTGCTTCAGGGCATAGTGCCACGGCCACCTGGCATACAAGCCTGAGAGAAGAGCCAGCCCCAGGCTGTGCAGGGCCTGCAGGTAAAGCAATAAGACGACCCTGAGGATGACAGAACCAGTCATCTATGGCCCTAGCACGAGGCAGAGGCTAGGGGACCACTCCACCCCGGACAGAACAGCAGCAGGAGAGATTGCCATCCCACTCCACCTAGCCACCCAGGCCCCTTTGCGAACAGCAGCCTGGCAACTCAGCACCACAGGCTCCTACCAGGAGGCAGCTGTATCTGAGTCGGCTGCAGCCGGAGACCCCACGGCCCTGCTGGCCCTTCCTTTTCCCTCTTGGGGTCCAGCTCTTCTCTCTGGGGACAGGAACAGCCATCAGTGCCTGGACCGTGAAGGGACACAGCTCCATCACCCACCCGCAGGCTCAGAACCCTCCTCCCCAACCATCTGGGCCAGCTGAGGAAGTGGGTGTCATGGCCGCACAAACTGGTAGACACTCACCTCAGCCAGCGCTTCTCAGCCAGGCTCAAGGGCATCCCCCGAATCATGTGGTCACGCTGGGTGACCGACAAACCCTGAAGCTCCTTTACCAGGAGGCTCCGCTTCTCTACCGAGGGGGAAGAAATTCGGTCAGTGCCGAGCATTCTCCATGCTGCCCACAACCAGGGCCCTCTACAGGCCACAATCCCAACACAGCCGCTGTCCACCCTACAACAGGCCCACCAGGCCCAGATGGCTCCTCTCTGCCCACACGGCTCATGCCGATGCTAGGCCTGGACCAACTCTCCGGGTCATCCTCCAGCTGCCCTTCCTCCCCCACCTCCAGCCCTACAAGCCTTGAGCTGCTCTTGCATTTACACCGGGTGCCCAGCGTCCTCCAGCCCAGTGGAACCCCATCTCCCTGACACTACCCAGCTACGTACAGCCCTTGTGGGGCAAGGCCAGGCTGGTGCTCACAACCAAGTGTTGGGCTACCTCCCACCCAAGCCCCACTTCTTAGGGGGCCTGGCCAAGGCACCCTGAGACTCAACGTCAAGAGTGCAATCCAAGAGGTCTGAAACCCACCATGACAGCAGGCCAAGAGCAGCTGTCCACGGGGGATCAGGGACCAGTCAGCACTGCCTCTTCAGACCATCATCACTGCACTTTGTACTCTGAAGTGTGGGCAGTAGCGCCCAGAGGTGGGCGCTACTTTAAATCTCCATTTTACAAGTAAGAAAAGCCCCTAAGGAAGCTGAAATGTGGCCTAGATCCAAAAGTGGATGGAGAATCTGGAACGTTCACCTTGACCCCAGAGCAACACGCCACCCTGCCCTGCTTCTCCACTCATCAGCTGAGAGCAGGCTCTCCCCTGCTCTTCACCTCCTCTATATTGGCTCTGAGCTGCTCAGACAAGCCAGGTGTGCTCCCACCCCAGGGCCCTGGCACATGTCCCCTCTGCTCTTGTCTCTTTCTCCAGGACCCCTCTATGCTAGGCTGGCTCCCAGGGTGCTCCCTTGCAATGCCTCCTCCCTGGCTGCCCTCATCTGAGATTTAATCGTTTACTTCTCCACTTACTTGGCTCATGTCTGTCTCACCAAAGCAGACAGTAGCTGCACGAGCCCTGCAAACAGTTGTACTGACCACCATCACACGCCCAGAGTCTCGCCCAGCATTCCCAACCCCCCAGTGCAGGAGGATGTTTGTGGGGTGCATGTGCCAGACATTACCAAGTGCCTGCCTGCCATGGATAAGCCCTTTGCAGCCGGAAAAGCCCCTACTTCCCTGTCCCCAAGGGTCCCTAGGAAGGGGCTTCACAGCTGCCAGGCAGTGGGAGAAGGGCTTTCTGGCCCTGATGTACCCCACCTCCCTGCCCCAGTCAGCCTGACCTCCTCCTGCCCCCCAGCAGGCTGGTGTCCACCACTGAGGCTCAGCAGCTCACTCACCGTCCTCCTCCAGGGCTGCAGAGTCCAGCTCCAGGTCATACAGGCGGAGGCTGGGCCGGGCCGAGCGTACCACGCTCCCCAGCAGGGGCCGGCTGCTCCTTCTCCGAAGCTGCAGGGTGCGATTGTAGTATTGGGAGATGATGGCCCCACGGCTACGGCCTAGGAAGGCAGGGGTCTGGGTGAGACTGGACAGGGCCAGTCCTGGCCTCACTTCCCTGTGATAGTTCTTGGCACCAGGCTTCTGCATCTGTCAGTCCTTGCCAGGGCCCAGGAAACTCCCTTTATCAGAGACCTTGGTCCGCTGTGTTCCTAAGAGCCTATTTTTACCTCTGTGATGACTGTTGGGTCATTTTTAGAACCTAGAGAGAGCAGCATGCTGGGCCTCCGGGCAGCAAATGGGGTGGGCAGGGAGCCAAAAGAGCCTGGTCCTGAGGTTACATAGACGCCCCAATAAAGCCTAAGACAGCCAGGTGCTGGTGGCTATACTCCTCACTGTTTGGGAGGCTGAGATCAGGAGGATCACAGTTCAAGGTCAGCCTGGGCAAATAGTTCACAAGACCCCATCTCCAAACTAACCACAGCAAAATGGACTGGAGGTGTGGCTCAAGCAGCAGAGCACCTGTTTTACAAGTGTGATGCCCTGAGTTCAAATGCTAGTCCCACCAAAGAACAAAGGACAGAAAGAAGTGGGGACAGCTCTGAGGCTGGAATCAAGGCCAGAGTAAAGACAGAGAGGCTCCCACTCACCGATGGTGCGACTCGGCATGCTGGCCAAGATGCGGAGTGTAGCTGTGTGGTGGACAGGGCCACCCTCGGGCCCCAGATGAGTCTGATGATCACTGCCTATAAAGGAAGGAGATTCAATTGCCCAGATATCTACCTGGGGTTGGACCCTACCCAACCCCAGGTCCTGCCCACATCATGACAACCTCCAGGCCTGGGCTCACCTGGGGCCCCCAGGGTTCTGGCCACCTGCTGCAGCTCCAGCCCCTCCTCGGCTGCCCTCTGGCTCTGCTCTTGAATGAGCTGATGGAAGGAGTCGTGTACTTCGCTCTCCTCATATGGGCTGGGCTCCTGGCTGTTGGGGGAGCAGGTGTGGGAATCTAGCCTCAAGCCACCACCTACAGGACTCAGAGAGGGTGACACCTCCCAGACCAACAGCCCCCAGCCCCAGAGCACTTACTCCTCGTCCCCATCCATCTCGGGGACATCAAAGACTAAAGACAGTGGCTGGGCCATGTCTGTGGTGTACGCCCAGCAGGTCTGTAGCTCTAGGACAGCTCAAAGCCTGAACACGGCCTCCAGAGCCTCCCACTGCCCATCTGACAAGACAGGGACAAAGGGTTGTCCTTCAATGCCTGACACACATCAAAACCATTATCTCCCCCAGGGACTCAGGCTGCCTGTACCCTCTCCATCTGCCTTCCACCCACAGCTAAACACAAGGTCAGGGGAGTGCCCCAAATAACCCTCCCACCAGACCGTACTGAGGCAGGAAGGGAAGGAGAGGAAGAGATGAAGGAAGGGTGGGTAGCCTGCACTTCCCCATCTGTTTCCTGGATGTCGCCAGCTCACTTGGAAGACTGTGGACACTGCCCCTTTCAGGCCCCAGGGACACCTCCCTTTTGGAGAAAGGGCAGGGCAACTCAAAGGCCCTCCCTGTGGCCGCCCTATAACCCCAAAGTGTTTTCTCTAACAGGAAATCCTGCCCCCAGCAGACCTGGCTGGCAGGCCCCTCCCCCCAACCCAACAGCAGCAGCACACCCAACACCAAACCCACAGCGCCCTCCCTCCCTGGGTGCTCCAAGGTCCTCATGTCCTTAGGAGGCTGACTCCCTTCATTCCATCACAGCAGGGCAGCCACTGGGGGAGGGGGCCCAGCCTAAACAGGCCCCCTTTGTCCTGGCTCTGCCTTCACCCCACACAATTGGAACCACAGCAGCATTGTCTGCAGCTCAGGCCTGGGCCTACTGCCCTATGGAAGTGGGGTGTGGAAAACAGCTGCTCAAGCTCCCAGTGCCCATCAGGACCCAGCCCTCCCTTTAGTCCTCCTGCCCTCACCCAGGGAAATCAGGAAAGTTTTGGGGAGTTTCCCCTGCATTCCTCTCCCCTCCAGAGCTGCAGACAGTGCCCTGCTTAGCGTGCAGGGCGCACAGTTCACGCCCCAGACCTCCCTCCAGCCTAGAGGCGTCAAAGGTGGCCCCCACTCAGCGGCAGGGGGAAAGCAGTTCACCATGGAGCCCCTTCCTGGGTCACAGGACCTCCCAAGTTCAGCGCCCCCCATGTGCCTTCTCCGGGAGGGGTGGGAGATGATCAGAGGCTGGGGCCCCAGGATCGGGCTGACCTGGGTGCCCCGCCTGCCCCAGCTCAGACACACCATTCCTCAGCCAGGTGGGGCTGGGCGTCTTCCAGGTCCCCGCACCTTGCTGGCAACGACGCAAACCCGGAAGAGCCGTGGCCCAGCCTCGAGCCCGGGGGTGGGGGTCGCGGGCACCCTCGAAGCCCCTCGACTCCCCGGCCCAGCCGCCTCCCGCCGTCCCCCACCCCACCCCGGGCTCGGCCATGGGGGAGGGGAGGACCACCGCTCCCAAGCCTGGAGGCAGCCAGAGTCCACCGTGGGGAACCCGGGGCGGAAAGTTTGCCGCCCAGCGGCCCAGAGGCCGCAGGGGATTCGAACCGGGCGGAGCAGATCGGCCCGCCGGGACCCCGCACCCGGATGCCCGTCACTCACCTGGAGGCGCGGGGGAGGAAGGGCCCTGCGTCTGGGAGCGGCTCACCTGTCCGCGCAATGGCAGCCGGGACCTGAGGGCTCGGCTGCACCACCTGAGGGCGGATGAGTGGAAGCGAGTGGCAAAGGGCCCGAGGGTGGCGGGCGACCAGTGACTGTCTCAGGCCTGGCAGGCGGAGGGAGCTGCACCACCCACTCACGTGGTGGCCGGCCTGGGCCGTCACGTGACCCGCTCCCGCCGGCGGGTGGACCCCGCCCCTCCTGGGGCACCCGGCGGTGATAATACCTTCTGCCCGCCAACTTCAGACCCTTCTTACACCCTACCCTAAAGTCTGACCTGAGTAGGAAGGCCAACCCATGCAATCTCTGATTGATGTCCCCAATCTTCGTGAGTCTCAGTTTCCCCAAATTTCAAAAAGGAGCAATAATTCCAGACCCACCCACTTCCCAGGGTTAGGGATTTGCAAAATAGGGGATAGGGCAAAGCCCCGCTAGTACAGAGCCTTTGCACATCTAGGTGAGTTAACCCCTTCTCGCAAGCCTCGGGTTCCCAAGCTCTCACCCCTCCCGCTCTGGGCGTGCTTTCTCTTGTTTATCTTGCATGACTTCTGCGGCTTCCGGTGTGCTTGGTGGGAGGAGGGGGCAAAAAGGAGGAGAGTGACACTTTGTGAATGTCCCCAAGTGCTGTACCCACTGCTAGGTTTTCTGTTGTTCTCCACAGCCAGGAAGCAGACAATGACTTTCCTATATCACAGATCAGGAAACCGAGGCTGAAAAGTTTCTTCTGCCTCCAGGGTGTCACCAGCCAGAGCACAAGCCTTGGCCACCTTGGGAGCTCCACCCTGTGGCAGTCAGGGTGACTGAGCAGGAAGCAGAAGAGGACAGGGCCGTCTTGGAGAGGAGAATGGGGCACAAGAAAGGATCGGGACTTGGTAAAGTTGGATATCCATGAAGGGGTCAGTGAGCTTTTCTGGTTCCTAAGGCCCTCAGGCTGCTTCTGGCACAGGGGCACCCTGACCTGCAGGGGCAGCCCTGCCTGACCCCTGTCCCTCCTCCCACACTTCCTTCCTTGCACACCCATGACTTGCATGACCCCAAACCTCACTTGAAGAACCAACCACCTGTGGCCCTTGAATCCTTTTGGAGCACACTTCCTATTGTCATGTGAACTTTCGAATCTGTGCCCCTGCTCTCCAGCCCAGTGTGTGCCCAGCACCAGCACCCAGCTTGGAGCCTGGCACAGAGGGGCTCTGGAAACCAAGAGGGATCTGGGGAAGGAGGCAGAAAAGCTCTGAGAGATTCAGAGTTGAGATGAGGGCTTCCTTAGGGAGCTGGGAGGAACAGAAGGCCAAGGCGGCCTCCCGGCGGGGATCCTAAACGTCTAGCCTGGGAGGGGCATGCATGGAGCCTCTTCCTGGGAGCTTAAGATGGGCCAGGCTCCAAGCTCGGGTCTGGGCATAAGGGTGTGGTGGGTGGTGCCAGTGTCAGAAGCGGGAAGTTCAGAAATAACGCCACGACTTTGGAGAAGCTGCTGCCCGAGCGCTGGGAGCCAGTATATGATTGTCACGTCCTCCAGGGCGACTGCAGCTGGCAGATAATGGGGCGGGACCCCTGCGGCCAGTAGCCGCAGCCCCACCAGGCCAGGCCCCCAGGTCTGGCCCGGGACCCCGCGGGAAGTGGACGGGCAGGAGCGAGCGGAGCGCGCTGAAGCAGCCCGGACTGGGGTCAGCAGGGTCACACAGCACAGCCTGGAGCCTGCCCGACAGTGTCGCCGGCGGGAAAAGGAAGGTGCGCACGGGGTTGCGGGCCACCGGGCCGCTGACCGCGCGCCTCTCACCTGCACACTCGCGCCCCGCCAGCGCACAGGAAGCGCACGCTCCGCCTCCGCTGAGGCGCAGGAAACTGCGGGGAAGGGGGGAGCCAGTGGAGGAGAGGAGACGCGGGGGGAGCCGGGGTTCCTGTCATGTGACCCACCCCCGCTCCCTCACCGACCTGCCTTGAGTGGTGGGAGCCAGTCCCAGGAGGGAGCACCTCCGGGGGAACTTGGAGCCCTGTTCCCAGGTGAGCTGGATGCACTGTGGAAAGGTTAAGGGTAAAAGAGTTGAGGCTGAGGACTTGGACTTGGGGGCGGGCGGTATAGCTTTGGGGTCCCTCTTTTTTCCGCTGTAGCCACACCTCCCTCCTCTGAGTCCCTTGAGGGGACCTAAGCAGACCTATGCCTGCGCTGGACCACAAGAAGGAAGACAGGGGATCCCATTATATTCAGAGCTGGGGTGCTGCAGAATGTACAGTCCTAGAACTGTCGGAATTTTAGGACAGGGGTGTCTTCCCAAAGGGCAATGGGCACATGGAGTAGAGCGAGAATTGTTTGTCCCGGCAGGGCCTGTGGCAGAACAGGCCTTGGCTTTGCCTGTGGCAGTGCCATCTCCCCATGCCCTCTAGGCCTTTCACCCTATTTGACAGATGGGAGTCTGAGGCCTTGGCCATGTGTCGCTTTGCGAAGTGGAACGGGTCTGCGTCCAGATCCCAACCATCGCAGAATTCTTTCTTTTAATTCTTGGACATGCCAGACCAAGACCTTGAGGCTCCCCACCTGGCGCCCATATCCCTTCTGGAAGCAGGGGTCGCAGCCGGCGCCCCCAACCTCAGCCGGGCCCGCCCGCGGGGATGTTTCACCAAGGGTCAGTGACTTCCGGGCAGGACCCTGGGGAGCCAGAACCCCCGCGGGCAGGTGAGGAGCTGTGGGAGCAGGAACTGGAACGGCTGCGCGCCTCCCGGGCAGCCGTGCGGACTCTGCCCTACGCCATGGTGGACAAGCGCTTTATCCGGTGGGTGCGGGTTCGGGTTCAGGTTCATAGTCTGAGCGGCGCTGTGGGGGGTGGAGGAGAGCTGAACACGCATCTGTCGGATGCAGGTGGAAACCATGAGCACTGGCCCATGGCACCATCTGCCTAGCTCCGGTGGACAGTGTGGGTGACCCAGGGGAACCCCCATCACCACCCTGTCCCAGGAAGCTGCGGGAACCCGAGGGGGTGAAGACCTCATGCTGGCAGCGGTGGCAGCGCAGGCGGCAAATGGCAGGACGGCGCCTGGCGGAGGCAGCAAGGAAACTGACCCAGGGCTTTGGGCTTTGGGAAGGAGCGCTCTATGAGATCGGGGGTAGGAGCCCTCTCCGATCCCCACTTCCCACATCCCCTGTCTGAAGTCCCAGTGGCCATCTTGGAAAGGGGGAGGACACCATCCCATCCTACCACCCCCATCGGTCCCCTCCATCCTTGCGGACCCCTCAGCCCCCAGAGTCAGGTGCAAACCTCGATGGATGACAGCGCCCTCTGGCGGTTCTCAGAGATACTGTCGCTGCGCTGGGCTGGTCCACACTCAACATCGCACAGACCTGGGATTGTCATCCTGGGCGCCTGACACCTTCCGTGGTGGCCAGTCCTGCTCTTCTCTCCAAAGGTCTCTTTGGCACTGGGATCCAGTCCTACTTCACCTTCCTTCGCTTCCTGCTGCTGCTGAACCTGTCGACCCTGCTGCTCACCTCAAGCTTCGTGTTGCTGCCCCTGGCCTGGCTCCACCCTCCTGACCCAGGCCCGGCTCTGAGCTTGAGTGAGTGCCCGGGTAGCCCTGACCCCGGGGCCCCACCCTGGGAGTGCTGGACTCTCCTTTCTGCATAGCACACTTCCTGACATCCTGTGTTTGGGTGGGGGCAGAGGAAGGTTATGGAAGGGGAAGGACAAACTTGTCACTTGTGAATTGGGGACCCCTTCCTGTTGGCCCCTTCTCTCTCCTAGCAGCCCTCCAGTGCTCAGGCAGCCACCAGCCCCAGAGTGCCACCCCGAAATTCCACAATCAATTTTGGAATGTTTTAACTGGCAGGGTAAGTGGTGTCTGTCCTGGCTATAGTCCAGAGGAGCTGGGAGGCTCCAGTCTAAGAGGACTCCTACCCCTCCAAGGACATTTTGGCATCTAGGAAAAAGTCTTACACAGGCTGGCCAGGCCAGCGATGGGGTCAGAGAGAGGCCGAGGTTGCCTTTCTCATGGGCATGGATACATGCCCAGGGTCCTTGGTCTCCAGCTGAGATAGGGGTGCAAGAGGTTTCTGGGATAAGTGCCATCTAATTCCTGGAAGCCACTGAGTGGCCACCAGTGTGGACTCGTGGGTTCAACTCCTAACTAGTTCTCAAAGCTGTGTGACTTGGGCACATTTCCTTGCCTCTCTGAACCTCTGTAAAATGGAACTGGGCAGGGTGGGGCATACCTGGAATCCCAGCACTTAGGAGACTGAAGCAGGGGGGATTCCAAGTTGAAGAGTAGCCGGGACTACATAGGGAGACCCAGTCTCAAAAATCAAAACAAAAACCAGGGGTGGGGGGGTAACTCGGATTTGAGCTCATGTATGGCAAGCACTTAGAACAGAGCCTAACACTCAGGTGTCCTCGTCACTGTCCCCAGGCCTTCACCAACACCTATCTCTTCTATGGAGCCTACAGGGCAGGGCCCGAAAACAGCTCTGCCTACAGCATCCGCCTGGCCTACCTACTCAGCCCGCTGGCCTGCTTGCTTCTGTGCTTCTGTGGGACACTGCGGCGGTGAGAACAGAGCCCATGGTCCTCTCCAGGCCACCTTCTCTGGTCACCACTCCTGTGGCAGGGAACCTCTGGTTGGATAGCACCCCCAGACCCTGTCGACCAAGACTTTCCCAGCTCCCTAACCCAGCCCCTGTTCATCAAGGCTCACCCCGGTTCTCCAGCCCGACTGCAGTCCTCAAGAACAGGACACTGCGTCCCCCAGCCCCACTCACCCAGGCCTATAGAGGCCAGCAGGGCCTCCCATGCAAGGCCCAGAGCAGATGTAGGGTGGAAGCACCTCACAGTGGTCCCTGCCCCCTTCTTCCAGGATGGTGAAGGGGCTGCCACAGAGGCTACTCCTGGGCCAGGGCTACAGGGCGCCCCTCAGCACCAAGGTCTTCTCCTCCTGGGACTTCTGCATCCGGGTGCGCGAAGCAGCCACCATCAAGAAGCACGAGATCAGTAATGAGCTCAAGGTGTGTGCGAGGGCCAGCGTGATGGAGTGACTGAGTGTGACAGCATCATGACAATGTGTGTGAATGTAAGAACATGTGAGTGAGTGTGAGAGCATGTGTGAGTGCAGAGGGCCTCGGGGCAGCCTCCCTCCCCCCCTCACAGCCCCTGCCCTGACCACAGATGGAGTTGGATGAAGGCCGCCGCTTTCTTCTGGCCCAGCAGCAGTCCCCTACTCAGAGGGCCTGCCACCTGCTCACCTACCTGCGGACCAACCTTATCATTGGGATCCTGGTGGTCGGTGCCATTAGCGCCATCTTCTGGGCCACCAAGTACTCGCAGGATAACAAGGAGGTACCCGCAATGAGTTCCTTTAATCCTGGCGTGTACTGTGGGAGGAGATGGGTGGTCCTACTTTGGAGATGAGGAGACTCAGACGCAGGGAGGGCTGAAGAGTCATGACCACAAGGTCACAGCCAGGTCAGACTGGCTCTAACTACGTATGCCCCGCTGACACCCAGGCCTGCACTGGAGTTGCACCTTAGGACACTGCAGGGGATGGGAACGATGGGTCAGCTCAAGGCCTCCCTGACCCCCTGCTCCTTGCAGGAGTCTCTGTTCCTAGTGCTTCAGTACCTACCCCCTGGGGTCATCGCCCTGGTCAACTTCCTGGGTCCCCAGCTGTTCGTGGTCCTGGTCCAGCTGGAGAACTACCCTCCCAGCACCGAAGTCAACCTCACCCTGGTCTGGTGGGCAACCCCCTGGGGTCACCAGGGAGGGACTCTGCGTCCTGCTGCTGCCTGGGTCGTTGCCTGGCACCAGAGTCCCGATTAGGGAGGCTCCCACATTCGCTGCTACGCTGCATCACAGGGAAAGCGGGTGGTGCTTCCGGATGTACCAATGGTGGCAGTGAGCTAGGATGTTAGCAGAAGAAAGGAAGATCTTAGGGCTAGGGGTGCAGCTCAGTGGCAGAGCATATGCTTAGCAGACACAAGGTGTTGGGTTCAACCCCTGACACCAAATCTCACCAGCCCCGAGGATGCTGAAAGGTCTAAAGGTTCTCTCCTGCAGAGCTGGGCATCAAGCTGGGGCGAGTAGGATGGCTGGACTATGTGGTGCTACCCAGACTGACTTTTTTAACACAGGACCCTTCTCCCATGAATCATCTGTAAACTCAGAGGCTTGGGAAATACTGTCATAGATGAGGCAGACTAGAAGGTTGGGCCCTGCAGGACACAGACCTGACCTCACACAGACATCAGCCACCCCTGGGGCCTGGCCTTGCCCACTGACAGTCCCTCCCCCAGGTGCGTGGTGCTGAAGCTGGCCAGTCTGGGGATGTTCTCCTTCTCACTGGGTCAGACAGTGCTGTGCATCGGCAGAAACAAGACCAGCTGTGAGTCCTACGGCTACAATGCCTGTGACTACCAGGTGACTGGCAGCCCGGCTGGAGGCCATCTCTGCCATCCTTTCCCCTCCTCAAACCATGCAGACCCATCCCTGCCTTCTTAGTCTCCTTTGTCCCCCTCCAGATCTCACTTCTGTGAGAAGAGCAGCACACTCCCAGGGGGCATTCCTGCACCTCACTCAGTGTGGCAGCCAGCTGGGAGTTCCCTGCTCTAATAATGTCCCTGAAGTCATTCCCAAAGTCCTGTCAGACTGCAAGCAAGGCTCCTCCTATACCATAAGACCCCCTAATAGGCAGATGAGGGAAGGGAACCTAGAGGGCCAGAAGATGGTGACAGTCCCCCTCCCTCTCTGCCCCCAGTGCTGGGAGGACGCGGTAGGTGAGGAGCTGTATAAGCTGGTCATCTTTAACTTCCTCCTTACGGTGGCCTTCGCCTTCCTGGTCAGCCTTCCTCGGAGGTGAGCATGTAGGGGCGCCACAGACAGAATGGGATGATGTAGCCATGTTTGGGGCCACAGCCAAGGATGACCGGGATCTGCCCCTGTGACATGTTCTTCTTGCCTGGTGAGACCTTGGACGCTCCTCACCCCGCCCCCCCCAGGCTGCTAGTCGAGAGGTTCACAGGCCGGTTCTGGACATGGCTAGACCGAGAGGAGTTCCTGGTGCCCAAGAATGTGCTGGACATTGTGGCAGGCCAGACAGTCACCTGGATGGGCCTCTTCTACTGCCCCCTGTTGCCGCTGTTCAACAGTGTCTCCCTCTTCCTCACCTTCTACATCAAGAAGGTAGGCCACCTGGTTGGGAAGGGAGCACGGGGCAGGTGCACCCAGCTGGGCCCCTTGAGCCAAGAATCAGACAAAGCCAGGCTACATTTGCTTCTGCCCCTCCCCCTTCCCTGAGCAGCAGACTCTGGGGCCCAAAACCCATATGACAACTCCTGTTTGGCATTGCTCGCTCCCCAGTACACCCTCCTGAGGAACTGCAGAGCGCCCCCACGGCTCTTCCGTGCCTCCAGCTCCACCTTCTTCTTCCAGTTGGTGCTGCTTCTGGGCCTGCTCCTAGCAGCAGTGCCCCTGGGCTATGTGGTCAGCAGGTGAGGGGAAGACCGAGGCTGGGAGGTCTTGAGGCAGCTCCTCACCAGTGCTAACAGTGCTGTCTACTCTATCTCTAGCATCCACTCTTCCTGGGACTGTGGCCTCTTCACCAACCACTCGGCTCCCTGGCAGGTGATCCCAGAGCTGGTTGCCCTCCAGCTCCCACTCCCTGGCCAGCGTGCCCTCCACTACCTCGGCTCCCACGCCTTCAGCTTCCCCCTCCTCATTCTGCTCAGGTGCCATTCAGGACAGCAGGGGGCCAAGGGAGAAAGAATGTCACCCCACCAGGGCGTCCTCCCTTCCCCTGGCAGTGGGTCCAAGAGCAAGACAGGCAGAGTCCAGGGAAGCAGAGGTCCAAATGCAAATGGCCTGGGGTGATCCCCTGTAGAGCAGGCACCTCTGGGCCCACCTTCCAGGATGTCAGGATTGAGTGCATGGCCATTGGGGAAGCACAGTATGTGAAAAAGAGATGTTACTGGCTTTGTCATGTTGGAGGACAGGGAAGGAGGGGCCCATGGGAAGAAGGAGAGGAGGGTCCTATCTTCAGATAAAGCAGTATGTAGAGAGAAGACCCCAGAACCCGTTTTCAAGAGACTAGGGAGGAGAGAGAGGAAGTAAGCAGGAGGTACCTGTGGTCCAAGAGGTGACTGACCTTGAATCTCATCTCCTTCCAGCCTCATCCTGACAGTGTGGGTCTCCCAGTCCCAGGCCAATGCGAGGGCCATCCATGGACTGCGGAAGCAGCTGGTGTGGGTGAGTGTCTGCTGGGCTTGAAATGTGTGTCCTGACACCTGGGACAGGCCTGAGCTGATGGGAGATTTTTTTTTTCCTAGTGGAAGGGTGCGCATGGTTGAGGGTAAAGACCAGAGGGAAGGGAGGGACAGGTGGATTCCTCGGGTGTGGCCCCAGGCCCGGAGCCAGACCTGATAATATGTCCTTAGTCTTGGTGTAGGAGAGATCCGCCGGGAGGGGGCGCCTCCGGTCAGGGAACAACTGTTAGGGGCGTGGCCTGAGCTGGTCTGGGGGCGTGGCCTCCTCTAGAACGGCACTTGTGGGGCGAGGCCTCCGATTGCGTCGGGGCGTGGCTTCTGGCTAGGGGCGGGTTCTTGTGGGCGGGGCTTCGGGTTAGGGGCGGGTCCTGGGGTGGGGCATCGGGCGGGCGTGGCTCCCTCGGCCTGGGGCGGGCATCGGGCGGGGCGGGACTTCACGGGCCGCGGTCTCGAGCAGCATTGGTGACCGGGTCTTGTTAGGGGCGTGGCTTCGGACGGTGTCTTGTCCCGGACCTGGTGGGCGCGGCCTCGGGCTCCTGGCCTCGCGGCGGGTCCCTAACTCCAGGCGCTGCTCGTAACCCCGCAGCAGGTCCAGGAGAAGTGGCACCTGGTGGAGGACCTGTCGCGGCTGCTGCCGGAGCTAGGCTCCAGCGAATCTCCGGGGCCCGAGTCCCCTCGCTTCCGAGCTTCGCACCCGCGATCATTCTGCCCCGGCTCTCCGGGCCCCAGGAGCCCCCAATTCGGACTATCCGGAATGGATCCCACCAGGCTGAGCTCCTCAAATTCGGGGGTCTCCGCCTCCAGATTCCGCTTCCCCAGTGGCACCGAGCTGTAGCACCAACCCCCGCCTCCCTAGGGCTGGACCTCCTTCCACCCACTTCCCCTTCCCCAGTCTTCCTTAGAGCACGCGACTGGCCTCTGGTGACCATCGCCCCTTGCTGGCTCCTGGGCCTCTGACAGGGCTCCCCAAAGGACACACATCCTCAGGAGTAGCAGCCAGAACATGGAATTTTATCTATATTTTTATCTCATCCCTTTAGGATTTCTACTTTTCATTGACCGTTTCATAGTGTACATAATATATTAGTGTTATGTACTAATGGATGCAATTTATGAATATGTTTTTGGGAGTACTCACAAATTGCTTACTGCAGTGGTTGACCTCTAAGGGAAGGGAAGAACTGGCCAAAGAACAGTGTACCACTCATTTAGCCCTTGGTGTGTGGACAGTGAGTCTACCAAGCCACAGGCCACGGTCAGCAAGGAGCAGAGCTGGTTTCGAACCCAAGTGTGTGGGCTCCAAAGCCACACTGCACAGGCTCCGGACTCAGAGGCCATTCCTGGCCCTGACCACAAGGGCTTACTGAAGTCTGAGTGAATGAGAGGGTGCTGGTCACCCTATCTTTTGTGGGCTATATCTCAGCAAGCCCACAGAGGTGACTCAGGAAACCAGAACAGAGTCCACGGCCACTCCTTCTGCAGAACTTTATTCTCTCCGTATGTTCATTGACCCACCTAGAGCATCTGTGGGGCGAAGGTGCTCTGCCAAGGTCTTGGTGGCACATACGGGCCTGTGCTGTGAGAAACACAGTAGAATGTGGGCTGCAAGAGGTGGCCCGGGAGGTGGTGTGACCAGCAAGGTCAAAAAGGCAGGGCTGGGGTCCCACCCAGGGCTATGTCTGAGATTCCTGAACCTGTTCAAGATTCCTTCTTCAGCCAGCACCAGTGGCTCATACCTGTAATCCTAGCTACTTGGGAGGCTGGAATCACAAGGATCATGTGTTCAAGGCCAGCCTGGGAAAACAGTTTGAGAGATCTCCATCTCAGGATAACCAGAGAAAAATGGACTGGAGGTGTGCCTCAAGCAATAGCGCACCTAGATAAAAGTTCAAACCCCAGTCCTGCCAAGAAGATTCCTTCTTAAGCCACCTGCCTCCCCACCCCATGCTGCAGTGACTTTGAACCCATGGCTCTCAGCCTTAGAGAACACATGTGAAGCTGTCAGAAGCTGGCCCCATTCCATCTACTCTGATGTGATTGATATGAGTGCAGCCAGCAGCCCAGGCCTGGTGACATTTTAAAGGGCCCAGGTGACCACAGGCAGCTGGTGTGAAGACCTGTGAGGAGGGTCAGTCAGAAGGAATCCCAGAACTTGCTTGAAAGCCTCTAGCTCCACCAGGGGACCAGCTCCTGGCTGTATTCCTGCTTGACCTGACACCTTTGGGGCTGGAGGCTTCTCAGGTGACCATTAAAGACTTGGCCAGTTCAGTCCCTCCTGTGACTGACCTTCTCGCTCACCCCGCATCATGCAACCCATCACCCTTCAGCAAACAGAGATCAAGTACTGCTAAATCTAGATCCTGTTCTGGGGGGTTGCAGGGAGGCCATGAGAGAAACAGGCAAGCTCTGTGCTCAGGCTGGGGAGGGTGACAAGCCTGGCCCTAGACCAGAAGCACCCACATCAGTTGGAGATGCACATTCTCAGGCCCATCCCTGACCTCCTAAATCAGAAACTCTAAGGTTGCACACCCAGCAGCAGTGCTTTTTGAGCTGGGCGTGGTGGTGCACACGTGCAACCCCATCTTCTTTGAACCCACAGGAAGATTGTGAGTTCAAAGCCAGCTTGGGCTACATACAAGACCCTGTCTCAAAAAAAAAAAAAAAACACCACAAAGTGTTTTTTGTGGTGCTGGGGATTGAGCCAGCACCCTCCATGTACTAGGCAAGTGCTCTACCACTGAGCTGCATCCCCATCAGTAATGGGTGTTTTGTTTTTTATGGGCTTTTTTGTTTTAATTTGAGACTATGTAGCCCAAAATGTCTGGCCTCTACCTGCAGAGTGTTGAGGTGAATCAATAGTGTTTTAATGAGCTGATGCTGATCACCCGGTGGCTGATGCTGATGGCCAGTAATGTGGGGACCCTCACACAGAAACATAAGACCCTCTCCGTAGCACCTTCACATCCCTTCAGCAAACACCTAACTGACGGTGGCCATGTACCCACCAGGCACCCTGGAGGAGCTATGATGACAAAGACAAGCTTAGGGCTTAGGAAATCATCAACCTCTTTGGCCTCCACTTGTTCATCCAAGACGTGCTGAGGAGGCCACACTCTCGAGTGGCTGAGTGGATTAAGCAAGCAATTATTTGTAATGTCCTGGTGGATGGCTGGCTGGCAGCCTAGAAGTGCTCTCAAGGCTCCCGTTGCAATGAGGTCATTGGCCCAAAAGAGCCAAATGGGAGAGATAGAAAGGAACCCAAGACCTGTGATGGGGAGCTCAACCCAAGGGGCCTCCCAGGGGATAGCTCACATAGAGAAGGAGGACTCAGGGAGGAGGTAATAAGTGGGACCTTGGAGAAAGAGAGGTTGTAGACCGGAGATGAGGCAGGGGGACACCCAAGCAAGTTATGGAGGTGACACCATGCAGCACAAGCTGTGGAAGCTGGAAGCCTGAGGCCTCTAGCGTGGGATGTGTGCAGATGGAGCCAGCACACATACAGTAATAGTTTGAATAGCTGTAATGACAAGGGGGGTAGTGAAATGATGGACCCACGCTGCCCAGATGTCACACTGGGGCAAGGAGAGACCTTTGGGGTTATTTCCTGAACCAAGTAAATATCTCAGAAGTGTGGAATCCATTGCAGTTGACAGCAGGCCCCTCAGCCTAAGGGTACCTGTACTCTCCCATGCCCAAGCTTAAGAGGCCTCTCCCCAGCTCTGCTGGCCAAGGCAGCCCAGGGCCGTGTCCCTGATGCTGGGGCCCTTCCAGGATTAGGGCGTCTGGGAAATAAGGAGGCCATGGTAAAGCTTTCTGCTATAGAGGAGATAGGCTGTCATAAGCAAAGTTCACAAAACATCCGTGTATAGTGGGGGCTGGAGAGCTATAGGGTCTCAGAAGGTGTCAAGGGTCTGCCTGACCAGCCCTTTCCTCCCTCTGTGGGGAAAGAGGGCAGGGCAACCAGAGGACCAGCCTCCACCCCAGGACAAGACACCCAATCAGATGGTATGCAGGTGATCCCCAGAAAGGGAGACCTGGGGTGGGGTGGGAGAGGTGACAGGGCCCACTGAGACCTGGGAGGAAGTCCAGGTCCTCTGACTCTGGCTCCCAAATACTCGAAGAGAAGGGACCTCAGAGAAGCTCAGGTCAGGTCCCTGGATACATGAGGGAAAACCCGAGTTTCTGGGCCTTCAGACACCAGGCTGCCCACTGCCTGGGACCTCACTGTAGGTCAGTCGCCACTCAGCCCCTCTCCCTTGTGTGTCCTTCAGTCCTCATTCTCTTTCCTGACCCGATCCCAACAGAAGCAAGAACAGACTTTTGAAGGGAATTTTGCTGGGAAATAAGAGATGTTCTTTCCCCTCATGGGAGAAATTATACGCAGACAGGTGGTGATGAGCAGGGTGTGGGAGCCTTCCCCAAGGGACACGTCAGGACCAGAACCATGAGTGACAAGTGACAGAGCTAACTCAAGGTGGCTGGGGAGAAAGGGCACCACCAACATCGTTGGTCTCCGGGTGACCTAACACCTGCGCTGTCCCTCCCATCGTCCTGCCTGCTGCTCCCTGGTTGGCAGGGCTGCCCTCAGACAGCTTCCTGGTACAACCAGACTTCAGAGGGCTCCATGGATTCCTGAGAATTGCAAGAGGGGACAGAGCTGTCATTAGCCTTCCCTGGTCAGGTGCCCATTCCCAGACAGGCCAGCCGAGCCAGAGACAGGATGTATGGTTATCAGTCAGGCTCTGCAAGAAGACAACCACTCCACTGGAGACATGGTCACCTGGCCATGAAGAAGCAGCCAAATTAAGCATTTTCTACACAAAGTCACTGACTCTGCAAAGCCGCCAACTATCCTGGCAGCCCTGGACCTGGGCTTGGGTGAGGAACCCGGCTGCCCAGGCGGCAGATGCCCATGGCCCACTGGTGAGGGATGCAGGGGAGCGGGGCACATTGTGGTACCCATCTCACCTGCTCCCCCAGCTCTCTGTGTCCCTATGAGTCTGCCCCGGTGTGGCCATAGGGCTGGAAGGCTCTGCTCACCCCACCTGTCTCTCTAGGTAGCTCTGCCGCAGGCTACTGACCAGGCCACACCACAGTTGGTGATGTGGCTTGGTCTCCTTTTTGTCCAGGTTAATGTAGTGTGCAGATCACTGAGAGATAACCACCCATAAGCCCTCAGTTTGCCATCCATGGGCATGAGGAAGGGCCCAGCCTCTCTGGCCTCCTTAAGAGCAGGACTTGAGCATACCACATCACACTCCTGAGGTGGTCAGTGGTCTCTTTCAGCCTGACGTTTAGCTTGGGGGCCAGGTACAATCAGCCACCTAGCAGATGCCTGGTTTGTGGTCACCCTGATGTGGGCAGAAGTCACCTCTCCTCCCTGCTTCTCTGGTGCAGCCGCAGGTGCTCCGGAGCTGCCTTATAATGGCCCTGTGATCATCTGAGAGTCACCCAATTCGATAATCCAGGAGAACCATCTGTCTCTAACTCAGTACACACACCTCAGGCGTGCCCCTGCTGGGTAATACAACGTTCACAGAGTCCAGAGGTAAGGGTATGGGTGTCCCCTGCCTACCACAAATGCCAGGGGCCTAAACTCAGCACTGATGGCTGAGTTCAAGCCCTGGTTTGGGTCCAAGGCCCAGACTCTGTCAGCTTCTCTGGGGGGTGAGGACAGAGTTTGCTGCTGTGGCCCGTGGTGTTCTCTGGGCCCAACCCTGCAGTGGGGGCCCTGGGTAGCTGCAGCCTCTAGGTTATCTCTTCCTTGCAGGCAGCCACCCAAGGAGCATCCTAGGGGCCCCAGGGCGGAGGGGACCTAGGCCTAGGAAGCGTTCTCAAGCCTGAGCACTCTCTGGGCCCCACACTGGCCCCACCAACGGAGCCATGAGGCTGCTTTCCCTGTTCTGCTTGGCCATGCTGGGTGAGCCACTGGACACATCGTAGGA